GTAACCAGAGAGAGAGAGAGAAACCAGAGAGAGAGCTAAGAGAGAAACACGAGTGAGAGAGCAGAGAGAGAGAGAGTAACCAGGGAGAGAGAAATCATCGAGAGAGAGAGAGTGGAGAGCGAAACAAGAGAGAGAGAAACCAGCAAGAGCAGAGAGAGAGTTCTGAGAGAGAGCGGAGAGAGAAACCACAGAAAAAGAGCATAGAGAAGAGAGAGAGAGAAACCAGAAAGAGACCAGAGAGAGACCAGAGCTGTACTGTGTCTGCTGTAGTCTCTGATTAGTGTGTTTCTGGTCTCATTGCGATGGTTGGAGGCAGATGTTGCCGCTTGTGCTGCGCCCACACCAGGTGTTTGGGAAGATTTCAAAGTTCATTGGTTTCTGAGCGTCTGTGGTTCTCAGATTGTGATTTCATGATTAGCCTCATGTCTCTCTCTGGGGAACGGAAAGTTTCGAGGACACACTTCTGCAGCAGTTTGGAAAGAATAAGATTTAAAGCTGCGGCGCCTGACTTTCTGCTTTCAGATACCACATATAGAACACAGAAAGAGTCTTGTAAAAGTAAAATGGTCTCTCTCTGGTCTCTCTTTGATCTCTCTCTGATCTCGCTCTGGTCTCGCTCTGGTCTCTCTCTTTGATGTCTCTGTGGTCTCTCTCTCTGGTCTCTCTCTGGTCTCTCTTTCTGGTCTCTCACTGGTGTCTCTCTCACTGGTGTCTCTCTCTGGTCTTTCTCAGGTCTCTCTCTGGTCTCTCTCTCTGCTCTCTCTCTGGTCTCTCTCTCTCTGGTCTCTCTCTCTGGTCTCTCTCTCTCTCTGGTCTCTCTCTCTGGTCTCTCTCTGGTCTCTCTCTGGTCTTTCTCTGGTCTCTCTCTCTCTGGTCTCTCTCCCTCTGGTCTCTCTCTCTCTGGTGTCTCTTTCTGGTCTCTCTTTGGTCTCTCTCTGGTCTCTCTCTGGTCTCGCTCTGATCTCGCTCTGGTCTCGCTCTGGTCTCTCTCTTTGATGTCTCTGTGGTCTCTCTCTCTGGTCTCTCTCTGGTCTCTCTTTCTGGTCTCTCTCACTGGTGTCTCTCTCACTGGTGTCTCTCTCTGGTCTCTCTCTGGTCTCTCTCTCTCTGGTCTCTCTCTCTGGTCTCTCTCTGGTCTCTCTCTCTCTCTCTGGTCTCTCTCCCTCTGGTCTCTCTCTCTCTGGTGTCTCTCTCTGGTCTCTCTCTCTGGTCTCTCTCTGGTCTCTCTCCCTCTGGTCTCTCTCTCTCTGGTCTCTCCCTCTGGTCTCTCTCTCTGGTCTTTCTCAGGTCTCTCTCTCTGGTCTCTCTCTGGTCTCTCTCTCTCTGGTTTCTCTCTCTCTGGTCTCTCTCTCTGGTCTCTCCCTCTGGTCTCTCTCTCTCTGGTCTCTCTCTCTGGTCTCTCTCTCTGGTCTCTCCCTCTGGTCTCTCTCTCTGGTCTCTCTCTGGTCTCTCTCTGGTCTCTCTCTGGTCTCTCTCTCTGGTCTCTCTCTCTGGTCTCTCTTTCTGGTCTCTCTCTCTCTGGTCTCTCTCTCTGGTCTCTCTCTCTGGTCTCTCTCTCTCGGGTCTCTCTCTCTGGTCTCTCTCTGGTCTCTCTCTGGTCTCTCTCTGGTCTCTCTCTCTCTACCTCTGGTCTCTCTCTCTCTGGTGTCTCTCTCTGGTCTCTCTCTCTGGTCTCTCTCTGGTCTCTCTCCCTCTGGTCTCTCTCTCTCTGGTCTCTCCCTCTGGTCTCTCTCTCTGGTCTTTCTCCGGTCTCTCTCTGGTCTCTCTCTCTGGTCTCTCCCTCTGGTCTCTCTCTCTGGTCTCTCTCTGGTCTCTCTCTGGTCTCTCTCTGGTCTCTCTCTCTGGTCTCTCTCACTGGTGTCTCTCTCACTGGTGTCTCTCTCTGGTCTTTCTCTCTGGTCTCTCTCTCTCTGGTCTCTCTCTCTGGTCTCTCTCTCTCTGGTCTCTCTCTCTGGTCTCTCTCTCTCTGGTCTCTCTCTCTGGTCTCTCTCTGGTCTCTCTCTCTCTGGTCTCTCTCCCTCTGGTCTCTCTCTCTCTGGTGTCTCTCTCTGGTCTCTCTCTCTGGTCTCTCTCTGGTCTCTCTCCCTCTGGTCTCTCTCTCTCTGGTCTCTCCCTCTGGTCTTTCTCAGGTCTCTCTCTCTGCTCTCTCTCTGGTCTCTCTCTGGTTTCTCTCTCTCTGGTCTCTCTCTCTCTGGTCTCTCTCTCTGGTCTCTCTCTGGTCTCTCTCTCTCTGGTCTCTCTCCCTCTGGTCTCTCTCTCTCTGGTGTCTCTCTCTGGTCTCTCTCTCTGGTCTCTCTCTGGTCTCTCTCCCTCTGGTCTCTCTCTCTCTGGTCTCTCCCTCTGGTCTTTCTCAGGTCTCTCTCTCTGCTCTCTCTCTGGTCTCTCTCTGGTTTCTCTCTCTCTGGTCTCTCTCTCTGGTCTCTCTCTCTCTGGTCTCTCTCTCTGGTCTCTCTCTCTGGTCTCTCCCTCTGGTCTCTCTCTCTGGTCTCTCTCTGGTCTCTCTCTGGTCTCTCTCTGGTCTCTCTCTCTGGTCTCTCTCTCTGGTCTCTCTCTCTGGTCTCTCTCTCTCTGCTCTCTCTCTGGTCTCTCTCTCTGGTCTCTCTCTCTGGTCTCTCTCTCTCTGGTCTCTCTCTCTGGTCTCTCTCTGGTCTCTCTCTGGTCTCTCTCTGGTTTCTCTCTCTCTGGTCTCTCTCCCTCTGGTCTCTCTCTCTCTGGTGTCTCTCTCTGGTCTCTCTCTCTGGTCTCTCTCTGGTCTCTCTCCCTCTGGTCTCTCTCTCTCTGGTCTCTCCCTCTGGTCTCTCTCTCTGGTCTTTCTCAGGTCTCTCTCTGGTCTCTCTCTCTGGTCTCTCTCTCTGGTCTCTCTCTCTGGTCTCTCCCTCTGGTCTCTCTCTCTGGTCTCTCTCTGGTCTCTCTCTGGTCTCTCTCTGGTCTCTCTCTCTGGTCTCTCTCTCTGGTCTCTCTCTCTGGTCTCTCTCCCTCTGGTCTCTCTCTCTCTGGTCTCTCTCTCTGGTCTCTCTCCCTCTGGTCTCTCTCTCTCTGATCTCTCTCTCTGGTCTCTCTCTCTGGTCTCTCTCTCTCTGGTCTCTCTCTCTCTGGTCTCTCTCTCTCTGGTCTCTCTCTGTGACACAGTTTTTGAAGCGTCTCAGGTGAAACATGAGAAAACTGTTGAACTGTGAATGAGAGGATCGAGTCCGAGTGAAGGAGCAATAACCAGGTCACACACTACAGTCATAGACACACACAGAGAGACACCGACAGACACACACACGTACACACACCAGGGTTTACTTCTCATCATTTTAACAGTCAGCATGCCAGATACACACACACCCACACACAAACATACACACAAGCATACACACAAACATACACACAAACATACACACAAACATACACACAAACACACACACAAACATACACTTAAACACACACACACACAAACATACACATAAACACACACACACTCACACACACACACACACACACACACACACGCACACACACACACAGACATACTGTACATACTGTCCACATAGTTCTACTCCTGCTTCAGCCGCAGCCGTCTTCTTCCAGAAAGCACACATTTCTGTTGGAGCGTGTTCTGCTGATGTTTCCTGCAGAGGATTAAAACAAAACACTTCTTATTTTAGTAAAATACAAAGTAAAGTTATCGACCTTTGAACCAAGTCAATTATTATAATATTACACCGTTTTTACCAGAGAGATACAAACAAGTGTGCGTGCGTGTGTGTGTGTGTGCGTGCGTGCGTGCGTGTGTGTGTGTGTGTGTGTGTGTCAAGCCCTCGGGTTAAACTTCCTCTCTTGCTTTTGTCTTCATTTTCATAAATTCACACAAAGATTCACATTGACGTGAAATATTAGAAATGTTCAAATTAGCACATAATTAGCATCTCATTAGCATAACGTATACACACATACATATAACATGTTTGTAGTGTGTTTTTGTGCTTAAAGGCACATGGCAAAGCTGTCCTGGGGCAGAGCAGCGACATGTGGCTGCCTCTGTGTGCCTCAACCACACTGCTCATTAATGTACAACTGACGAATATTAATAAATTATAATAATTATTTATTCTTAGTGTGATTTACACAAAAAATCTTTTTATATGTATATATATATATATATATATATATATATATATATATATATATATATATATATATATATATATAATCTTTATTTTAATGTATGTTTGTTTTTTTTAAACTAATTAATTACAATATTTTGCAAATTTGTATTTTTTGTCAATTGTTATTTTTGTGTTTTCTTCTAATCTTCTAAATCTTCTGAATATTAAGTAATTCTTTTTAATGGTTCTCCTGGCACCCCCTCCACTTCCCCACATTTCAACTTGTAAACCAGGACTAAACCAGTACCAAACCAGGTCTGGACCAGGTCTAAACCAGAATTCAACCAGGATTCAACCAGGACTCAATCAGGACTAAACCAGGTCCAACCCAGGACTTAACCAGGACTTAACCAGGACTTGACCAGGACTAAAGCAGGACATACAACTGGCTTCTCCAGTTCCAGAGTCCCCCGTGGTCTAGCCTCATTAAGGGCAGTGTTATCCCAGTCTCCCCTCCTCCCCCTCCTCCTCCCCCTCCTCCTCCCCCTCCTCCTCCCCCTCCTCCTCCCCCCACACGAGCAGAGCTCATCTTCAGCCGTCATTGTGGTTAAAGATCTGGGTTTGATGAAGAGGACGAGAGACGTTAGAGTTCTTTAGAGTTCCACCGAGAATACTCCTTAAGCTTTATTATTAATTCTGTTCATTTGTTCGTAGCTTTGTGCAGCAGTCGGATCATAAACATGAAATAGACACGGGAAAAGAGGGAAAAGAACATTAGAACAACAGCGTCCTGATAGTGTTTGTCTAGGTGTTTCAGGTTCCCCACGGACTGACCACGCCCCCTTGTATTGACCCCGCCCCCACAGATAGACCCCTCCCCCTCTGGCCTATTTTTAGTTAAAGAAGTATTCAAAAATCCTCTGTCCCTGTGCTCCTCCAGATGTTCTCCTCTGTCTCCTCTGTCCCTGTGCTCCTCCAGATGTTCTCCTCTGTCTCCTCTGTCCCTGTGCTCCTCCAGATGTTCTCCAGATGTTCTCCTCTGTCTCCTCTGTCCCTGTGCTCCTCCAGATGTTCTCCTCTATCTCCTCTGTCCCTGTGCTCCTCCAGATGTTTTCCTCTATCTCCTCTGTCCCTGTGCTCCTCCAGATGTTCTCCTCTATCTCCTCTGTCCCTGTGCTCCTCCAGATGTTTTCCTCTATCTCCTCTGTCCCTGTGCTCCTCCAGATGTTTTCCTCTATCTCCTCTGTCCCTGTGCTCCTCCAGATGTTTTCCTCTGTCTCCTCTGTCCCTGTGCTCCTCCAGATGTTCTCCTCTGTCTCCTCTGTCCCTGTGCTCCTCCAGATGTTCTCCTCTGTCCCCTCTGTCCCTGTGCTCCTCCAGATGTTCTCCTCTATCTCCTCTGTCCCTGTGCTCCTCCAGATGTTCTCCTCTATCTCCTCTGTCCCTGTGCTCCTCCAGATGTTCTCCTCTGTCTCCCTCTGTCCCTGTGCTCCTCCAGATGTTCTCCTCTGTCTCCTCTGTCCCTGTGCTCCTCCAGATGTTCTCCTCTGTCCCTGTGCTCCTCCAGATGTTCTCCTCTATCTCCTCTGTCCCTGTGCTCCTCCAGATGTTCTCCTCTGTCTCCTCTGTCCCTGTGCTCCTCCAGATGTTCTCCTCTGTCCCTGTGCTCCTCCAGATGTTCTCCTCTGTCCCTGTGCTCCTCCAGATGTTCTCCTCTGTCTCCTCTGTCCCTGTGCTCCTCCAGATGTTCTCCTCTGTCTCCTCTGTCCCTGTGCTCCTCCAGATGTTCTCCTCTGTCCCTGTGCTCCTCCAGATGTTCTCCTCTGTCTCCTCTGTCCCTGTGCTCCTCCAGATGTTCTCCTCTGTCCCCTCTGTCCCTGTGCTCCTCCAGATGTTCTCCTCTATCTCCTCTGTCCCTGTGCTCCTCCAGATGTTCTCCTCTATCTCCTTTGTCCCTGTGCTCCTCCAGATGTTCTCATCTGTCTCCTCTGTCCCTGTGCTCCTCTAGATGTTCTCCTCTGTCTCCTCTGTCCCTGTGCTCCTCCAGATGTTCTCCTCTGTCTCCTCTGTCCCTGTGCTCCTCCAGATGTTCTCCTCTGTCCCTGTGCTCCTCCAGATGTTCTCCTCTATCTCCTCTGTCCCTGTGCTCCTCCAGATGTTCTCCTCTGTCGCCTCTGTCCCTGTGCTCCTCCAGATGTTCTCCTCTGTCTCCTCTGTCCCTGTGCTCCTCCAGATGTTCTCCTCTGTCTCCTCTGTCCCTGTGCTCCTCCAGATGTTCTCCTCTGTCCCTGTGCTCCTCCAGATGTTCTCCTCTGTCTCCTCTGTCCCTGTGCTCCTCCAGATGTTCTCCTCTGTCCCTGTGCTCCTCCAGATGTTCTCCTCTGTCCCCTCTGTCCCTGATGTGCTCCTCCAGATGTTCTGTGCTCCTCTATCCTATCTCCTCTGTCCCTGTGCTCCTCCAGATGTTCTCCTCTGTCCCCTCTGTCCCTGTGCTCCTCCAGATGTTCTCCTCTATCTCCTCTGTCCCTGTGCTCCTCCAGATGTTCTCCTCTGTCTCCTCTGTCCCTGTGCTCCTCCAGATGTTCTCCTCTGTCCCTGTGCTCCTCCAGATGTTCTCCTCTGTCCCTGTGCTCCTCCAGATGTTCTCCTCTGTCCCCTCTGTCCCTGTGCTCCTCCAGATGTTCTCCTATGTCCCTGTGCTCCTCAGAAAACACTCAACAACAGAACTATTCCCAGACTGTCGTTCTGTTTGTGAGCAGCTGCTGTCGTTTCATGTTTCTGTGTTTTTGTTTATGTGAGAAAAAGATAAAAGTGAAAAAGCAGAACTGTGAACCAGGACTGAACCAGGACTGAACCGGGACTGACCCAGGACTGAACCGGGACTGAACCGGGACTGAACCGGGTCTGAACCAGGACTGAACCGGGACTGAACCGGGACTGACCCGGGACTGAACCAGGACAGGTCAGGTGTCTCATATTATAGCAGATAAAGACAGAAGTTTCATTCTGACCTCAAAATCATCTCCTCCTCCTCTGTCTCGTCCTCTGTCTCCTCTGCCTTTTCTGTCTCCTCTGTCTCCTCATCTCTGACCTGGTCGTCCCGTTCCGCTGGGACTCCTCTCTCCTCACGACTCAAAGACACATCTGCAGAAGTGTGTCATCAAAACAACAACAATAGAACACACACACACACAGACACACACACACACACACACACACACACACACACACACACACACACACTAACTTTAAAACAACAAAAACATTGAATTCTGTAACAAACCTTCATCCCTCGTCTCTGGCTCTAAATCAGATTTTTCAGACTGAAAAGTGACTCACAGGGATCTTTATTACCAGTATTATTATTACTTTAGCACCAATCAAACCAGGTCTAAAGGAGGAGTAAAACACAGACTGAAGCAGAGACGGAACTAGGTCTAAACCAGGTCTGACAGATCAGAGAGAGACCAGAGAGAGACCAGATAGAGAGAGACCAGAGAGAGACCAGAAAGAGACCAGAGAGAGACCAGAGAGAGACCAGATAGAGAGAGACCAGAGAGAGACCAGAAAGAGACCAGAGAGAGACCAGAGAGAGACCAGAGAGGGACCAAATAGAGAGAGACCAGAGAGAGACCAGAGAGACCAGAGAGACCAGAGAGACCAGAGAGAGACCAGGGAGACCAGAGAGACCAGAGAGACCAGAGAGAGACCAGAGAGAGACCAGAGAGAGACCAGAGAGACCAGAGAGACCAGAGAGACCAGAGAGAGACCAGAGAGAGACCAGAAATCCTTACAGTGCGTTCCTTGACCATAAATCACGTTGGGGAGAATGGGTTATTGATTCAGAAACTATTTGAGACTGTGATTGTTGCCGCTGCTCAGAGCTTGTTTTCATGTGGACTGAGGATAAATTGGAAAAGCAGATGATGAGGAGAGTTGGGACTGTTGTCCAATTAGAGACTTCAGAGCCCGAGATGACAGCGAGACTGGGACTCATGTCTATGCACAGGAGATAATTGCATTGTCTATAAATACATATATACAAAAAACATTTATTATTTTATGTATATATGTGTGTCCAAAATGAGGATGAGGATTAGAGACTGGGAGCTGGATTTGAATGATACGTTATTTAGTGATGAGATAAATCTAAAGCTGAGACCAGAGAGAGACCAGAAAGAGCGACCAGAGAGGGACTAGAGAGAGAGGCCAGAGAGAGAGGCCAGAGAGAGAGACCAGAGAGAGACCAGAGAGAGACCAGAGAGAGAGACCAGAGAGAGAGGCCAGAGAGAGAGGCCAGAGAGAGAGACCAGAGAGAGAGACCAGAGAGAGACCAGAGAGAGACCAGAGAGAGAGACCAGAAAGAGCGACCAGAAAGAGCGACCAGAAAGAGAGGCCAGAGAGAGAGGCCAGAGAGAGAGACCAGAGAGAGACCAGAGAGAGACCAGAGAGAGAGACCAGAGAGAGAGGCCAGAGAGAGAGACCAGAGAGAGAGACCAGAGAGAGACCAGAGAGAGAGACCAGAAAGAGAGACCAGAGAGAGAGACCAGAAAGAGAGGCCAGAGAGAGAGGCCAGAGAGAGAGACCAGAGAGAGACCAGAGAGAGACCAGAGAGAGAGGCCAGAGAGAGAGGCCAGAGAGAGAGACCAGAGAGAGAGACCAGAGAGAGAGACCAGAAAGAGCGACCAGCGAGAGAGACCAGAGAGAGAGACCAGAGAGAGAGACCAGAGAGAGAGACCAGAGAGACAGACCAGAGAGAGAGGCCAGAGAGAGAGACCAGAGAGAGAGACCAGAGAGAGAGACCAGAAAGAGCGACCAGCGAGAGAGACCAGAGAGAGAGACCAGAGAGAGAGACCAGAGAGAGAGACCAGAGAGAGGGACCAGTGAGAGGGACCAGAGAGAGACCAGAGAGAGAGACCAGCGAGGGAGGCCAAAGAAGGAGACCAGAAGGAGACCAGAAGGAGACCAGAAAGTGACCAGAGAGAGACCAGAAGGAGACCAGAAGGAGACCAGAAAGTGACCAGAGAGAGACCAGAGAGAGACTAGAGAGAGACCAGAGAGAGACCAGAGAGAGACCAGAAAGTGACCAGAAAGAGACCAGAGAGAGACTAGAGAGAGAGAGAGACCAGAGAGAGAGGCCAGAGAGAGAGACCAGAGAGAGACCAGAGAGAGACCAGAGAGAGAGACCAGAGAGAGAGGCCAGAGAGAGAGACCAGAGAGAGAGACCAGAGAGAGACCAGAGAGAGAGACCAGAAAGAGAGACCAGAGAGAGAGACCAGAAAGAGAGGCCAGAGAGAGAGGCCAGAGAGAGAGACCAGAGAGAGACCAGAGAGAGACCAGAGAGAGAGACCAGAGAGAGAGGCCAGAGAGAGAGGCCAGAGAGAGAGACCAGAGAGAGAGACCAGAGAGAGAGACCAGAAAGAGCGACCAGCGAGAGAGACCAGAGAGAGAGACCAGAGAGAGAGACCAGAGAGAGAGACCAGAGAGACAGACCAGAGAGAGAGGCCAGAGAGAGAGACCAGAGAGAGAGACCAGAGAGAGAGACCAGAGAGAGAGACCAGAAAGAGCGACCAGCGAGAGAGACCAGAGAGAGAGACCAGAGAGAGAGACCAGAGAGAGAGACCAGAGAGAGGGACCAGTGAGAGGGACCAGAGAGAGACCAGAGAGAGAGACCAGCGAGGGAGGCCAAAGAAGGAGACCAGAAGGAGACCAGAAGGAGACCAGAAAGTGACCAGAGAGAGACCAGAGAGAGACTAGAGAGAGACCAGAGAGAGACCAGAGAGAGACCAGAAAGTGACCAGAGAGAGACCAGAGAGAGACTAGAGAGAGAGAGAGACCAGAGAGACTATATTTTGACGTGTTTTAAACAAAGTATTTCCTCCACATGGTAATAATCCTTCCTAATGCCAGTAACAGTGATAGACTTTACCATAACACTCGCTCGTCTCTCCTGGTGTCTGTACCATTAACATCCTTCAGTTTTGGTCCAATTATCCTCAAAGGGAGTGAGACGTCTCTCTTCACAAATGCCACAGCGACCATTAGAGCTGTCCCTGTGAGCAGCTTTAAGAAACCAGACAAATCAGCTTTAAATGTCAATATCTGCTTCACCTGACGCCAAGAAGTGTCCACCGCCCAAATGAGTCTGAGAAATACTGTGGTCTGAGACGTTTGAGAGAGAGCAGAGAGAGAGACAAGGGAAAGACGAGAGAGAGAAGAGAGAGAGCAGAGTGAGAGAGCAGAGTGAGGGAAGAGAAAAAGCAGAGAGAGAGAGAAGAGTGAGGGAAGAGAGAAAGCAGAGTGAGAGAGAAGAGGGAGAGCAGAGAGAGCCTCAGTTAAGCTCTGGTCTCTCTCTCTGAGGTCTCTCTTCGGTCTCTCATTCTGGTTTCTCTCTCTCTCTCTCTGAGCTCAATACATCTCCACATGGTCACAGACCAAGTCCAGGACTGAGGAATCAGACCCTGCGCCTCAGTGAGACCGGGGGGGGGCCCTTAGGGCCCCTCATAATGGAACATGTCTCTCCACATTTCCGCCTCACGTTTTGGGATAATTGGTGGAAGCGTCTCTCTGCAGGTGGGGCGCTCTTCGATCCAGGAAACTGTCACAGCTCATGTCTAGAGACTAAACCCAGACCAGCCCCAGGCCTCTGTCTGGACCTGGTCTGGACCCGGTCTGGACCTGGTCTGGACTTGTTCTGGATATGGTCTGGATCAACCCTGTTCTGAATTAGAGCAAAGGAAATGTAGCCTCTGTGGGCATCATTCATACTGTATAAGCTTTTTACAAAAGAGAGAGAGACAGAGAGAGACCAGAAAGAGACCAGAGAGACAGACCAGAAAGAGCCCAGAGACCAGAGAGGGTATTTTTGCCCTCATGCTGGTACATACCTCTCTCCTTTTCATACCATAATAATCCTGATGATTAGTGTAATCTTCAGTGTAGTGTCTTTACAGTGTTGGGCTGTCTGCTCTGCCCCTCTGCTCTGCCCTCTCTGCTCTGCCCTCTCTGCTCTGCCCTCTCTGCTCTGCCCTCTCTGCTCTGCCCTCTCTGCTCTGCCCTCTCTGCTCTGCCCTCTCTGCTCTGCCCTCTCTGCTCTGCCCTCTCTGCTCTGCCCCTCTCTGCTCTGCCCTCTCTGCTCTGCCCCCTCTGCTCTGCCCCTCTGCTCTGCCCCCTCTGGTGCTGGTCTATAACGCAGTCAATACAGAGCTGTGTGCTGGTCCGGGGTTCAAGGCAATTACATCCACATGAGACTGAAAAGTGACAAAAGTTTAATTAATGACGACAAAACACCCTCCTGTGCTTTGTACAAAAAGTACTTGTGAAAAAAATAAAAAATATAATAATGCAACAACACACATTTATTTTGACAGTAACATTTATAAGTTATGGACTAAATAATACAACGAGAGACCAGAGAGAGACCAGAAAGAGACCAGAGAGAGACCAGAGAGAGACCAGAGAGAGACCAGAGAGAGACCAGAGAGAGACCAGAGAGAGACCAGAGAGAGAGACCAGAGAGAGACCAGAGAGAGACCAGAGAGAGACCAGAGAGAGAGACCAGAGAGAGACCAGAGAGAGACCAGAGAGAGACCAGAGAGAGACCAGAGAGAGACCAGAGAGAGAGACCAGAGAGAGACCAGAGAGAGACCAGAGAGAGACCAGAGAGAGACCAGAGAGAGAGACCAGAGAGAGAGACCAGAGAGAGACCAGAGAGAGACCAGAGAGAGACCAGAGAGAGACCAGAGAGAGAGACCAGAGAGAGAGACCAGAGAGAGAGAGACCAGAGAGAGACCAGAGAGAGACCAGAGAGAGACCAGAGAGAGACTAGAGAGATTAGAGAGACTATTGATGTCCTTTCCACATACAGTATATGACATTGCAGTAACATTGCTGGTACAGATACCAGGACATTAAACATGGTACAGTGCAGTAATGACATGAAACAAAAGCCACTGATACATATTTTTTCTCCACTTGTACAAAAAAGACTTAATCCTGTCCCTGCAGAACGAACGGAAGAAATACAACAATTGGTTTCCATGGAGTAATATTCGGATTATAGCCTCATTTAAGATAAGTTTGAGAGCGTAAAACGGATCATAATGTTCTCTATCTAACATCCAAACACAAGAATATAGTTGGATTTTTAAATGTTTTAGTTTAACCAGACTCTGCGTTAAGGCTTTGATACAAGACAAATGTATTTAAATGTATTTTTACCTCATATTTAAGTTTTAAAGCAGAAATATTAAGCATTATTTTTGGCAATTATAAATGATAATGAAACCAAAGCGAGAGAACAGAGACCAGGGAGAGACCAGAGAGAAACAAGAAAAAGGCCAGAGAGAGACTAGAGAGACAAGAGCGAGACCAAAGAGAGACCAGAGAGAGACTAGAGAAAGACCAGAGAGAGACCAGAGAGAGACCAGAGAGAGACTAGAGAAAGACCAGAGAGAGACCAGAGAGAGACCAGAGAGAGACCAGAGAAAGACCAGAGAGAGACTAGAGAGACAAGAGCGAGACCAAAGAGAGACCAGAGAGAGACCAGAGAAAGACCAGAGACAGACCAGAGAGAGACTAGAGAAAGACCAGAGCGAGACCAGAGAGAGACCAGAGAGAGACCAGAGAGAGACCAGAGAGAGACCAGAGAGAGAGACCAGAGAGAGACCAGAGAGAGACCAGAGAGAGACCAGAGAGAGACCAGAGAGAGACCAGAGAGAGACCAGAGAGAGACCAGAGAAAGACCAGAGAGAGACCAGAGAAAGACCAGAGAGAGACCAGAGAAAGACCAGAGAAAGACCAGGGAGAGACCAGGGAGAGACCAGAGACAGACCAGAGACAGACCAGAGAGAGACCAGAGAGAGACCAGAGAAAGACCAGAGAAAGACCAGAGAGAGACCAGGGAGAGACCAGAGACAGACCAGAGACAGACCAGAGAGAGACCAGAGAAAGACCAGAGAGAGACCAGAGACAGACCAGAGACAGACCAGAGAGAGACCAGAGAAAGACCAGAGACAGACCAGAGAGAGATCAGAAGAAAACTAAACTCTTGTGTAATTCTATATCATTTATTACAGCTTTTGTTTACATTTATTATAGTTATGTGCATATGATTCATACATTTATAGCATATTTATGTCATATCTAAGTCTTTTCTTTAGTGGAGAGCTACTGGTAGCTCCCGGGCTCTAGGTTGACGTCAGTGTGAATGGAGCTAAACAACAACTACAGGAACACTAAAAACTCCATATAATAACATCACATTCACGTTCTTCTGACAAACGGCTTTTTTTCACACACAATTTTCACTTTTTCACCATTCATGCACACGACATTTATACAGACTCTTCAATCTGGGATTTTATTTCCATTTCACATTTGACGACCACAAATGTGTCTCTGCATGCAGGTACGAACATTGCACATCGACCCTCACTGCAACAGCTACAATTATCACAATATATAGCTCTTTATCAACAATATTTCACATTTTCTTCTTCTTAAAAGTGCAAATAAACAGCACTTATTAATACTGACACTGTACGAACATTGAGAGATGCTAACCTGCTTTTTCTGTCGACAACAGCTAGCTATACCAGTGTTTTTTTATTATGCCTCAGCTAATATTGAGGGATGCTAACCTGGTATATTTTCTATTAAGATGCTAATATTGCTAATGTCGCTAATGTTGCTAAAACCACTTATTGGTTGACACAGTGTTATGCCTCAGCTAACTATAGGAGATGCTAACATACTTTTTTATTATGAAGCTATTATCGCTAAAACCACAGTGTTATGCCTCAGATGCTAACCTTTTATGTTATGACGCTAATGTTTCTAATGTTGCTAACACAGTTAAAACCACTTATAACTACCATCGAGTGATGCTAACCTGCTATATTATTATTATGATCCTAATATGGATAATGTCGCTAATGCTGCTAACTAAACCACTTCATCACAGTATCAAAAATAAATATGTAAAAGAATAAAGTGCATTTCTTACATGTAGATATAACTGTATTACGTGATTTGGTTTATTAAAGCTGGGATACCTAACTTTCTTCATCCATAAAAACTACATGCAGTAGGTCCAACAACAAGTGCAACTAGTTTAGAGCCAGGACCTAAAGTTTTTTTTGGATTACATTCAATATATCCATTATTTTTGCTTTAAAAGTTAGGTACCTCAGCTTTAATATCTTGTTGTTATTGTTATTAATACATCCTGGAGGCTTAACAACAATAATAACCAATAACATATGTACAAGTTCGATTAAAGAAGATTAGTCAACCTGAATTCAGACCATTATTGACTTTGCATCTTAAGGTTGTCATAATTTATATATTATGTACGAAATACAGCATCTTTGGCAACACAAACAGAACAAGGACAAAAATATATGCATTGACACATTTGAATATAGACTTTATACAGTATAATCTCTGACTTACAAACCAGTAGATTCTTTGCTCAATATACAGTAGACGGCTGTGTTTTATGAGGTCTCTCGCTTCACTAAACAAACAGATCTATATTAACTTCATTATAATTATTACTCCAGTACTATTTTATTACTCTAAAAGTATTCAGTGCATTTGATTGAAGAAGGAATGTGTTTTAAGCCTTTGCAGATTTGACTCCTGTGCAAAAGCTGACATCTCGACTCTTAATAATAAATATACACATTATTAATAACTACATTTAACAAGATACATGATATTTATTATGATAATTCTCTATTGTTTAAAATACATGGTTACTATTGTTAGATACATGGCTTTGGCTCCTAAGGCAGCAGACCAGTTTGATCTGAAAGTTCACCTAAATATTATATAAATACATTAAAATACAGTGATTTTGTTGCATTATTTGGTCTCTGGTTCCAGGTCACATATTTCTCAATAAATAAATAAATAGATACATATAGAAATAGAATAAATACAGATACGTGGACAGTCTTTTGTAAATTTGCCATGGCTTCATACAGACAGAACCAGGAACCAAATATTTGACAATAACTACATGTTTAGATAAGGCTGCATTTGTGTCGAGCCATGAATTCTTCTGTGACGTGTCTTTCAATCACACGTTTCAGCTTTAGTGTCCAGATTCAGCAATTCAATTCAGTCCAAATTATTTCCAAATTCAGAAATCCAGATTGTTCCAAATTATGTCCTTGCAAAAGAGGACGCTGGTGTTGTCCATGTCTCAGCAGCTCACAGCCTGAGTGGAATCAGGGGCTGTGCAGATTGTCCATGTGCTGGTCCAGATGCATGTTTCTCTTGAGGTTTTTCAGTTTTGGCTTAAAAAAAAACACTTTTTGTGTAAAAAAAAAAAGTCTTCTGTTCTCTAGATGTTACAGACAATGCCCGCATCCTCCACCACCTGAAGAAGATGACATAGTCTGGGATCGCGTCTTACATTCAGACAGAAGACATGTTTTATTGTCGATGGTACCTTTGATAATACAGCAAGATAAGGCTTTGAGATATACTGAAATACTATTGCACATTACAGTAATAGGCTTCTCTAAATATTTACATACACCAATGAGCCAAAACATTATGACCAGCTTCCTGTTACAGCAGACAGAAATGTGTAATGATCATGGTTAACTGGACTGGACTGGACTGGACTGGACTGGTCTGGTCCCAGAGGAGGAGGGGGACATTGACAATGGACTTCCTCTGTTGCTGATGCAGAGGCGAGAGAGAGAGCTGTGGTGCTGGGTCTATGGTGCTCAGACCCAAGTCCCACCAATCGGTTCTCTTCAGTGCCTCCTCTCTCTCTGATCTAAATGGTCATAATGTTTTGGCTCTTATATACGACCTCTTCTTATATGACACTCTCACTCTACTCTTAAGTGTCTCTCTCTCTGGTCTCTCTCATCTATATGTTCATTAGGTTTTGGTTCTTGTATTAGACCTCTCTCTCTATATGACACTCATGGGTCTCTCTCTCTGTTTTTTATCGCCTGGCTCCTCTCTCTCTTTATGGTCATAATGTTTTTGACTCTTGTATTAGTCCTCTCTCTCTATGCGACACTCTAGGTCTCTCTCTCTCTCTGGTGGCTCTCTAAATGGTCATAAATGCTTCTATGTCCTCTCTCACTCTCCGCTCTCTCTCTCTCTCTCTATCTCTTGCTCTCTCTCTCTATAAGTGGTCATAATGTTTTGGCTTGTCCCTCTCTCGGACAGCAGCCGGTTCATGACTCACTTCCGCGGGCCTTGGGCTGGTCTGGGTTTGTTGACTGGACTGGGGTTGGGTTTGTTGGCTGGACTGGGGTTGGGTTTGTTGGCTGGACTGGGGCTGGGTTTGTGGGCAGGACTCGGGCTGGGTTTTTCGGCAGGACTCGGGCTGGGTTTGTGAGCAGGACTCGGGCTGGGTTTTTGGGCTGGGCTGGGGCTGGGTTGGTGGGCCCTCACACACAGGGCTCTGATCTGGGACAGCGCCTCCTTCAGGGCGGTGGAGAACACTGCGGAAGAGGTCTCAGTGCTCTCTCTGAAGCTGGACACGCAGAACACTATGTGGTCGGACTGCGGGTTGTAGCAGGCGCCGTACCCGTTTGGAACCACGGGACCATAACAGCAGAACATGTCCACTGTGGTCGGCACCTGGAGACACCAGGACAATGTGTGAGCTCACATGGTCCTTCAATAGTCTTCTGTTTTAAAAACCAGAGAACGTCATTGAACCTGTTTCCACCAGCCCTGCTCTCTGGTGTCTCTCTCTCTCTGGTCTCTCTTGCCTCTCTTTTTGTCGTTCTCTGGTGGTCTTGCTCTCAGGGCTCTCTGCTTTCTTTCTGGTCTCTCTTGCCTCTTTCTTTTGTCCCTTTCTGGTCTTTAGTCTCTCTCTGGTCTCTCTTGCCTCTCTTTTTTGTCTCTCTGGTTTATACTTGTTCTCTCTCTCTTTTTCACATATTTGTCTGAAAAAGACGTTATTTCATATCATACTCCAGCCTTCCCAACAACATCTATCTACACCAGTTGTGGTTGGTTACCTGGCTGGTGGAGAGGATGAACTGATTGCTGGTCACGTAGGTCTGGTCACAGAACAGTTCTGGTTTCTCCATCTTCAGGTCTCTGGACACTTGCAGCAGCCCCAGCAGGTGGTTGTCGATGCCGTTCCCAGTGATGGCCTGAGGAGAAGTTAGAGTTCACTGGTACTATCTGCAGAGAGGTCTGAGAGGAACCACTCTACTCTCTGGTCTCTCTCTGGTCTTTCTCTGGTCTCTCTATGGTCTCTCTCTCTGTTCTCTTTCTGGTGTCTCTCTGGTCTCTACCTTTAATCTCTCTCCGGTCTATTTCTCTGGTCTCTCTCTGGTCTCCCTCTTTGGTCTATCTTTCTGGTCTCTTTCTCTGTTCTCTCTCCCGTCTCTCTCTGCTCTCTCTCAGGTCACACTCAGGTCTCTTTCTGGTCTTACCGCGATGGTGTTGTCAGTCTGAGTGCGGATAGCGTCTTTTAGCTTCTGCATCTTCTCTGTGTCCTGCAAATACACATTATTTTTAAAGACTTTACAGACCAAAGAGAGACAACAAAGAGAGAGAGGAATGCCTCACGTCAGCTGCTCTCTCTTGGGAGGTGCTTTGGCTCATGCACTGAACAAATGCCAGCACCTGCTTTGTGGCCGATCGGATGTTGTCCACACGTCCTTCTCTGAATCGCCTCATGGAGGCGCTCTCGTACGTGGGAACCAGTCTGCGATTACACCTGAAGAAGGAGAGTTTATGAGGCCTGATTCTGAACCTTGAAGATATGAACTGGATCTACAGCCTCAGTCCTGGATCTACAGCCTCAGTCCTGGATCTTCAGCCTCAGTCCTGGATCTACAGCCTCAGTCCTGGGTCTACAGCCTCAGTCCTGGATCTACAGCCTCAGTCCTGGGTCTACAGCCTCAGTCCTGGGTCTACAGCCTCAGTCCTGGATCTACAGCCTCAGTCCTGGGTCTACAGCCTCAGTCCTGGGTCTACAGCCTCAGTCCTGGATCTACAGCCTCAGTCCTGGGTCTACAGCCTCAGTCTTGGATCTACAGCCTCAGTCCTGGGTCTACAGCCTCAGTCCTGGATCTACAGCCTCAGTCCTGGATCTACAGCCTCAGTCCTGGTGTAAGAGTCTCTCACTTGTAGAAGGCGAGCTGTAAGGCCACTTGGATGTAGGCGTCTGGACTCATCTTCTGTTTCTTGATGAAGTCTTTTCCGTAGGCGGTGAATCGAAACACGTCCATGTCCAGGTTCTTCACCAGCCTGAGGAGGAGGATGCTAACCCGCTCACTCACTGGGAAGTGCTCATGGACAAAGTTTTATAGTGAGTGACAGACCTGTTGAGTCTCGCTGCTGACGCTGAGATGAATCCTGGAATCTGAGGAGAGATTTTCCACTCGAGTCGTTTTGGAACCGGCAACGACTTCCCACTGACGACTGTCGACATTTTAGACGGACTCCCGATTCTACAGGAAGAGAACGTCTTTATGAGCAGTAGAAGCAGTAGTAGTAGCAGTAGCAGTAGTAGCAGTAGCAGTAGCAGTAGCAGTAGCAGTAGTAGTAGTAGTAGTAGCAGTAGCAGTAGCAATAGTAGCACTAGTAGTAGCAGTAGTAGCAGTAGCAGTAGAAGCAGTAGCAGCAGTAGTATTACATGTATTTAAGGAGAAACTCTGAGCACTGGACCAGGACGATTCCTTCAAACGGTGAGTGTTCACAAACCACTCCACACACACCGTTCAGACCCACCACAAACTGAAACCAAACACAGACATTAGGAGAGAGACCTGAAAAAGACCACAAGGAGACCAGAAAGAGATCAGAGGGAAAGATCAGAAAGTGAGACCAGAGAGAAACCAGGAAAAGACCCCAGAGAGAGACCAGAGTGAGGGGAACTCGCCTGCATGGATTTGTCGTACCAGCGGTTCCCCCCGTTCCTCTGGGACCCGCCCCCATGCAGCATGGAGGCCGCTCGGCTGGAGTCGTTCTGGTCCAGAGCCCCACATGGTTCATCCAGACACACCAGACACAAGCTAGACTCAAGCAGGTCTAAGGAAGTCCGGTTCACTGGGTCTGAGGAGACAAGAACCAGGACTCAGGCAGAGACTGAGGCAGAGATTGAAGCAGAGACTGAAGCAGAGACTGAAACAGACTGAAGCAGAGACTGAAACAGAGACTGAGGCAGAGACTGAAACAGACTGAAGCAGAGACTGAAACAGAGACTGAGGCAGAGACTGAAACAGACTGAAGCAGAGACTGTGGCAGAGACGGAAACAGACTGAAGCAGAGGCTGAGACTGAGGCAGAGACTGAAGCAGAGACTGAGACTGAAGCAGAGACTGAAATAGACTGAAGCAGAGACTGAAACAGACTGAATCAGAGACTGAAACAGACTGAAGCAGCGACTTAAGCAGAGACTGAAACAGACTGAAGCAGAGACTGAAACAGACTGAAGCAGAGACTGAGACTGAGGCAGAGACTGAAGCAGAGACTGAGACTGAAGCAGAGACTGAAACAGACTGAAGCAGAGACTGAAACAGACTGAAGCAGAGACTGAAACAGACTGAAGCAGAGACTGAGACTGAAGCAGAAACTTAAGCAGAGACTGAGGCAGAGACTTAAGCAGAGACTGAAACAGACTGACGCAGAGACTGAAACAGACTGAAGCAGAGACTGAGGCAGAGACTGAAACAGACTGACGCAGAGACTGAGGCAGAGACTGTTCTCTGGTCTCACCCTGGTCTCTTGTCTCTAGTCTCTGTGTGAAGACGTCCCATTCCTCTCGGTCTCATGGTCAACAGGTGTGTGTGTGCGTGTGTACCTGTGAGCAGTGTGTCTCTGGCCTCAGCCCACTGGTCCCTCCCGTCAGACGTCATTAGACCCACAGGGGGCGCTCTCTGCTCTTCTGCCAGTTTCATGATTTTATCCAGTTGTGAAAAAATCTCTGCGTCCGTCATCGGTTCATCGTTTAGAAGGGTTTCCAACACAAAGAACTGAAGGAGAGAGACCAGAATGAGACCAGCGGGAGACCAGAGGGAGACCAGAGGGAGACAAGAGTGAGACCAGAGAGAGCAGAGGGGACCAGATAGACCAGAGAGAGAGACCATAGAGAAAGACGAGGATGTGAACATTTAATTTATGAGGTTGCTGTCATTTATACTTTTCTAGATACATAAAAACAGTCGTTGAATTCCAAGACCATGTGTGATGGTACCTGGTTTTTGCAGGCCACGACCATGTGTTCCGGACCAGCACAATCCACTTTGACAGAGAGAGAGTCCTGGTTCTGGTGCGGATATCTGTAGGAGCTGAAGAGGCGTCTGTACTGCTGCATACACATGGGTGTCCCGGCCAGCTGACCACGGGCCACGTCCACCGGCAGGTCCTCTCTGTGGGGGAGACCAGGGAAGACCAGGGGGAGACCAAAGGGAGACCAGAGGGTGACAAGGGGAAAACCAAAGAGGGATTAGATGGAGACCAGATTCAGATTCAATTTATTTGCCATTTGCAGTAATACCACATTGGCATGCCTCTGCTTAAACCCGACTAGAGGCCAGCTTTGGTACTGCAGTCTGGATGGACTTTTAGAGGAGAAATACTCACGCGTCGATGCGAGCTTTGTAATCCAGCACTCCTCTGATGATCCGAGTCGCAAACCTACATAACAAATGTCACAATAAATAAACACCTTGTAATAATAATTACATTTATAAATAAATGTAGTGTATAGAAGATTAAGGACCGAACGTGTTAGCGAGACCAGAGAGAGACCAGAGGGACCAGAGAGGGACCAGAAAGATACCAGAGAGGGACCAGAGAGGGACCAGAAAGAGACCAGAGAGAGACCAGAGAGGGACCAGAAAGAGACCAGAGAGGGACCAGAGAGGGACCAGAGAGGGACCAGAAAGAGACCAGAGAGGGACCAGAGAGGGACCAGAAAGAGACCAGAGAGGGACCAGAGAGGGACCAGAAAGAGACCAGAGAGAGACCAGAGAGAGACTAGGATATGATCATTTAAATTGTGAAGTTGCCATCAACTATAATTTATGAATATAAAACAGCATTAAACACAAATAACACAATAATTAAATTAAATTATACTGAAAAAACAACTTCTGGAATATTCCCAAAGGCCCTGAAAACTGCAGTCATCAGGCCCCTGCTAAAAAAGAGCAGTCTGGATGCCACTGTACTTAACAACTATCGTCCCATCTCAAATCTGCCATTTATGGGGAAAGTCCTTGAGAAAGTTGTCTACCTACAGCTTACTAGATTTCTTATAATCAACAACTCATTTGATATGTTTCAGTCCGGCTTTAGACCCCACCACAGCACTGAGACTGCTCTCGTCAAGGTGACAAACGATATCCGGCTGAACACTGACGCAGGCAAAGTCTCAATCTTAATCCTGTTAGATCTGAGTGCTGCCTTTGACACTGTCGACCATGAGATCCTCTTACAGAGACTAGAGGACTGGGTTGGCGTCGCTGGCACCGCCCTAAGTTGGTTTAGGTCTTACCTTGAAGACAGGAAGTACTTTGTGGAGATTGGAAACTGTGTCTCAGATCATATGGCCCTGACCTGTGGAGTCCCACAGGGGTCGATCCTGGGACCTCTTCTGTTCACTCTCTACATGCTGCCGTTAGGTCAGTTAATACGCAGAAACAAAGTTTCCTATCATAACTATGCAGACGACACTCAGATCTATGTCTCACTGACTGCAGGAGAACATGGACCAGTGGACTCACTCCTTCACTGTATCCAACAGATCAATGAGTGGATGCAAAACAACTTCCTTCAGCTAAACGCAGACAAAACTGAAATGATTGTCTTCTGTCCCCAGAAACAAAGAGCGTCATCTGTCACCTCCAGTCTCTCTCCCTAAAACCTTCAAACAAGGTCAGAAATCTAGGGGTAATACTGGACTCAGACTTAAATTTTAATAGCCACATTAAATCAGTAACATCAGCAGCTTTTTACCATCTAAAAAACATTGCCAGGATCAAAAACATAGTGTCTAAAGCAGACCTGGAGATTCTTATCCATGCTTTTGTCTCCAGTAGGTTAGACTACTGCAATGGCCTGCTCACAGGTCTGTCCAAACAGGCTGTAAAACAGCTGCAGTACATTCAAAATGCAGCAGCTCGAGTCCTGACTAGAACCAGGAAGTACGACCATATTAGTCCAGTCCTCAGGTCTCTGCACTGGCTTCCTGTGGCTCAGAGAATAGACTTTAAAACAGCTCTGCTTGTGTACAAGTCTCTCCATGGCCTCGCACCAAAATATATTAGTGACATGTTAGTCCCATATGAACCAGCCCGGACTCTGAGGAGCACAGGGACTGGACTCCTGCTAGTGCCCAGAGTCAGAACTAAACATGGGGAGGCTGCTTTTCAAATTCATGCTGCTAAAATCTGGAACAATCTTCCTGAATATGTGAGACAGGCCTCCTCTCTGACAATGTTTAAAACCAGGTTAAAAACGGTTCTGTTTAGCTGTGTATACAACTGAGGGATTTTATATTTTTATCTTTCTTTTTAATGTTCTGTGATTATTTATGATTTTAATGCTTTCTTGTTTTGTTCAGCACTTTGAATTGCCTTGTGTATGAATTGTGCTATACAAATAAACTTGCCTTGCCTTGCCTTCTGTTTAAAGACAGACGGTGACGTGTAACAGGTGTCATCAGAGAAGTTACGCAGAGCAGCTTTAATGTGGTTTGTGACAGTAAATAAATACACAGATGTATAAATAGCTGCTACAGCGGTGAGTCTGCAGGTCGTAGATAATCCACTGGGTCTGTATCCCGTCAGACTGAGGCGGAACTGTGTGAGAGACAGGAGATGCCTCACCAGGACCAGGACTAGGACCAGGACTAGGACCAGGACTTGGTCTGGTCTCTCAGCACAGATCTGCTATGGTCTCATTATTGTTTTATAAAGATGTCTAGAAGTGTTGACAATGTTCAAAAACATTTGCACGATGTTAGCTACTCACTGGTCTTCCTAGTCTCTCTCTGGTCTCTCTGGTAACTCTCTCCTTGGTCTCTCTCTCCCTGGTCTCTCTCTGTTCTCTCTGGTAACTCTTTTCTATCTTTACTCTTGTCTCTCCTTGGTCTCTTCCCGGTCTCTTCCTGATCTCGTTCTGGTCTTCCTCTATCAGCACCTTCTGAAATACACATGTACAACACGGTCACTACATGTTGATGGTACATATTGATGGTACCTGAGTGCATCCCTGGTGTCTCTGAAGTTCTGTTTGGGGAAAACCATGGCAGGACTGGAGTTCACCGGGAGAGCCAGACGATTGTTCAGGTACATGTCCTCCAACCAGTAATCATACACCTGCACCAGGAAACAACAAGGTCACACAACCAGACACCAGAGAGAGACCAGGGAGAGACCAGAGAGAGACCAGGGAGAGACCAGGGAGAGACCAGAGAGAGACCAGGGAGAGACCTGGGACACATCAGGGAGAGACCAGAGACCGCAGAGAGAGACCAGGAAGAGACCAGGTAGAGGCCAAGGAGAGACCAGAGCGAGAGACCATATTTTGGAAGCGAGTAACTAGTAACAGAGATGTTTGAACGTAGCTCAAGTTAGGTACCCCAGCTTTAATCTCAGTTTCCTCAGGACAGAATACAGTGAGATTGTGAGTTTGTCCACGTTGTGTGTTTCATCTTCTTTTCCACCAAAACTCTGTCTTCGATCTCTTCACTTTTACAGATTCCTGAGCTGTATCTCTCCCTCCATCGCTTCCGTGCTCTCTCCCCTGATTATGTGGGCCGTGTGGGACATGAGGGTACCAGACCGAGACCAGGCCGTGACCAGGACAGAGACCAGACTGAGACCTATTTGTGAGGCAGCAGAGTGGGCAGTGATGGATCAGCCGTGGCCTCACTCCAGACAAACACACATCTGAGTAAAAAACAACATCTGTCTCCAGTAAATAGACACAGTCTCGGCTGAATCTGGACAGATTTAAAGCTCGGGTTCCTAACATGGTCTCTTTCATGGTCTCCCCCCCTCTCTTTCTCTCTCTCTCTCTTTCTCTCTCTCTCTCTCTCTCTCTCACTTTCTCTGGTGACACATGAATGCTCTATGGTTCTCTCAGTCCTCACCCAGTTGTCCTTCTGGTCCCTCCTCTCCTGGAGCTTCCTCTGCAGTAGCTCCCCCACACCCCCAGAGGAGCCAAACCTCTCCACAGCTGCTGAGGTCTTCCTGAACTGGTCTTCGGGAACAAGGTGCTGGACACATTTCAGGTACGTGGCCAGAGTCTGGTCCAGAGGAGGAACCGGGATCTTGGGAAATTCCTGCAAACACAGTACTATTGTGAGCACCAGGGGAAAAAACAAGGAAAACCAGGTCTCTCTATTTGTCCAATCTAATTTGACTGTCTCTCTCCCTGGTCTTGCTGGTCTCTCTTTGATCTCCCTCTGGTATCTCGCTGCTATCTCTCTGGTCTTTTTCTCTGGTCTCTCTCTGGTCTCTCTCTCTATGGTCTTTCTCTGATCTCTCCCTGGTCTCTGTGGTCTCTCTCTGTGGTCTCTCTCTCTGGTCTCGCTGGTCTCTCTTTGATATCTCTATGGTCTCAATCTTGTCCCTCTCTCTAGGGAAAATCTGGTCTCTCTCTGGTTGCTCAATCACTCTGGTCTCTCTCTGGTCTCTTTCTTGTCTCTCTCTGGTCTCTCTCTGGTCTCTCTCTCACTGGTCTCTCTCTGGTCTCTCTTGGTCTCTCACTGGTCTCTCTCGGTCTCTCACTGGTCTCTCTCTCACTGGTCTCTCTCTGGTCTCTCTCTGGTCTCTCACTGGTCTCTCTCTCTCTGGTCTCTCTTTGGATTCAATCAAACACACTGTTTATAATTAGAACATGACTTAATAATTCATGACAAAAGCTTTGAAGAAAAGACGAGATGGGACCTGGTAATTAGCGAGATGTCGTTAATTAAGAAAAGCAAAAATGTCTGGAGGCGAATAACGAGGCTCAGGCCAAAGCAACAAATTATTTACATGCGGAGACTTTGAAATCTGCAGATTGAGACTTTTACAGAAACCATTCATTTTTCTCCAAACACCGTCAGGAAGAGACCAGGGAGACCAGAGAGAGACCAGAGGGAAACCAGAGAAAGACCGGAGAGAGACCAGAGAAAGACCAAAGAGAGACAAGAGAGAGACCAGCAAGAGTGACCAGAGAGAGACCAGAGAGAAACCAGAGAGAGACCAGAGAGAGACAAGAGAGACACCAGTGAGAGAGACCAGAAAGTGACCAGAGAGAGACCAGATAGAGAGACCAGAGAGAAACCAGAGAAAGACCAGCGAGAGAGACCAGAGAGACCAAAGAGAGACCCCAGAGAGAGAGACCAGAGAGTCTAAAACATGTCTGCACATCAGCAGTGGTGTAGCAGCAGTTCTCTGTCAGCAATCCTCTCGGTTCAGTATGCACGCCGCGGCTCCAGGCCTCTCTCTGACACTGGAGCCACTTTACTGATTAAAACCTCTTATTTATTATAGTAAGAGCTTTGTATCCATTTACCGATGGTTTCAGTGCCAAGAGGCTGAAATATACTGCCACTGCGACTGCTACTACTGCTGCTACTGCTACCATTGCTACTACTACTACTACTTCTACTGATACTACTACTACTGATACTACTGTTACTAATACTGTTTCTAATGCTACTACTACTTCTATATGCTTCTACTACATGCCGTCCAGCTGAAAGAATCTTGTAAATTGTAAAAATTGTTGTGAACACAATATGCTGCTGTCAGTCACTGTTTGACTCTTTGGGCTGAGAGCTGATTGGCTGAGTGAGGGTGGTCCTGTGAAAGTTATTAACCACAACTTTAAAATCGAGAAACTCTGGAGAATTCTTTCCATAGTGTGCGTAATCTCAGGGTCCTGGTATTACACCTGCCTCTGTCCGTGGTGCTGAACGTCTAGAACAGTATCAAGTCTCTCCCAACCTTTCCCCAGCTGTAAAAAAAAAATCTAACACTAGGACTCTCAGAAATATTAAAACTACTGGAACTCCCAGAGCCGTCATTTTGACTGCTCCCATTCAAACCAAAAAAAATCTGAAAAATTACAAAGATGTTTATTATTTTTAACCTTTAATCACTTTTAATGAGAGCTAAAACTGTTCAAAATAAATGAAATACAGCAAGGCTACTTTTTGAAAGGCTAAATGCTAACTGTAACAAGTAAACAGTGTGTTGCTGTGGTAACCAGCACAGTAACTAACCAGGAGGTAAAGGTACAACTACTCACGTTTCAAAAGTACAAGATAATTTCATAAAAAATAATGACATAAAAATAAACTGCACATAGACACAGAAGTTATGAAGAGCAAATCTGTACATACGCTGAGTACTTTCACTTACAAGACCAAGAGCCGTCAAAATGACTACTCTAGGAGTTCTAGAGTTAAAACCACCCAAAAACAGCTCGTTCTCACCTGTTTGTCCGCGCTGGTCTCCTTGGTCAGAATCGGCATCTTGCTTCTTCTTCAGTCACGTTACTTTTAAAACAAATCCTCGATCTGAAAAAATAATCAGATTACATTTAACAGATTACATTTATTAAACGGACTACATTTAATAAACAGATTACATTTTACTTATTTAACATCAAAAGCTAAGATTAAGATTTAAAACCTGCTTTTTGGTCGTGCGCGCAATGCTCCATGTTGTGTCCCTAAACTATGGCACGAGTCACTCTGTCCAGTTTTAAAGTCTGAAAATCTGTACATTGCGTTTGCACCTGATTAAAGTAACTACTATACTACTACTACTATCACTGCTACTGCTTCATCTCTGTCTGGCGTCGCTACCATTTGTTTGAATGGACATGGTTCACTTTTACGCACGGGTTATTAACATAAATCCACAAGCTGTTTCCGAAGTATTGAAAAGAGCTGGAAAAGTGGACTTGCCTTTGCACTGGGAGACCGCTGGTGCTGGTTCGTGCCCGGTCCGCGTCACCTTCACGTGCATAACCGCGTCCCTCCGCTTGCCATGAGTCTCCACGGAATGGATCCGGGTTTAAGTTGGAAGTGTCGGGAGCGCTGTCTGATCTTTACCTTCACGAAGTCGTTCTCCCTGAGGCTACAAACTCCTCCTCCTGCCTTTGCAGCCGCGCGTAACCGTGCGTAATACCGCTGGATGATGGACGGACAGACGGCACGCGTCTGGCCCCCTCCCGTGCGTAAAGACCGTGGAGAGATGGAAAGGCGCGCGCTGACGGGCTTTACGCACAGCACGTAAATGAACGTTAATGGACTAGTATCAATTCAGGTCTATGCACAGGAAGGTTAGAAGAGAGATGGACCAGAGAGGGACCAGACAGAGACCAGAGAGAGACCAAAGAGAAACTAACGAGAGATCAGAGAGACCCCAGAGAGAGAGACAAGAGAGGGACCGGAGAGAGATCAGAGAGAGACCAGAGAGAGACCAGAGAGAGACCAGAGGGAGACCAGAGAGAGACCAGCGAGAGATCAGAGAGAGACAAGACAGGCACCTGAGAGAGATCAGAGAGACCAGAGAAAAACCATAGAGGGGCCAGAGAGAGCCCAGAGAGAGGCAAGAGAGAGGGAACAGAGAGAGAGACCAGAGAAAAACGAGAGAGGGATCAGAAAGAGAGAGCGATCAGAAAGAGCGACCACAGAGAGACCAGGGATAGAGACCAGATCAAAGAGGGACCAGAGATAGACAGAGACCTAAGTGGATTGTTGAAGGCATTACAGAGAAATTTGCTCTTAACCCAGACTAGAATCTAATGTTTGACACTACTCACATGCGCTGCTCTTGGAAAGGGACAGATGTTTTTGATGATAATTCACACCGCAGCACCTGGAGGAAACCCACCCAGACACGGAAAGTTCATGCAAACTTCTACTACTAGTACTACTACTACTATTATTTCTCATGTCAAACTTTTCATAATAAAACGTGAGTCCATTTCATGACAGTTTTGAACTTGAATCTTTATTAAAACACACGAGTCGTTACACGGACACAACAGACGGTCTTCCACACGACGCCATTTTGAAAGCACATATGTACAACTCTACATCAGGTCTTCGAATCAAACACAGAACCCACGCCAACGACACAGTAAAAAACCCTCTCCCACTAAAAATAGATCCTTCTGTTGTTGCGTATAGTCGCTCGGTCCTGGTCCTGGTCCTGGTCCTGGTCCTGGTCCTGGTCCTGGTCCCAGTCCTGGTCCTGAATCGTACATTTAGAGGAACGGACAAATCTCCCACAAAATCGAACACATGTACATCAACAACAAAAATGTAGTTCTGAAATGTTTAAAACTATAGAGAGCTGTTTTCAAGAGAGAAACTGAAGAGAGACTGAGAGGAAGAATAAGAGAGAGAGAGGGAAAAAGCGACAGAGAGAGAGACTGAAAGAGGGGGGGGGCGACATAACATTTCAATGTTATTAAAGCTTTGAAGTTTGTAACTTTAAAAATGAAAAAATGCATGTGGTATTTATCAAACAAAAATCTTTACACATGTGTAAGTTCTCCTTATAACAAGTTTAATCACATTTCAAGCACTTCGGTTGAACCACATGGTTTCCAAATGTACCAAGTCACTCATTTATCCAAAAGAACTGTGGGGAAAGAGGTTCCATTTAAATTATTTGCTAAAATTCATTTCTACTTTTTTATCCATGAATTTTGTAAATAAACAAAAACTAAAAAAGACAAAATATACCGTATATGTTATCCCTCTCTCTAGTCTGGTGTCTCTCTGGTCTCTCTCTCTGGTCTCTCTCTCTGGTCTCTCTCTCTGGTCTCTCTCTGGTCTCTCTCTGGTCTACTTTGTTATTACTGTAAACTCAGTTATTTTATGGTCATTTTTGCAAGCCGCTCTAAAAACACATTTGTAAACAGGGCTTCAATCTTTTTCAAAAATACTGTTATTTATCCACTGTTTCATGTTTCAGTTTTACGTCATGTGCTTTCAACAGTTTTGAAAACTCTGTCTCTCAAATAGATTTACTTGTGCATTTTGACTTGTGCTCTTTTTCCTAAAAAAGGTCTCTCTCTGGTCTCTTTCTGTTCTCTCTCTAGCTTCTCGCTGGTCTCTCGCTGGTTTCTCACTCGTCTCTATCTGGTCTCTCTCCGGTCTCTCTCTCTGGTCTCTCTCTGGTTTCTCTCTGGTCTCTCTCTCTGGTCTCTCTCTCTGGTCTCTACAGTTCAGGTGAAATCGTAGCCAGACGACTCCTCGGACAGTGACCTCTGACCCCTGAAGGCGTCCACTCCGTTCTCGTCGGCGCTGGTGCAGTTCTTCTTCTTCTTCTTCTGGCCGCGCTCCTCGAGGCGGATGGTGTCGTACAGTCCCTGCGGCGCGTCCTCCAGCAGCGTGTCCCGCTCCGAGTGCGACGGCTTCATCTGACACACGTTTCTCAACATGAGCAGCGCAGGCGCGTACAGGACGTTGATTAGGCCCATGCCGAGGTTCAGCTGCACAAAGCCGAGGTTGTGCACAATCTGCCCCGCCACGATTGGGCCCATGGCGTACGCCACCGAGTACGAGATGTCCGCGATGGCGTAGACGCTGCCGTAGACGCTGACGTGCCGCACATCCACCAGGAAGGCGAGCGTCGGCAGCAGAGCTGTGTCGACGAGCGCAATGCCAAAGCAGATGCCACACAGCGGCGCGATGAGCTGCCCGAACGTCTTACAGGCGGGGACCGTGCAGGAGCTGGCGCCGATGATGACCATGCCGAGCGCCGCGTAGAACCACTGCAGGTTGGGGTTCTTCGCCGCCAAACGCACTGTGATGTAGACGCCGAATACGTGCGGGAAGAAGGCGGGCAGCCACGTCAGGCCCATCTCCCACTGCGTGGAGTGCATGGTGCTCTCCATCCAGTTGGCAATGGTCGGCTCCAGGAACGCTAGCGGGATGTTACACACGGTTAGCGCGCCCGCGACCACTGCGATGTATGGGTCGATCATGAGCCGATAGATGGGAGGACCCACAGGGAGGTTCTCGCGCGTCCGATTGGTTAGCGGCCTGATCACAGTTAGCAGCAAGAAGCCGTCGGCGAGGCATATACACGCCAGCACAATGAACGGTACTCTCTTCCCGGCGAATTCGTACAAGATTCCACCAAATGGCGGCGCAACAAGACTCCCGAACGAGATGAACGCCAGCGCGATTCCCAGGGCGCGCGTCCGCTCCGCCTCCTCTGTGTACTTGTCGGCAATCATGGCTAACCCTGAGGTGTCCGCGAACGCCGAGCCCAGGCCCTGCAGGCTCCTGGCGATGAACAACGTGGCGTAGTTCTCAGCGAACGCAAAAATACAGGTGGAGACAAACATGACCATCAAACCGATCAGCAGTGGGATGTCGTAGCCCACGCGGTCGATGAAGGTGCCGCTGATGGGGTTGACCAGCAGCTGCAGGATGGCCTTGGATGCGAACAAGACACCGATCTGCAGGTCCAGGTTGTTCTTCGTCTCGGCATTGGACTGTTGCGTGCTGTTGGGGTGCAGGACCAGGTGCACATGCTCGCTCTGCTCGCTCTCCAAGTCGGCGAGATAGTCCGGGATGATGGGCACAATGACCATGTAGAGCATGTTGTCCAGCAGCAGCGCCACGCACACAATGACCAGGATGATGCGCCGCTGCTGGTGCGGGTCCTGCATGGAGGCGCCCAGTTGTCTGGTCTTGGCGCCCATCGCCGACAGACTCATGACGGCGGATTTGGCGAAACCCGAAGTTCCGCTGGTCTCTTGCTCCATGTTAGAGCTGCACTGGTTTCACGGCCTCCGGAAAAAAAAACACAAAGATCTTGGACTCAGCTTTGCCAAAATGTTCTCATGTTTTGTCTCAGCTCAAAAGCTTTCAATGCAGGATTTCAACGTGATTTAGTCAAAAAGGGGCCACAGCTTTAAAAATCTGGGAGTTGATTGATTTTGAAGTAAAACTACTTTCTTCAACTGGTCTTTCTCCTTTCAAGATTAAATTAACAATATTTTGTGCTTTCTTGGACGAGAAAAATATCACAATTGACCAAAAACGTGCCAATTTTTTTTTTCAATTTCTGTGCATTTCTTTCGCCAGTTTTAGCTGAAATCTCAAAAATGACTGCTTTGAACTTGGCTTAATGAGCTCGAGCGCTCTGTAAACAGCTGTTTGTGCGTCTCTTACTTGTGCCTTTATCTTGGGTTAATACAAACCCACTATTTCCTTTGCGTTGTTTTTAATACAATAGTCGTCGTTGTGCGTCTAGTCTCTGCTTCTGCGCGCGCTGTGCTTCTACTTGGACAAAAACAGGGGAAATGATTCAGAAATCTCACATTTTTTTCATTTGATTGTGCGCTTTCTCTTCTCTGTGCGTGAAGCGAACCTTGTGCCAGATACCATCACACAACGAACATGTATTTGGTCATATATTTGGTCTCGTGTCGTCTGTGAGCGTCAGGAAGTCAGACATTTCTCCGCTCGAACTGGAGACGATCACACTGTGCGCGTTTCGGCTTCCAGACCTGTGCGTAAAGATGCCATGACAGTGCGTAAAAATCATATGTAATTGATGGATGAAGCGACGCGCGGTGCCATGGCTCTCACTGTGTCCTCTGCGCCAAGAAAGTAAAAATAAATTCAAAATTAAGCAAAAAGTTAAGTAATGAGCAGTGACGTGTGGCTTGAGGGAGAGATCCAATCAGACGGAGATAACACAGAGAAATTGGATGGAGTCCGTGGTTTGGTGATGGCGCGCGCTTTCTTCTGACATTGGTGAAGTAGGAACAGATTCTCGAGTCAGCAGAAGGAGAAGAAGTGGTTGTTTCTGAGCCACGGCGCGCTCTGGTCCCGCATCCAAAGAGGAGAGAGTGTAGCGTTTGTAAAAAGATAAAAAATTAGTTCTGTTTCGTGGTGTCAGCTCAGAATCCAAGACCAGATCCAGGTTTTTCTCTGAACATTCACGGAGATTGATCAAAATTCTTGTGCTTTTGGAGCTGTGACGTCTTTGCCCCCGCATAGATCTGATCCAGAGTCAGTTCAATCTCTCAGAATCCTGATTTTATATATTTCTTTTTTTGCCGCGAAAGTCCGCGCGTCCTGGAGCCAAACTTTGCTCTGCGGTCGTGTCTCTGCGCCTCGCGTGACCCGAGTGTCGCGCGGCTCCCGTGGCCCTCGTGCACGCGCCTCCTTCATTCACTTGCACGCGCATGGTGCGTGGTGCGTGTAGGGTGCGCTCACGCGAGGGGCAACGTGATAGCCGCAAATGGCTTTGGTTATTTTATTTGTTGCGTTACTACAATAACAGTAGTAGCAGCAGCAACATGTGTAACAGCAGTAGTAGTAGAATATTAGTAGTAGTAGTAGTAGTAGTTGTGATATTAATTAAACTTAGAAGCACGTACTCTAAGAAATAAGATGATTTATTGACTTTTTTTTAAAGTCAAGCAATTTTAACAGAACTCGAACCAATACAGATAAGATTTATAAGATTAAAAATACCTTTATTAATCCTGAAGGAGCCAAAGAGACCAGAGGGAGAGACCAGAGAGAGACCAGAGAGAGACCAGAGGGAGAGACCAGAGAGAGACCAGAGAGAGACCAGAGGGAGAGACCAGAGAGAGACCAGAGAGAGACCAGAGAAAAAGAGACCTAAGAGGGACCAGAGAGAGAGACCAGAGAGACCCAAAAGAGACCAGAGGGAAAGACCAGAGCGAGACCAGAGAGACAAAACAGGGTTCGAGGCCTCCAGTAAATGATAAAAGTTGATTAACTGACTGTCATCGTTTCTACAGAGGTCTGGCGTTGATGGTACATTGGCGCCCTCTGGTGGAACCGGTCTCACTGTGACGCGTGGGGCATGTGCGCAGTTGTTAAAGCTGAGGTATGTAACTTTCAAACCACAACATTAGAACAATGTCATAAACTTTACGTCACTTTAGACGTAGAAACAGTTGTTTCTGTCACTTGTGTTGATGTATTGGCCAGAAAAGTGACAAAGGTTCTCTCAGCCTGAAGTGTCAAATAGTGACTCACTAGGTTCTTTCTTGCGAGATTCAGGCCACGCATACTGTTTCTTTCCCGTTATTTATAGCCCGGTGTCAGAAGCAGCAGTCTGAGCAGAGTATGTCCTGGTGGACCTTCAGCTGGCCTCTCCTGATGTGGACGAGAAGCAGAGGTCCCTTTCTGGTCTCTCTCTAGACTCTCTCCGGACTATCTCTGGTCTCTCTCTCTGGTGTCCCACTGATTTCTCTCTGGTCTCTCTCACTCTCACAGGACTCCACAGACACCACCATCAATAAAACATCTTTTATTTTTAGACTTTTTACAATCTTTGTTCAGGAAAAGCTGAGAACATGTTGCAGTAAACAATGATTCGTTGATGTAAACAGAGGATCAATCACTCACAGGAAAACAGTATAAAGATGTAAACGGCAGCCTCCACACAGCCCTTTGTAAAAACAGGAGTGAGACCAGGGAGAGAGACCAGGGAGAGAGACCAGAGAGAGACCAGAAAGAGAGAGGGCAGAGAAATAAACAAAGAGAGATCAGAAAGGGGGATATTTGGGGATGTCACTCCTCCTCCATGAGCGCCCAGGCCTCCTCTGCTTTCATGTAGAACTGATTTGCTAAACGACCTTTCATCGCCGCCATCGCCGCTTCTGCCGCCTCCGTGAACAGGTCTCCTACAAGAGAAAGACGTGAGTGGGAAAGGTAGGCGTGTTGTTTGACAGAGATCCGAGAGAACCCAGATAGAGACCAGATAGAGACCAGAGAGAGACCAGAGAGAGAGACCAGAGTAATCCAAAAGAGAGACCAGGCAGAGGGACTAGAGAGAGACCAGGCAGAGGCCAGTCCTGTCCTGGTCCTCACCTGCCCTCTGAGGGTCCGGCTTCAGTCCGTGGCCTCCCTCCGCTAACATCTCGGCCTCTCTGGACAGAAGCTGATATCGCGGCTCGTCCTGTGTCCCATCGAACTCTCCTCCCTCATCGTAGTCCATCATGTTCAGAGCACTGTCATACCAGTGCATGGCCTCCTCCCAGCTTTGCTTCCTGAGGGCAGAGACCAGATTGAGACCACAGAGAGACCAGAGAGAGACCAGAGAGAGACCAGAGAGAGACCAGGAGCCAGAATGGATCTTATCAACGATCACATGGATTTTATGACTAAGTTTCATTGTCGCGGTTTGAAAGTTAGGTCCCCCAGCTTTACCGGTCGACTGGGAGGTTGTATCCGGTGTCGTAGGCTCTGGCCACAGTGATCATACTGCTGCGGTCTCCAGCCTCCGCCGCCTGCAGAAGGTACCGGAACCCTCTGGCTCTGTTCCCCGCACTGTCCTGGAAACACATCACACATGCACTTCAGGAGAGACCAGATAGAGACCGGACAGAGACCAGAGAAAGACCGGACAGAGACCGGATAGAGACCAGAGAAAGACCGGACAGAGACCAGAGAGAGACACCAGAGAAAGACCACAAAGAGGCTAAAGAGAGACCATAAAGAGACCCGAGAGAGACAAGAGATAGACACCAGAGCGAGACCAGAGCGAGGCCAGAGAGAGAGATCAGTTGCTGTCATAGATGTCAAAGAGCACGCTCCTGAGAACTGGGGGATGGAGACTTCTGCTCACGGTCAGAGGAGATTCTAACCTCATGATCATTAACAAAGATAAATGTGTTGCTGGTACCTCCATCTCCAGGTCCGGCAGGATGTGGTGCGGCAGTTGCATATAGGCCAGGCCCAGGGCAATAATGGCCTCCAGCTCCCCGCACAGAGCTGCCCTCTCCAGGTGGAACAGAGCCGCGTCCTGGTCCCACACCTGGTCCTTCTCACAGAAGCGTCCGGCTTCATGGTACCGCACCATGGCCAAGTGCACCTGTTGGGACCACAGCGGGAAAGGTGGGTGTGTTGTTTGTTCGTTTTCACCAACGGGGAAGAGAGAGAGGAGACATAGAAGGGTATACAGTACATAAGGGTACATATTCTACTTTCAAAAAAAGTGTTTTAAAGTTACAATGAGAGAGAGAGAGAAACCAGAGAGAGACTAGAAAGAGAGAGACCAGAGGGAGCAGAGAGTAAGACAAGAGAGAGACCAGAAAGACCGAAAAAAAAAAAAACAGAGGGGGACCGTAGAGAGTCAGTTCTGTAGTAAACATACAGTGCCTTGCGAATGTATTCGGCCCCCTTGAACCTTTCGCCACATTTCAGTCTTCAAACATAAAGATATAAAATTTTAATTTTTTGTCATGAATCAACAACAAGTGGGACACAATCGTGAAGTGGAACGAAATTTATTGGATAACTTTTTTAACAAATAAAAAACTGAAAAGTGGGGCGTGCAATATTATTCGGCCCCTTTACTTTCAGTGCAGCAAACTCAGTCCAGAAGTTCAGTGAGGATCTTTGAATGATCCAATGTTGTCCTAAATGACTGATGATGATAAATAGAATGCACCTGTGTGTAATCAAGTCTCCGTATAAATGCACCTGCTCTTTGATAGTCTCAGGGTTCTGTTTAAAGCACAGAGAGAACCATGAAGACAAAGGAACACACCAGGCAGGTCCGAGATACTGTTGTGGAGAAGTTTAAAGCCGGATTTGGATACAAAAAGATTTCCCAAGCTTTAAACATCTCAAGGAGCACTGTGCAAGCAATTATATTGAAATGGAAGGAGTATCAGACCACTGCAAATCTACCAAGACCCGGCCGTCCCTCCAAACTTTCATCTCAAACAAGGAGAAGACTGATCAGAGATGCAGCCAAGAGGCCCATGATCGCTCTGGATGAACTGCAGATAACTACAGCTGAGGTGGGAGAGTCTGTCCATAGGACAACAATCAGTCGTGCACTGCACAAATCTGGCCTTTATGGAAGAGTGGCCATTTCTCAAAGATATCCATAAAAAGTCTTGTTTAAAGTTTGCCACAAGCCACCTGGGAGACACACCAAACATGTGGAAGAAGGTGCTCTGGTCAGATGAAACCAAAATCAAACTTTTTGGCCACAATGCAAAACGATATGTTTGGCGTATAAGCAACACAGCTCATCATCCTGAACACACCATCCCCACCTCAGCTGTAGTTATCTGCAGTTCATCCAGAGTGATCATGGGCCTCTTGTCTGCATCTCTGATCAGTCTTCTCCTTGTTTGAGATGAAAGTTTGAAGGGACGGCCGGGTCTTGGTAGATTTGCAGTGGTCTGATACTCCTTCCATTTCAATATAATTGCTTGCACAGTGCTCCTTGAGATGTTTAAAGCTTGGGAAATCTTTTTGTATCCAAATCCGGCTTTAAACTTCTCCACAACAGTATCTCGGACCTGCCTGGTGTGTTCCTTTGTCTTCATGGTTCTCTCTGTGCTTTAAACAGAACCCTGAGACTATCAAAGAGCAGGTGCATTTATACGGAGACTTGATTACACACAGGTGCATTCTATTTATCATCATCAGTCATTTAGGACAACATTGGATCATTCAAAGATCCTCACTGAACTTCTGGAGTGAGTTTGCTGCACTGAAAGTAAAGGGGCCGAATAATATTGCACGCCCCACTTTTCAGTTTTTTATTTGTTAAAAAAGTTTAAATTATCCAATACATTTTGTTCCACTTCACGATTGTGTCCCACTTGTTGTTGATTCATGACAAAAAATTAAAATTGTATATCTTTATGTTTGAAGCCTGAAATATGGCGGAATGTTGAAAGGTTCAAGGGGGCCGAATACTTTCGCAAGGCACTGTATGTGATGATGATGATGATGAGTGAGCTTCACCTTTCCCAGCACAGACTGTCCGATCTTCTTCTGCAGCATAGAGCTAAGTCTCTCCACCTCAGTGGCCACACACGAGGGTCTGTGCACGTGGGCTCGGGACGAGTGGAAGAAGCTCCACTTCTCGTCCGTCAGCTGCAGAGAGAGTCACGGGTCACACATTCTGTACATGAGGCTTCTTTGAGCTAGCAGGTTAGCATTGTCTATCTGTATACAGTCTATGTTAGCATTGTCTATCTGTATACAGTCTGTGTTAGCATTGTCCATCTGTATACAGTCTGTGTTAGCATTGTCCATCTGTATACAGTCTGTGTTAGCATTGTCCATCTGTATACAGTCTGTGTTAGCATTGTCCATCTGTATACAGCCTGTGTTAGCATTATCATCTGTATACAGTCTATGATCAGTGCAGTAAAATCAGTAATCAATATTTTGCAAGACCAGTCATAGTCATAATATTTCTATTGTACAGTGCAGCTTTGGTTTCATTGGTTTAACTGTATCAATTCAAAACGATGTCAACAAAAGAAATTCTACACTAAAATTATAAATCTATACATATTATACATGTTACATGCAGGTAACACACAAGCACAAGACAATGACACAGGTGAAGATTTGGGAGGGAAAAAAAGAGGTACATGTTTTTTTTTCAGGAGGAAGAATGGGCCAGAATTCCATTTAAATTGAATTTGAACAATATTTTTTAACTGTGATTTTCCCAACTCAATTCTCGTCTCCAGTGGGGCAGCCAGAGCTGTTTACAAAGCACTAATAATATCATACTATAAAACCAGAGAGAGAGACCAGAGAGAGACTAGAGAGAGAAAAGAAAGAGCAGAAAGAGACCAGAGAGAGACCAGAGAGAGAGAGCTCTAATGAGAGTCTGTAAAGTCCATGCTGGTCTGTATTCACCGCCTCAGAGTCTGGAGTGTGAGGGGAGTGTGGAGAGTTCAGATTAGAAACGGCTCTGGGAGGAATCACCATCTTTCTCTGAAGAATTAAACAGAAAAGCAACGAAACCAGGGAAGAAAATTAGAGGAAAATGAATGGAATTTTGTTAGAAGGAAACAGGGAAAAGAGAAGGCAAAGACATGAATTCTGAATATTTATCTGCTGCATTATCATCTCGTAAATGATCTATAGACCAAAAGTATTGAGACGTGCACCCATTTATATAGAACGAAAGAGACCGGTTTATTTCAGTTATAAGAATGAAGAGAAAGTAATGGGCACAGGGACCAGAGAGAGAGACAAGTGAGAGACCAGAGAGAAACAAGAGAGAGACCAGAGAGAGAGCAGAGAGAGAGAGCAGAGAGACCAGAGAGAGGACAGAGAGAGAACAGAGAGAGACCAGAGAGAAACCAGAAAGACACCAGAAAGAGACCAGAGAGAGACCAGATAGAGACCAGATAGAGACCAGATAGAGACCAGATAGAGACCAGATAGAGACCAGATAGAGACCAGATAGAGACCAGAGAGAGACCAGATAGAGACCAGAGAGAGACCAGATAGAGACCCTAACTAATCATTGATGACATGTTTCGATGTTTGAATCCATCCAAACTGACTGAGACAAAAGAGAAAAGTAAAGCTTCAGAATTCAGATCGTTGCTTTGACAGAGTGACGGGGACTGGGAGCTGGAGCTGGAGGATCTGCGGTGGAGTTTTACCCTTCTCACGCTGTCCTCATCAGACTCTGAGTAGTATCTTTGGTGACGAATAGGAATCTGAGAGACATGCACAAGACCACGGAATAAAACAAGATCCAGGACATTTAAGGACATTTGTGGACAGTGGTCATCGCTCTATGGACCGATGATTCTCTGATCTGCTGTTGGTGGATCCACAAATTGGTGAAGTCCTCCAAGACGACTGCTGCTGTGATTTTAGGGCGAAACACAAATACGTGGACACTGTACTTTGATTTCAATTGAATTTGTTAATGAGCAGAAGGTCGTCTGGTGGGGCGCTAAAAGGGAAAAGAATATTAGAAACGGCTCAAAATCAAAATAACACTTTTGACGGAAACAATTGTGGATCTGGAAACTGGTCTACAGCCTCAGTCCTGGATCTACAGCCTCAGTCCTGGGTCTACAGCCTCAGTCCTGGGTCTACAGCCGCAGTCCTGGATCTACAGCCTCAGTCCTGGATCTACAGTCTCAGTCCTGGATCTACAGCCTCAGTCCTGGATCTACAGCCTCAGTCCTGGATCTACAGCCGCAGTCCTGGATCTACAGTCTCAGTCCTGGGTCTACAGCCTCAGTCCTGGGTCTACAGCCTCAGTCCTGGATCTACAGCCTCAGTCCTGGATCTACAGCCTCAGTCCTGGATCTACAGCCTCAGTCCTGGATCTACAGCCGCAGTCCTGGATCTACAGTCTCAGTCCTGGATCTACAGCCTCAGTCCTGGATCTACAGCCTCGGTCCTGGATCTATTGCCCTTATTTTGACACTTTTGATTTGAATGAAATCCCTCTATGTCGGTTATCTGTCTCTGTAAATATTCAATATCCCCGACTCAACACACCAGTAAATATAAATAAAAAAACACAGATGTCTTGAGTCTAATACTAGATCAAGTACTAGTACATATAGAGTTGGTGCTCACCCCATCCACGTGGTCATTGGGGTCCCCCTCACTCCGGCGCTCGCTGGGATAACCACTGTCTCCTCCGTTCTCCGAATCCTGCACAAAAAACACAGCTTTAAGTTAAAGATGAAGAGATCCTTTATTCAGATCTAACTAAGCTGCCACTAGAGGGAGCTGCAAACACACAGTGAGAGACCAGGAGAGACCAGGAGAGACCAGAGAGAGACCAGAGAGAGACCAGAGAGAGACCAGAGAGACCAGAGAGAGACCAGAGAGAGACCAGACAGAGACCAGCGAGAGGGACCAGGTCTGAACAGCTGTGGACAGATGTGTGCAGACTTTGGGCTCTAACAGGTTGTAAAGACACTAATCGCTGGTTAAACATTTGCACACTTTAAAACTTCCACAAACAGAGGCAGCAGAAGGCGAAGGGAGTAGGCCTGTCACAATAACAAATTTTGCTAGACAATTAATTGTCTCAAAATGTATTGCGATAAGCGATAATATTGTCGTTCTGAGATCATTTTCATCCTATACAATGATAATGATGCAGACACCTTTTCAAAGATAAATAAAAACCACCGCCGGAAGTGGCGGAAGTAGTGGGCGGGCTTTGATGCTAACAGAGTTAAGCTAGCGGCTTTTTGTATAAAGTTCTTCGCCAATAATGCAGCTCTGCAGCGTCTCTGTGTCCAGAGACCTTCCAGAGACTTTATATAACAGCAGTATGTGTTCACGGAGGTGCGCCATAAGTTTATTTTATCATTAAACGGTACTTCCGCATCGGCGAACACGCTCACGCTAGCTGCGCTAGTTTAGTCACTACTAGAGCCGGAATGAGAACAACTACTGTGTCCCCCGATGTCAATCTTGGTTAAGTCCTGGTTTAGTCCTGGTTTAGTCCTGGTTTAGGTCCTGTTTTGGCTGTATTTTGTATTTTTGAGTAATTTCAGTCTGCTTGCTGAATGTTCCCGTGACCACTGTGCGGCTCTCTGACCCGAGAGAGAGGGAGGGAGCGAGACGAGGAAAACAAACAAGCATGCAAATGGAATTAATGACGGCCAGAAAAATTATTGAGCTAATTTTAATTAATGTGCGATTAATTGATTTATTAAATATTGCGACGGGCCTAGAAGTGAGGACTCACTTTGTGTTCTCCCGAGTTGTTGTTGAAGCGTTCTTGCTCAAAAGGTGCAGAATGAAGACCTGGAAAAGAAAAGTGAGAAACTATAGACACTCTTTTGGTCCAATCACAGCACAGATAGAGTAGAGTAGAGAGAGTGACCAGAGACTGAAGGAGACCTGTCCTCCTCGGGCAGACCCGAGAGCAGAAGAGAAGGTCTGGACCCAAGAGAGAGACTACAGAGCGACCAGAGAGAGACCAGAGAGAGGCCAGAGAGAGACCAGAGAGAGACCAGAGAGAGATCAGAGAGAGACCAGAGAGAGACCAGAGAGAGACCAGAGAGAGACCAGAGAGAGACCAGAGAGAGACCAGAGAGAGGCCAGAGAGACCAGAGAGAGACCAGAGAGAGACCAGAGAGAGAGGGGTGAGCCGACTCACCCAGAGGGGACCGGCCCGAACCCAAGCCCATGGTGAGGGGGGAGCAGGGGATGGAGTCTGGATCACTCATAGTGTCGTCTACAGAGGAGGTTTCTGACAGACGCGAGAGCAGAGGAGGAGCGCGACCAGAGGAGAAGGTCCGAACCCGAGGAGAACCACAGAACTCCTCACAGCCTCTGAGCTTTGTCTCCGCGGACTTCTACAGAGAACACAGAGAAGTGAGATGTTAGAGAGCAGAGAGAGACCAGAGAGAGACCAGAGGTGTTACTCACCAGCAGTTTGTTGGTGCAGTCGAGCTGAGTCTTCTCCGGCGGAGACAGATCGAACGGTGTGAGACCCATGCTCTTACAGATCTTGTTACACAGGTGAGAGTGGAAGAACAGCGCCATCCCTCGCACTCCTGCAACATTACACCTCTGTCAGACCACAGACTGTACACAGATGGACAATGCTAACAAGCTAACTTAATGAAGCCCAATCAAGCCCCGGCGATCCAAGATGGCGCCCTATTCAAAAATGGCCTGTGCTCAGTCGCGCATGTGCCACCATGGGCACCGAAAGATTAGTGGAATATGGAATATTTGGTCCTCCCAGCTCTGCGGAGTGGATTTCTAGAAAACCAAAGGATTTAAAAGAAAAAAAGTTCTGGACACTAAAATCCCCACAAAATCCGACCTTTATGAAAGCTGTAGGTTCTCTGTCAGCTGAGGTCGAGCTGTTTCAGTTCACAGTGAGTTCTATGGGGAACATTTCTGGGTAGGCCACATGAATTTAGTCTTGTTTAGTCTGCAGTGCCGCGAGAATCAGCCGAGTACATGTGTCCTTCAGCTCCTAATACCCTATCAACATATGATAATACATCCATGAGCCCAAAAGGCAAGTGCACTTGGATACTCTAGCTCCTGATTGGCTCTTTGGTTGCTAGGCTGTTGATACCTGCATCATTTGGCTTCATATTCCCACCAAGAACCACTTTGAGTAAGCTCCAATCCTCTAACACACAACTTTGAGAGACAAGAGGGAGAGAGAACAGAGAGACCAGAGAGAGACCCGAGAGAGTGCATACCCAGGTTCCCGTCTCCGTAGTCTGTGCCCTTCTCTGTATGGATCTGAGGGTCAGTGTAGAGGTCGCCCACGCCCTGGATGTCCACCACGATGAGCTGGTGCCCCGAGCGCTCAAAGCTGAAGTGACTGAACGCCTGCAAGTGCAACATTCAAACTATGAGAGAGAGAGGGTCTGATCTTGTTTGGTTCAGCACTTAGAGTTGCCTTGTGTATGAACTGTGCTACACAAATTAACTTGCTTTCCCCTGGTACCTGTGGAGTGAGCCGGATGTTGTCGTCGCGCACGAAGCCGGAGTTGGAGTTGTATTTGATGTATTTTCCTTCGATGTAGTGCTCCAGGTGGAACAGAGGCTTTCCAGGTCTGTGCACCATCTCCACCACACACATCTGCATGATATCCACCTGACACACACACTTTCTCAATTATGGTCTCTCTCTCTCTCTGGTCTCTGTTTCTGGACTCTCTCACTCTAGTCTCTCTCTGGTCTTCCTCCTCGGATCTCTCTCTGGTCTCTCTCTTGTGTCTCTCTATAGTCTCTCTCTGGTCCCTCTCTCTGGTCCCTCTCTCTGGTCCCTCTCTCTGGTCCCTCTCTCTGGTCCCTCTCTCTGGTCCCTCTCTCTGGTCTCTCTCTCTGGTCTCTCTCTCTGGTCTCTCTCTCTGGTCTCTCTCTCTGGTCTCTCTCTCTGGTCTCTCTCTGGTCTCTCTCTGGTCTCTCTCTGGTCTCTCTCTGGTCTCTCTCTGGTCTCTCTCTGGTCTCTCTCTGGTCTCTCTCTGGTCTCTCTCTCTGGTCTCTCTCTGGTCTCTCTCTGGTCTCTCTCTGGTCTCTCTCTGGTCTCTCTCTGGTCTCTGTTATCATTTAAAAAACATGTTGAGTAGAGGTTTACACACAGAGGCCCCTCCCCCCTATGTTTTATTATAGGCTTCAAATGTCAGGATCAGATTACAACAGTTTAAATACAGACCACCACTGGAAAATCATTCTAAACTCGCAAATTTGCTGCGTTAGTCTTACTATAGAGAGAGAGACCAGAGAGAGAAGCAAAGAGAGAGAGACCAGAGAGAGAGACAAGAGTGAGACCAGCGAGAGAGACTAGAGAGAGACCAAAGAGAGACCAGAGAGTAATGAGAGAGAGACCAAAGAGAGACCAAAGAGACCAGAGAGAGAGACCAGAGAGAGACTGCAGTGATATTTACACTCAGTAACTATTTAACTTGTAGTGCTTCAAGGACAGTAGCATCAGGGTCAGGGTGTTAGTAGGTCATGCTTTCTGTGGGGGAGGTGTTGAAAGGAGCTGCGCAGAATAGCAATGAGCCAAAACAAAGACTGAACAGTGGCTTAAATAAGCACCAGGGACTAAACCAGAAAGACTGAAACTACTGACCATGTGACCAGAGGGAGAAAGGACAGTTTAAACCTCCATCTGCAGAGAGAGAGAGACCAGAGAGAGACCAGAGAGAGAGAATAATTTTATAATAGACAAGGGTCTCATCCACTCGTGTGTGTCTAACCTCTTATTAGGTGTCTCTCTGGTCTTTGGGGGTCTCTGTTGTATCTCTCACCTGTTTGGGGGGCCGGTGGCGGTTGTACTCCTCTCCCCAGAGCTTGGCCTCCATCTGCAGCCGGACGTCCTCGAAGTACACGTCTCTGTCCACCGGCTCCATGTAGCGTTTGGCCACGTAGTTAGAAGCAGACTTCCAGTTACTGCTGTGGGAGAAGTTCGACAGCTTCTTCCTGAAATCAGAACAACACCAGAGAAGTTTAGAGAGAGAGAGCAGAGGGACATAGAGAGTCCAGAGAGAGAGCAGAGAGAGAGAGAGGGGAGGCAAGAGAGAGAGAGGAGAGGGAGAGAGAGAGAGGCCAGAGAGAGTGCAGAGAGAGGTCAGAGAGAGAAACGTTGTTGATCATTTAAATCCTGATTATTTTAGTTTGTGAGGCTGATGATCTTTATACGTACGTTCTGAAACACTCTCGCATGGCGCCTTTCCCAAACGGCTGCGAGAGACAAAGAAGGGACACCATGGTTAAATAATAATAACAAGATGAGATAAAAAAACACAGTACTTTACCTGGGAGGCCATCTTGATGTGGACTTGGTCTTGGGCCCATTCTCCATTGACAGCGTTGTACCTACAAAACAAAAGCCACAAGTGTTTTAAGTCGATATGCGCTGAAATGCAGTGTCCATCAAAGACAACAGTGGGAAAGGTCGCCGTGTTGTTTGGACCGATGTCGACTTTTCACCAAGGGTAGACGGGAACGTGGCAAAATACAAGGGTCTAAACAATCTAAAGACTTGCAAAGTAAGTCTAACCACAGAGAGAAACCAGAGAGAGACCGGAGAGAGACCAGAGAGGGACCAGAGAGGGACCAGAGAAAGAGACCAGAAAGAGACCAGAGAGAGACCAGAGAGGGACCAGAGAGGGACCAGAGAGAGACCAGAGAGGGACCAGAGAGAGACCAGGGAGAGACCAGAGAGAGACCAGAGAGGGACCAGAGAGAGACCAGGGAGAGACCAGAGAGAGACCAGAGAGAGACCAGAGAGGGACCAGAGAGAGACCAGAGAGAGACCAGAGAGAGACCAGAGAGGGACCAGAGAGAGACCAGAGAAAGAGACCAGAGAGAGACCAGGGAGAGACCAGAGAGACTGGATAGAGACCAGAGAGAGACTATAGAGACCAGAGAGAGGCCAGAAAGAGAGACCAGGGCGAGACAAGAGAGAGACCAGAGAATGAGACCAGGGAGACAACGAAGAGTGACCAGAGAGATACAGAGATAAAGACTATAGAGAGACCATAGAGAGAGACCAGTGAGAGACAGGAGAGAGACCAGAGAGAGGTCAGAGAGAGAGAGACAATAGAGAGACCGGATAGAGAACAAAGAGAAACAAAAAGAATTCAGTGACCAAAGAGAGATGAAAACCAGAGCCAGACCAGAGGTAATCACAGTATAATGGACTACAAGTTTCTAAGACACTTTCAAACATATTTTTCTCTGGGACAACTTCATACAGCCAAGAGCAGAATGTGCAACAGCCCACACTCTGGCAGTGAGAGACCCTTCTGTGGCTCCGTCTCTGGTTTAGGGCGATGGCCATGACCCTACTTTTGACCTTTGGCCTCACGGTTCTCACTATAGTCGTCTCAGTCATGTTAATATCCTTTGAGAGGTTTAAACTCGCTCAAACATATTCTGTAGCTGCAATGTCAGTCTGGAACAATCACACAGATATTTGGCCAAAACCTTTCATCGTTCGTCATCTCTGCAATTTTGTGTTGTCTTCTTAAACAGCTGTAAATCTCTCTGCTGCCTCTGTGCATCTGTTCAAAGCCGTTTGTAGATCTGACCTTTTGGCCCTGGCTCTGAATGTGCAACAGGTGTGAAACCCAAGAAGAGGATTACTGCAGCGATTTAGACCAGATACGGTCTGGATCAGGTCTTTTTGCCCTTGTGTCCGAGTCACTTTGACTGAGTCCTGATCCGATACTTCTTTAACACACACACACAGATAAATCATAATCATCCAGGTCTCCAAGATGTCTGCCCCTGGTCTCTCTTAGATGTATGCCTCTGGTCTCTCCAAGATGCCTGCCCCGGGTCTCTCCAAGATGTCTGCCCCTGCCAATTTGGTTCATGCTTGTACCATGGACGTCCCAAACCTTAGCAGAAGAGACCAGGTTCTGGCTCTGGTTCTCCTGGTCTTTTGTGTCTTCAGTGGTTCTACTTCAGCAGGACCAGAGAGAGACCAGAGAGAGGCCAGAGCGAGAGAACAGAGAGAGAGAGAAACCAAAGAGAGAGACCAGAGAAAGACCAGAGAGAGAGACCAGAGAAAGACCAGAGAAAGACCCAAGACCAGAGTGAGAGAACAGAGAGAGAGAGACCAGATAGAGAGACTAGATAGAGAGACCCGAGACCAGAGTGAGAGACCAGGGACCTGAGAGGGACATGTGAGCGCTCTGACCATTCAGAGCAGAGTTAGAGCTAAGTTTATAGAAAACCAATAAATTTCAAGAGAAAATAAAAGTTGGACCAATTCTTGTCCTGACAGAGTGCAGCTGGAGCAGACAGGTTACATCAGACCACTTTCACTGTAGTTTACATCATGGAACATAAATATAGCACCAGTGAACTTCACACGACCCACTCACTGAAATAATCAATGAGGATGGACGAAGACGGGGGAGGACGAGCAAAGTGCACGTATCTTAAATACTCTCTGGTCTCTCTCTCTGCTTTCCATACGCCCCAAACCCAACATTATCTGCAAATCCTTGACAGCACTTAGTTTTGTTGTATGAACTTCACTTTCAGTACCTTTTGCCATTTATTCTGCAGCCCTCCTCACATCTAACACAACACTCTCTCTCCATCTGCTCTCACTCTCTCTTTCTTCCCTCTCTCTCTCCTCTCCACGTGGACTGCATATTTCCACAGTCCCATGCAGAGAGCAGAGAGGAGCTTGTTTGCAAACGGGTTCAAACTTTCTGCTGGTCTCAGGTCTGGGAACAGCGTGTGCGGACGAACGTTACTACAGCGAGCAGCAGGCAGAGATATAGGGTTAAAATTAGCAGGAAGGAGGATGTGATACGTGTGGCTATGTCGAGGTGGAATGGCTGCGAGGGCGAGACCAGGCGAGTCAAAACAGGATTATGTAACAGAAGCAAAGGAGAGAGAACCACTGTCAGCCCTGCACAAGAGAGAGAGAAGAGTCTTGCAAAAGTGAAATGACCACAACGTGCTGTCCTGTCAAAACACGTTACCTCTTGTCTCTCTTTGGCCGCTCTCTGGCCTCTCTCTCTGGCCTCTCTCTCTGGCCTCTCTCTCTGGCCTCTCTCTCTGGCCTCTCTCTCTGGTCTTGCTGGTCTCTCTCTGGCCTCTCTCTTGTCTCTCTCTCTGGCCTCTCTCTTGTCTCTCTCTCTTGTCTTTCTTTCTGGCCTCTCTCTCTGGTCTGAAGTAAACAGAACTAAACTTGTCAGAGGTTGATGAGTGGAGTGTGATCATTAACTCTCTTGCACAGAGGCTGGTCGTGTTTGTAAACAGATAAAGATTAACTCAAACCTGAACTCTCTGGCCTCTGACGTTGTGCTTTCTGTTTGGCAGAGGTCTGGGCATCGCGGTCACATTTATTTGCGTCAGTGGGTCAGATAGTGAAACGGACACCACAACTAGTTCACATACTGTCACTGGACTAAGTATCGTACACAGAGAGACACGTATTACACTATTACTACAGACGTCAGGAAGTCAAGCAGATACCTCTCTCTGGTCTCACTCTCTGGTCTCACTCTCTGGTCTCACTCCTCTGGTCTCACTCTCTGGTCTCACTCTCTGGTCTCACTCTCTGGTCTCACTCTCTGGTCTCACTCTCTGGTCTCACTCTCTGGTCTCACTCTCTGGTCTCACTCTCTGGTCTCACTCTCTGGTCTCACTCTCTGGTCTCACTCTCTGGTCTCACTCTCTGGTCTCACTCTCTGGTCTCACTCTCTGGTCTCACTCTCCGGTCTCACTCTCTGGTCTCACTCTCTGGTCTCACTCTCCGGTCTCACTCTCCGGTCTCACTCTCCGGTCTCACTCTCCGGTCTCACTCTCTGGTCTCACTCTCTGGTCTCACTCTCTGGTCTCACTCTCTGGTCTCTCTCTCTGCTTTCCATACGCCCCAAACCCAACATTATCTGCAAATCCTTGACAGCACTTAGTTTTGTTGTATGAACTTCACTTTCAGTACCTTTTGCCATTTATTCTGCAGCCCTCCTCACATCTAACACAACACTCTCTCTCCATCTGCTCTCACTCTCTCTTTCTTCCCTCTCTCTCTCCTCTCCACGTGGACTGCATATTTCCACAGTCCCATGCAGAGAGCAGAGAGGAGCTTGTTTGCAAACGGGTTCAAACTTTCTGCTGGTCTCAGGTCTGGGAACAGCGTGTGCGGACGAACGTTACTACAGCGAGCAGCAGGCAGAGATATAGGGTTAAAATTAGCAGGAAGGAGGATGTGATACGTGTGGCTATGTCGAGGTGGAATGGCTGCGAGGGCGAGACCAGGCGAGTCAAAACAGGATTATGTAACAGAAGCAAAGGAGAGAGAACCACTGTCAGCCCTGCACAAGAGAGAGAGAAGAGTCTTGCAAAAGTGAAATGACCACAACGTGCTGTCCTGTCAAAACACGTTACCTCTTGTCTCTCTTTGGCCGCTCTCTGGCCTCTCTCTCTTGTCTCTCTCTCTGGCCTCTCTCTTGTCTCTCTCTCTGGCCTCTCTCTTGTCTTTCTTTCTGGCCTCTCTCTCTGGTCTGAAGTAAACAGAACTAAACTTGTCAGAGGTTGATGAGTGGAGTGTGATCATTAACTCTCTTGCACAGAGGCTGGTCGTGTTTGTAAACAGATAAAGATTAACTCAAACCTGAACTCTCTGGCCTCTGACGTTGTGCTTTCTGTTTGGCAGAGGTCTGGGCATCGCGGTCACATTTATTTGCGTCAGTGGGTCAGATAGTGAAACGGACACCACAACTAGTTCACATACTGTCACTGGACTAAGTATCGTACACAGAGAGACACGTATTACACTATTACTACAGACGTCAGGAAGTCAAGCAGATACCTCTCTCTGGTCTCACTCTCTGGTCTCACTCTCTGGTCTCACTCTCTGGTCTCACTCTCTGGTCTCACTCTCTGGTCTCACTCTCTGGTCTCACTCTCTGGTCTCACTCTCTGGTCTCACTCTCTGGTCTCACTCTCTGGTCTCACTCTCTGGTCTCACTCTCTGGTCTCACTCTCTGGTCTCACTCTCCGGTCTCACTCTCCGGTCTCACTCTCCGGTCTCACTCTCCGGTCTCACTCTCCGGTCTCACTCTCCGGTCTCACTCTCCGGTCTCACTCTCCGGTCTCACTCTCCGGTCTCACTCTCCGGTCTCACTCTCCGGTCTCACTCTCCGGTCTCACTCTCCGGTCTCACTCTCCGGTCTCACTCTCTGGTCTCACTCTCTGGTCTCACTCTCTGGTCTCACTCTCCGGTCTCACTCTCCGGTCTCACTCTCCGGTCTCACTTTTCAATCTCACTCTCCAATCTCACTCTCCAATCTCACTCTCCAATCTCACTCTCCGGTCTTGGTCTCACTCTCTGGTCTTGGTCTCACTCTCTGGTCTTGGTCTCACTCTCTGGTCTCACTCTCTGGTCTCACTCTCTGGTCTCACTCTCTGGTCTCACTCTGGTCTACTGGTCTCACTCTCTGGTCTCACTCTCTGGTCTCACTCTCTGGTCTCACTCTCTGGTCTCACTCTCTGGTCTCACTCTCTGGTCTCACTCTCTGGTCTCACTCTCTGGTCTCACTCTCTGGTCTCACTCTCCGGTCTCACTCTCCGGTCTCACTCTCCGGTCTCACTCTCCGGTCTCACTCTCCGGTCTCACTCTCCGGTCTCACTCTCCGGTCTCACTCTCCGGTCTCACTCTCCGGTCTCACTCTCCGGTCTCACTCTCCGGTCTCACTCTCCGGTCTCACTCTCCGGTCTCACTCTCCGGTCTCACTCTCCGGTCTCACTCTCCGGGTCTCACTCTCTGGTCTCACTCTCTGGTCTCACTCTCCGGTCTCACTCTCCGGTCTCACTCTCCGGTCTCACATTTCAATCTCACTCTCCAATCTCACTCTCCAATCTCACTCTCCAATCTCACTCTCCAATCTCACTCTCCAATCTCACTCTCTGGTCTTGGTCTCACTCTCTGGTCTCACTCTCTGGTCTCACTCTCTGGTCTCACTCTCCAATCTCACTCTCCAATCTCACTCTCCAATCTCACTCTCCAATCTCACTCTCCAATCTCACTCTCCGGTCTTGGTCTCACTCTCTGGTCTTGGTCTCACTCTCTGGTCTCACTCTCTGGTCTCACTCTCTGGTCTCACTCTCTGGTCTCACTCTCTGGTCTCACTCTCTGGTCTCACTCTCTGGTCTCACTCTCTGGTCTCACTCTCTGGTCTCACTCTCTGGTCTCACTCTCTGGTCTCACTCTCTGGTCTCACTCTCAAGCCTCTCTCTGTTCTCTCTCTGGTCTCTCTCTTCCCTCTCTCTCAGGTCTCTCTACCCTCTCCCTCTCCCCCCTTCTTCCCCCCTCTCCCCTCCTCATACCTGTATCGCACACAGGGCTCGGTCTCCTTCTTCTCCAGGTGGAACTCGGCCCATGGGTCGGGCCTGGCTCTGGCCTTCTCGATGGCCTGTTTCCAGTGATCCTGTGGCAAAGAAGAGGCAAGGCTTAGTGCACTGAGTCTGGATGTGACCGCATGCACCGCACTCGCCTCGCTCCCCTCCGCCGTCTACAAACACACAGCCACACGTCAGAACATCGAGATTGAACACGAGATAAACATGAAGAGAGAGAGAGAGAGGATCAGTCTGGGGGTGTGGCATGCAACAGAGGAAAGGTGAAAGTGAACCGCATCAATGTGAACAAGTGTTTCAGCTAACAACCATTTTACTTTTCTACTCGTTTCGACAAAAGCCTTTTACATATTTCTATCATCTCGGGACTTATTCTGAATTCTCCCCTGGGGTATGTAACTTTTATGTATTTCTGATCTCTGTCACATGTTTAGATCAGCTTTTACAGACAGAAAAGTGACAAACAGAGGACCACACTTCACTCAACCAATCAAATCTCAGCCCAAAGGGTCAAAAAGTGACTCACAGGGATCTTTCTCACACTCAAGATAACATGTTTTCCAATGACAGCATCACACACTTTACCTTTGCAAGACTTTTTCTGTTGAACAAACAGAAATAAAAAAGTATGTAACTGGCCTCTCTCTCTGGCCTTTCTCTCTCTCCCTCCCTCTTTGGCCTCTCTCTCTGGCCTTTCTCTCTCTCCCTCCCTCTTTGGCCTCTCTCTCTGGTCTCTCTCTCACTTGTCTGTCTGTCTCTCGCTCTCTGGTGTCTTTCTCTCTCTCTCTGGTCTCTCCCTGTCTCTGGCCTCTCTCTTTGTGGTCTCTCTCTTTGTGGTCTCTCTCTCTCTCTCTCTCTGGTCTCTCTGTCACTGGTCTCCCTCTCTCTGGTCTCTCTCTCTCTGGTCTCTCTGTCTTGAGAAAACTTATTTTGAATCTGGAAATAACCCCCCCTCTCTACCCTCCTCACTCCCTTCACAGTCACAGCAGTAGTCCAAGTCCTAGTCCCAGTCCTAGTCCCAGTCCTAGTCCCAGTCCTAGTCCCAGTCCCAGTCCTAGACACAGTCCTAGACACAGTCCCAGTCCTAGACACAGTCCTAGACACAGTCCTAGACACAGTCCTAGACACAGTCCTAGACACAGTCCTAGTCACAGCCTCAGTAGCAGATGTTCACTCTGTGTTGAATCTGCCCCTTCTTCAGACACAGTTGTTGCTTCTGAACATGAATCAAAGCGCTCTGGTTTCTCTGCACGTCCCGCTCGTCGGCAGACACAGATACACTTTCAGTCCTGACACCAACGCTAACGCTAATGTTTACTTAAAGCTGGGGTACCTAACTTTCAAACAGCAGACTACATGTATTTTACATTTTACTACAAAAAAATCATGCATTTTAGCTTTTCATATTCCTTGAACCAGAGAGACACCAGAGAGAGACACCAGAGAGAGACCAGAGAGACACACCAGAGAGACACACCAGAGAGACACCAGAGAGACACATCAGAGAGAGACATCAGAGAGAGACACCAGAGAGACACATCAGAGAGAGACATCAGAGAGAGACACCAGAGAGCGACACCAAAGAGAGACACCAGAGAGAGACACCAAAGAGAGACTAGAGAGAGACACCAGAGACAGACACAAGAGAGAGACACCAGAGAGACACCAGAGAGACACATCAGAGAGAGACATCAGAGAGAGACACCAGAGAGCGACACCAAAGAGAGACCACAGAGAGACACCAGAGAGAGACACCAGAGAGAGACACCAAAGAGAGACACCAAAGAGAGACTAGAGAGAGAGACCAGAGACAGACACCAGAGAGACACCAGAGAGCGACACCAGAGAGCGACACCAGAGAGCGACACCAGAGAGCGACACCAGAGAGCGACACCAGAGAGCGACACCAGAGAGAGATACCAGAGAGAGATACCAGAGAGAGAGACACCAGAGAGCGACACCAGAGCGAGACCAGAGAGAGATACCAGAGAGCCACCAGAGAGAGAGGAGAGCTGTCCCCTTACAGTATGTAGAGGATTTAAAGCTAAAATCACACTACACTGAGCAAAAACACAATCTAATTAAACAAGCAATACAAGATGATACCATTTGATTGGAGCTGGAGTGGTCTGGAAAAAGGACAGACATGCGATGGTTAAACTGAGGTTGGTATGGGAAAGATGCAGGAGGCGATAGACTGAGATTGTGTGAGAGCGAGAAGAGGAGAGAGAGAAATGTAAAAAAATTATTAAACTTGTAACATACCCGAGCGGCTTGATTGACTATGCGGTACGATCGTGGCGACGCCGTTTCTACGTCCGGCTAGATAAGCAGTGGAAAGTCTTTTTGTTAGCGGTACAAAACAGTACACACACATATACATATACATTAAACACATATTACAAAATCAACATGGACTAGAGGCCACCCACAGTACTGCAGCCAAAATCAACATGGACTAGAGGCCACCCACAGTACTGCAGCCTGAATCCACATGGACTAGAGGCCACCCACAGTACTGCAGCCTGAATCCACATGGCCTGCAAGGAGTTTTTCCCATGGACCTTAACACAAACAGCTCGTCCTCAGAGACAGAGAACTACACCTTTAGCAAAGGAGGATTCTGTGAGAATTGTTGTGTCTCTTGTCGTCCTGAACTTGTTTTATTTTGAGATTCTGTAAATCCTCTGCTTCTCGTTTGAACAGACAAGTCTTTAGTTTTGACCCAATGTGCAATTTATGTAAATGAGGAAAAGTGAAACGAAGCGCTGTGACAAAACTGAAGACATAGAATTATTTAGAATTCAAAATGGCCGCTTTGTTTTTCTGTTTTCTGAATGAGTCTCACTGTGCGGCCTTAGCATCGGGGGAAACAGCAGAGAGAGAGCAGAGGGAGACCAGAGAGAGAGATCAGGGAGAGAGATCAGAGAGAGACTAGAGAGAAAGACCAGAGAGGGAGAGGAGAGCTGCCCCCTTATGTAGAGGATTGAAATCTAAACAAACTAGAGAAGTATATCTCCATACTCACTTTCATAACAGACTAACACATACACGCACACATATAAACAAACACACACACACGCACGTGTGCGCGTGCACACACACACAAACAATCTGTACAGATCGCTAAAAATGCAGCCGTGGTTCTCACCTTGAACTGGAAGCTGTTTTTGGGCAGGGAGTTGGAGAGGGAGTTGGACAGCTGGCGGCCGTACACCTGGCTCTTCAGATAGTCACAGATCTCTCTGGCAGAGTCGTGGAACAGCGGTATGATCACATGCTCTTCGTTGTCCTCGTCTTCGTCGGTCAGAGAGCAGAGTCTGAGGGGGTTTCTCTGGACGGGAGGCCGCTGAGCGCTGCCCGTGTCCTCCATCGCAAACATCAGGTCGTCTTCCATGGTCTCTGAAGACGACAGGGAAAAGCTTTAAACTGTGGCCAATGCAAACATAGACTGTATACAGATCATGAATCTATAATAATAACTGGATCGGGTATTACTAGCTTATAGCTGTCCCACCCTACTACAGACTAAATTCACGTGGGCTACCCAGAAAAATATCCCATAGAACTCAATGTAAACTAAAACAGCTCGACCTCAGCTGACAGAGAACCTACAGATTTCATAAAAGTCAGATTTTGTGGGGATTTTAGTGTCCCTGGTCATCCTGAACTTTTTTCTTGTTAAATCCATTGGTTTCCACTTAAGTTATCCACACTTAAATGCAACAAACTCTGCTCGTTTCCTTCCCACTCTGACTCCGCTCTAGCTCTGCTCTGATCAGCAGCTCTGATTGGTCAGAGCGCGGTCGAGGCCCTCTGTGCACGTTTATGAGACCCACACACGCGTATCTGGTGCAACGCATCATGGGAGCTCGTCCACTGTGCAGAACTGGGAGGACCCCCTACTGAGCACAAGCCACTGACTTGAATAGGGCGCCTTGGATTAACGGGGCTTGATACAGATGAACAATGCCCTATAGCAGTGTCTCCCAAAGTGGGGTCCGCGGCCCCCTGGTGGGCCGCGAGGGTACTGCAGGGGGGCCGCGGGAGGTCATAAATTTTTTTAAAAAAATATATAATTATATAATGTTAAATTTATAATGTTTTGTTTTTTATTAAAATATTTGTGTTCATTATTTGACTTGAATAATCCACTGCAATGTTTGTAGCAGAGGCTATTTCCCCAAAATAAAATAACCAGAAGAGCCTATTCTTAACGTTGTCTTCTTGGTTATTATTTTGGGGGGCCACGCAGACCCGTCAGATTTTTAAGGGGGCCTCGGTGTTACTGAGTTTGGGAATGGCTGCCCTATAGGGTAGTGCGCATGAGAGCTCTCTGGCTCCTACTGACCAACATGTAAAACTAAACGACTCCAGCTTGTGAAAGAGGCTTTATAAATAGAGATTACTTGCTTACTTTGTAACCTTTTGTGTCACACTCACATTTTTTGTATTGTCATATTGTCTTTTTGAATCCAGATTTGAGCCCCAACAAGTTTTCATTATTTCGTTCATCCCAAAATATTTTATAATTACACAAAATTTCCTTCTAAAGCTCTCCCTGGTCTCTCTCTAGTCATCTGGTCTCTCTGGTCTCTCTTTCTCAATGCTTTGATTCACGGAGGAAATTCCAGCTTTCCTTAGCAACCATGTTAGCAACATGTCTGCCCCTCCAACAGCATGAAGCTGAGATCATCGTACTAAATGCCCATATAAGGAAATTGGCTCCAGCTAGCTTATGTTCACAGAGAGCTCTAAACCACAGATATTTTAAGCCAAGTGTGGTGAGTGTGACACAAACGGTTACAGAGCAAGAGAAGTTTACTTAAGTCCATGATCACTTTCCTATTGGGTTTCATTGAGCTGTCCATCTGTGTACATTCTATGGTCCAGAAGATTAAACTGTTGAACCAGTTTTCCCTCTTCCACACCTGGCACCAAACTAACCGGACACAAAACAAGAACTCAGACCATTATCCACAGAACAACGCCCACGACACACAACTGCAGCTGTATTGTTGACAACCAGCACACTCTACACGTATGTCAAGCTATTTCAGGAGAGCAAACACTTTTTTTAGCTGCAGGGAAATAGAAAGTATTATTACCTGGCCTATTACACACAGATAGAACTTGAGTGTCATTTTACAACACAATCAGATAATAATTTCCGGTCACACTTACATTTAGCCCTCATTTTCTAACTAACAGCTAATTAAGTGCTAATAAGTGTGTAATTTATGGTTAATTAGCTAGATCTTAGTTAGTTTTTAGTAATCACTTATTAGTCCTTATTTGGCATGGCCTTATCCAGATATAGAACAGCGAGTGATCAGACTGAGACCAGAGAGAGACCAGAGTGAAAGACTAGAGAGAGACCAAAGAGACCAGAGAACCAGAGACAGAGACCAGAGAGAGAGAGACCAGAAAGAGAGACTAGAGAGGGGAACAGAGAGACCAGAGATTATATTATTATTATTTTTTTTATAATAATCATCATCATCATGTGTATGCTATTTTAAATGAAAAATAAATACAAATATTATAATATCTTATAATGACGCCGTATTTACGTGGTTTGGCGTGTAAACATTAGTCGGTAATAGTTCATTGATTTGCTAACAAATTTTCGTACAATATTAAGTTTCACATGCATGACATTTTGATAATAAAAAAAACAAATAAAAGTAAAAATGCTCAGTTGGCGTAAGCTAATTACATTGTTATGCTAGCTGGAACAACAACAACACGGCTAACGGCTAATGCTAGCGCTGTCTGCAGAAAGCACGCTTCGCAATGCAGAAGGATGTCAATGACATTACTTCACACAGACTCGTTAGCTTCGATTACGAGGCGTTAAAACGGCTCTAATCTTATTTGTAAACGTCAACAAAGACTGGGGATCGCATGCAAGTGAGAAAATCAATATGCGAAAACAGAATGAATGGGGGATTATCGCACCTTTTGACTTGACTCGGCTCCGTGGGTCTTCCGTCAATTCTCAAAGCTTTTTCAGTCAAATTTAAGTTAAAATATGCGAAAAATCCAGTTCCGATGTGCAGAAATGTGTTGTTGCAGGAGGAGGAAAAAGTAGAGGGATTAGATTGAATTCACACTGCTAAATCAGTGGGTCGCTTCTTTGGATTAGTCCTGGTTTAGACAGGTCCAGAGGGGGTTCTAGTCCTGGTTTGGACCGATCCAGAGTGGGTTCTAGTCCTGGTTTTGTCCCAGTTTGGGTGCAGGGTTGGTGGGAGTGTGTGAAGCCATCCACCACTGCACTCCTCTCTCTTTGCACGTACAAACAACCACAGCATTACAGTATAGACACGCCTCCACAGAGCGCCGCCTAGCGAGGAGAGGCGGTAAAGCAGCGAGTAAAAGGTAAATAAACAAGACTAGTACAGTAATGCATGATATAATCTGGTTATAGTTGGAAAAAAAATTCGACGGAAGATGAGACTTTAAAGCAGTGGGGGTACAAGTTTCTCATGGCCTTGCACTAAAGTATATGTGACAAGTTTGGGCTCCTGCTGACTGGGCTCCTGCTGGGACTCTAAGGAGCACAGTAAATCAAGAGCTCTGACTACAGACGCTGCTCCTTCTTCCCTCCCTTGTGAGCAAGACTTCCCCACTTGGAGGACCTCTGAACCTGGAGAATAGTGTTTTCTACGTATACTACAATACAACAGACACTGCTAAATCCAACGTTCTCTTTCTCAAATTTGGGAAATTGGGTTTCAGGTTTCATCTCTTTCAGAAACCCAAGGATAACCTTACAACCTGCTATTTAATATATACAGTCTATGTATTGAAGACAATTCGACCGTGTTATGACGCCCCCTGCTGGTAATAAAAAGTCGCGCTACGCATACATGTACAGAAGGGGACATTTTTGTCGAAATGTCAAAGTGAAGATAATGTTTTTGAGTGAGTCTCTTGTTGATCTGATTTTGTTGTTGATGAATAAAACAAATCAAGTCTTAATCAAATCAAATCAAATATCATTATAAAATATGTTTTGTTTCTTTTGTGCAAAAAAGACACCTGTGAGTCACAATGAGATTCTTTGGGCTGAGGGTGTTCTTCTGTTTTTGACTTTTCTCTCTGAAAAAGCTGATCTGAAGAACCAGCCCAGGACCAAATAAGATCCATATAAGTCACAAAGTTATGAAGATACATAAGAAGAGTAAACCCCAGTTACCTAATGTAACTAAGGTTCTATGAATATGTTGCTGCATATCTCTTGGAAGCATCGCTTCCCGCCCTGAGAAGATCAAACGATCCACCCTCCAATCACCTTCACGTCCTGGCGTAGGCCAGTCCCCTATAAATAGGGCCATGCACCACAGCTCTTCTCCTGCTGGGCTCGAAGCTAAAGGGCTTCGCAACATATTCATAGAACCTTGGTTACATTAGGTAACTGGGGTTTCTATTTAATATGTTGCTTCGCCCTTTAGGCTTCGCTAATGCATAACATAGCGAAGCCCAGACCGATGTACCCCCAGCAGGCATGAACTCCGGTGATTGGAGCAAACTCGTGACCCACTGCCTCATACCGCAACCAAGCGGTAGAGACGGAGGTCCTACGAGCCATAGAGAAAGGGATGCAGGGCCACCTCTCCCTGCAAAGCAGGAAAGAATTCAGAACAAACCTGGGCAGGCAGCCTCTCCCAAGAGCGCCTGATCCCCAGGAGTGTAAAGCAGACTGCAGAAGGGCCTAGGCCGCCTCTCCCAAGAGCGCCAACACCTCTCCACACAATCCCCCCCGCAGACCAGTTCTCACCGAGTTCTGACGAAGGAGGAACTAGGGCCGCCCTGCACTCAAAACCGAATGAGCCACAGAGTCAGAGGCGACATCCAGTAGGTAAAACTGCACAAAAGTCGAGGAGGAGGACCAAGACGCCGCTCTGCAGATCTCCTCCACCGAAGTGCCATGGAATAAAGGCACCGAAGCGGCAACCCCGCGAGTGGAGTGAGCCCTCAACTGGGCTTGAGGCAGCAAGCCCTGAGCTTCATACGCCAAACGGATTGCAAGGCGAAGTCAGTGAGCCAAGCGCTGTGGAGACAAAGCAGCACCCTGACTCTTGGTGCCAAACCCCACAAACAACTGATCCAACCGTCTGAGGTCAGACGTGCGGTCCAAATAACATCTCACAGCCCTGACCGGGCAGAGACTATGCCGCCGCTCTTCCTCCTCCGAAGCATGCGGAGGAGGAAAAAACGGTCTCACCCAGACCACCCTAGATCTGAAAGACGACGTGACGACCTTGGGCTGGAAGGCCGGGATAGGGCACAACTCCATCATGCCCTCCCGATCGGGGAGGGACAAACAAGACGGCTGCATGGAAAAGGAAAACCATTGAGGACGAGCAGGTCCAGCATGGCCCGCACCCCTCCGCACTTTTTTGGGGACTATGAAGTATGGAGAGTAAAACCCTGTCCCTGCCCTGAGCGGGTCTACCTCCACTACCGCCCGGCGCTGCAGAAGCGTGTTCCCCTCCCTGTGAAGCGCCTAGCCCTGTCTGGAGAATGCTGCAGAAAGGAGGGGGCCGCCAGGAGAACTGGAGAGCATAGCCCCGACTCAGCACTCTGTGTATCCACAGAGTTCCCCGGAGCCCCGACTGTTCCGATACGGTGACAACATGGGTCATCGGAAGCACAGCGGGATGGGTGGAGGGAGAAAGGCCTGGTCCGCCCACAGATGTCCCATCCTGGGGAGGCATCGTATAGTGGGGGGCCCGTAGGAAAAGGCCTGAGCCCTAGCTACGGCCCTGGGCCTTTCTCTGGGTGGCCGCGTGAGGGCAGGTGTGCTGCACTTACGTGGAGCCGAGCCCCTGCTCCCCAACACTGTGGACTGAGAGGGGGCCGAGCAGTCCCGCTTATTGCAGTGGGGGGCCCCTTGAAAGAGGGCTGTGCCCTAGCTGCGGCCCTGGGCCTTTTCCCGGGTGGCCGCGTGACGGCGGGTGTTCTGCGCTTACGTGGAGCCGAGCCCCTGCTCGCCAACACTGTGGACTGAGAGGGCGCCGAGAAGTCCCACTTATTGCAGTGGGAGGCCCCTGGGAAGAGGGATGGGCCCTAGCTGCGGCCCTAGGCCTTTTCCCGGGTGGCTGCGTGAGGGCGGGTGGCTGCGTGAGGGCAGGTGTGCTGCGCTTACGTGGAGCCGGGCCCCCACTCCCCAACACTGGGTCTGCTTCCGAAAGGAGAAGAGCTGTGGTGCATGGCCCTATTTATAGGGGACTGGCCTATGCCAGGACGTGAAGGTGATTGGAGGGTGGATCGTTTGATCTTCTCAGGGCGGAAGCGATGCTTCCAAGAGATATGCATTAGCGAAGCCTAAAGGGCGAAGCAACATATGAAATAGAACTACACAAAATGAAAAGCTGTCAAATTGACTGGGAGTTCTAGTCTTCGATGTGGTGGCAAAGTACCCTGACCCATTGTAGTTCCGCCATGCTCCACCAGAGGCGTTTCGCTTCACGCACAAAGGGAAGGCTTCAGGTGAGGTTTGTGTAATTTTTAGGGAAATATTAAATAGTATAAAGGACAGTAACTGGCCTGAATTAGTCTTTGTGTCCTGAAATAACACACAGTGTTGGTCTGTGATCAGGTAAACAGACACAGCTGTGATGTCATCAGAGGATCAGAGCCTTTAGTTTGATCCCAGTAATGCAGAATCAAATTAGTCAGAATAAATTTTTTGTGATCTGACCTAAAGTTTTAAGTTAATAGGTGCTATATTTATTTTATAGTGTACTACCTGGGTGTTCACATTAACAATAAACTGGACTGGTCCCATAATACAAACGCCCTGCACAAGAAGGGCCAAAGTCGCCTCTTCCTTCTGAGGAGGCTGAGGTCCTTCGGAGTGAGCAGGCCTCTGCTCAGGACTTTTTATGACTCTGTGGTAGCTTCTGCCATTTACTACGCTGCTGTGTGCTGGGCCCTGGGCAGCACAGGAGCGGGACAGAAACAGACTGAACAAGCTGGTCAGGAGGGCCAGCTCCACTCTGGGCTGCTCCCTGGACTCTGTGGAGGAGGTGAGGGACAGGAGGGTGCTAGCCAAAGCCACCTCCATCATGAACAATACCTCCCACCCACTGCACAGGACTGTAGAGGAGCTGAGGAGCTCCTTCAGTGGAAGACTGAGGCACCCTCAGTGTAGGAAGGAGCGCTACCGCAGGGCCTTTATCCCCACCGCTGTCAGACTGTACAATAAGTCACTTTAAATGATCACTGTGTGAAAACCTGCACTACTATTGACACTGTTTCCAATTGACACTTGTCACTTTTGTTGTACATAATTATTGTCACTTTATTGTACATATATCCTGCATGTAACATGTTTGCACATTTCCTCCTTTGCACAATCTGAGTGTCTCTATCCATGCCAAATGTGACATGTAAATTTCTCCTCTGTGAGATAAATAAAGCAATCTTATCTTATCTTCATGCATTTTAAATGTGTGTTATAGTTGACAGCAGTTAAAGGGAAGGAGAATATTGATCAGGGGCAGAGTGAGAACAGCAGGTAAGACACTAACCACACAAATGTTGGTCCAAGCATGAGTTGTGTGAGTGATGGAATTATTATTTCTTATATTTGCTTTAAAGGCCATGTTTGAAGTTGGGGTCTTGTAATAATTTTCTTAACAAATTCGAGCACAATAGAACAAGTTGATCTTAAGATGTGACTAGTTTTTGAAGCTCTACTTTCCACCACTTCAGGATTTCACAGGTATCTGCAAAAAGAGAATGTTGACTTAGCACCGTGTGGAGTGGATCCTCTCAGTGTGGGTCTCCCGGAGGTTTCTCACTTTTTTTCGCGCTGGGTTTTTTAGAATGAGTTTTTCCTCTGATGCAGGAGGGTTTGTTGGGCAGTTAGTGTCCAACTAGAAGGATGTGGTGATGATCCAGGACACTTTCACATTCTACACCATGTATGGACATTTTCAACATTCATGGACATTGGTCTCTCCCTATGGACCAACTCATATTAGTATTTTTTGTGTCTTAACTGTTGATTCTCTGATCTGTGTTGGTGATTTCAATGGTTTTGAGAAGTCCTCTGAGATAATTTCTGTTGTGATATAGGGATATACAAGAATAATTTGCTGTTGTTGTTGTTAGCACATGCCTTAGTTTACAAAGATGCCATTATTGATTCCCTTAAAAAGAAACCAAGTGATGTCACGGCTGCAGACATTTATACAAGATTCTGTGTGAGGCAAATGAGATTCCAGAACCTTCTTCAGGTAAACGAGCTAAGGCAAGAAAATTAGATGTTGTGGAATCCTCATGAAGGATTCCACAACTTCAGAGACCACAGACTCTGAGGAGAGGCCACAGACTCTCCTCAGAGTCTGTGGATTATCAAAGGAAACTTTTGTTTCCTTGTTTGGATTGGATGCTGGCTGAACTTGAGAAGAGGTTTTCTGGTGTTAGTCAGATGTTGCTTCAAGGTGTTCAAGGATGCAGTTTTTTGTCTGAGCATGATTTGTCAACACTGGCCCAACATTATCACATTGATCTGAGGACAGAAGAAGTGATAGTCGCTAAAAATTACCTTAAGCCCAAGAGTGAGGCAATGCCAATGCAAGACATGCTCTCAGTGTACAACCTCTTGGAAAATGAGGTGTTTCCATTCCTAAAAACAGTTTTACAGGTTGCATTCCTGTCAGCAGCTGTAGCTCTTAGTTGACAACGACCTCTGGTCAAAGTAGGACTCACAACCTGCAGTTATGTCAGTTGAAAAGGAAGTTCTTGACAAAATGGACAGATTTGCACGACTCAGAGTGAGGCGCCACAGATGAACTCTTTAAGAATCAGGCCGTGTTAATTGCAGTATGCTGCATTTCAGAATTTATTATAAGATTGTTTGCAGTTTGTTGTACGTTGTACTCATGAGTCTGTTCTAATTATGTTTTATTGTACTATTATTACAAAAAATTTCCCTCATATTGAAATTCCATCTACCTACGCCCCTCCCACCCCAAGGTGCTAAGCACCCCTGAAGCTGAAAGTCTAAAATCGCCCCTGGTCAGGCTAATGGCAAAGTGACACATTAGGTTAAAACGAGTGTCATAAGCTCCTCCCACACATGTCGCAAAACATGATGGACCTGTCCACAAGCCCCGCCCCCCCCCACAAGCCCCGCCCCCCGTGACGCACCTGTCGCAGCTCGTACCGGACAAGCTCATCCTCCAGACCCTCACGGATGGAGGCGGCAGGTTAGCGTCTTTTTCAATGGGATTATGGCCACTAAACAAGTACTGTCGCTGTGTCTGCTGCTCTGCTATCTCTCCAGTGTTTTTACCACAGGTCAGTCCATGTTTTTTTCTTAAAATTACCGCCAAATGTGACATAAAGTGCGAGAGAAGGACGTCCCCCTCTCATTGTTTGTGATGTAAACGATACCTGACTACGGCGAAACTCGCTTTAGCCAAACTTCAGCATGTTTACACCGTCAGCTGAAGTTTTTAAACGTTTGTTTCTTCTGTTTCCTAGATGTTTTAAATGAACTACTTTCCAAATTACCAAATTATTCAATTGTACAGCCACAGATAATTACGAGGAGCAACGACAAAGTTAAACATGTAGGTATAGCTCTCTCTGCTGGTATCTCTCTCTGGTCTCATACTGGTCTTTCTCTGTCTCTCCCTGATTTATCTCTGGTCTCTCTCTGGTTACTCTCTTGTCTCTCTGGTCTCTCTCTGGTCTCTCTCTAGTCTCTCTCTGGTTTCTGGTGTCTCTTTACTCTCCCTGGTTTCTTATTACTGGTTTCTAAATGTTTATAAACAGGCTATTACAAGTCACACTAACTTTCCTTATGTTTACTGAAGGAACAAGACTACTCAGTTTCCTTTTTACTTGAAATCAATGGAAAGAAACAGCGCATAAATTTGAAAGAGAACAAGTGAGTGTATTTTATGTTTTAGGGTGTATGTTAACCAATATCAAATGTGACCTTTTTAAGAATATTTACCTGCACCATGTTTGTTGTCATAGACTGAGCATGTGACTTGTACATGAGAGCTGAGGACTCTCCATGTCAATGCGCCATCTTTAAATACATTGGTTGATAAGGGACAAACATGTAACAATCTAGAAACTGTCAACATTGCAAACCACATGCACCAAAAGGCGGAGTTAAAACAACAAGAGGCACATTGCTGTAGTTTGTACACGGCAGACTCACTCACAATATGTCAGTTCACACTGACAGTAATTCAATTTGGAGAGACGTGAAACAAGAAGCTTTTGAGTATTTATTGGGAGGAGGTTTGGCGCCCTAGGCCCCGGTGCGGCCTTCAGATCGGAGGGGCTCTGCGATGGAGCATGCCAATCCCCCGGGACCTAGGCACTGGTGGCGGCATTTGGCAGCGGGAAGCAGATTGAAGGCAGAATGAAGCAGGGTGAAGAGGAGGAGGAGGGGAGGCGGTGGCTGCAGGCTTCAAGAGGCCGAGAATGGGAGTTCCTCCGCTTTTAAGCAGCTTGCCTGGCTGGACCGGTGATTGGAAGGGGGCGTTTGCCGTGCGATAGGCTGGGGATGAGAACCGGCCTGGAGGGGTTACCTTTGGCTGACGTCTACCAAACTGAACTTACGCTGGCTGCATTTCAATTTGGAGAGACGTGAAACAAGAAGCTTTTGAGTATTTATTGGGAGGAGGTTTGGCGCCCTAGGCCCCGGTGCGGCCTTCAGATCGGAGGGGCTCTGCGATGGAGCATGCCAATCCCCAAAAAGGTTGTGAGTTGATGGAGTTTTGCAGCCTGGTTTGAAGGGGACAGACGTCGAGACTACTCTATGCTGTGACCGCTATCGCTATATACTGTGACCGCTAACCATTTTTTGCTATATACTGTGACCGCTATCACTATATGCTGTGACCGCTATCTATTGTGACCAAACTTGCGGATCCTCATCCGAGCAGTCTCTGCCGAGCAGTCTCTGCCGAGCAGTCTCTGCCGAGCAGTCTCTGCCGAGCAGTCTCTGCCGAGCAGTCTCTGCCGAACAGTCTCTGCCGAACAGTCTCTGCCGAACAGTCTCTGCGGGCGACCATTGCTTGCGGATACTCAGCTGCTGCGACCATTGCTTGCGGATACTCAGCTGCTGCGACCATGCTTGCGGATACTCAGCTGCTGCCGCCACCAGGAAGTTTTGCAAGTGTTTTATGGAGATGCAAAGAGGCGCTGGGCTGCCAGGATGGTCGAAGTGTCAGGCCTGATGTATGAGGAGAGGGCCGATGATGACCAGCGGCCCAGCTGCTGGAGGGCGGAATAGGGGAGCCCAAGGGACGCGGCGCGCGTGGCGGCGCCTATCCGAAGGAGTGGGCTGTGTAGAGATGGGGAGACAGGTTACAAGCAGCAGTACGGACTTGAGTTGGGCTCTGAAACAGACGGATGACATTGGAAGGTTATCGGGAGCGCGGAGGAGATGCTTTGAGGGAAGGCGTCGGGCCAGGGCCCGGCGAACCACTGGACCTGGAAGAGACCCCCAAAACCCACGGACGGGGCTGCGTCCGTGAAGAACCGCAGGGCATCTGAGGACGGGATGACGTCACTGTAAAAAAAAAAATACACCGTCCCAGCGGCTCAGCAGACGGGACCCGAACGCCAGGTCGGAGCGGCACCCCGCGTCCGGGCAGACAGCGTCGTTGAGGGAGGAGACGGAGCCAGATATAAGCAGTTCCATATACAAGCAGTTCCATATACAAGCAGTTCCATATACAAGCAGTTCCATATACAAGCAGTTCCATATACAAGCAGTTCCATATACAAGCAGTTCCATATACAAGCAGTTCCATATACAAGCAGTTCCATATACAAGCAGTTCCATATACAAGCAGTTCCATATACAAGCAGTTCCATATACAAGCAGTTCCATATACAAGCAGTTCCATATACAAGCAGTTCCATATACAAGCAGTTCCATATACAAGCAGTTCCATATACAAGCAGTTCCATATACAAGCAGTTCCATATACAAGCAGTTCCATATACAAGCAGTTTCATATACAAGCAGTTTCATATACAAGCAGTTTCATATACAAGCAGTTTCATATACAAGCAGTTTCATATACAAGCAGTTTCATATACAAGCAGTTTCATATACAAGCAGTTTCATATACAAGCAGTTTCATATACAAGCAGTTTCATATACAAGCAGTTTCATATACAAGCAGTTCCATATACAAGCAGTTCCATATACAAGCAGTTCCATATACAAGCAGTTCCATATACAAGCAGTTCCATATACAAGCAGTTCCATATACAAGCAGTTCCATATACAAGCAGTTCCATATACAAGCAGTTCCATATATAAGCAGTACCAATATATGCAGTTCCATATACTGCATGAGCAGTTCCAATATGAGCAGTTCCAATATGAGCAGTTCCGGTATGAGCAGTTCCAATATGAGCAGTTCCAATATGAGCAGTTCCAATATATTAGCAGTTCCATATATTAGCAGTTCCATATATTAGCAGTTCCATATATTAGCAGATCCATATATTAGCAGTTCCATATATTAGCAGATCCATATATTAGCAGATCCATATATTAGCAGTTCCATATATTAGCAGTTCCATATATTGGCAGTTCCATCAGTGGCGGCTGGTGGAATTTTCTACTGGGGGGGCTATGAATATGATGACTAGATATAAATGCACCACAGAATTTGACACAGTCTATTATTTTTGATAGGATGTGCCTATTCTTGTCAACCTCCTCATTGTGCTTTCTGATCCCTACCCTGTAGCTTTCATCCAGCTGGGATGAAATATTTATCTTCCCAAACATAGCTAATTTGAGGGCATTTTGCATGTGGATACCAGTCTGCTCATGCTTCTTTGCCTTTTCTAAAAAGTGCTTCAGATCAGTCATACCTGTCTTGATCCATGCTGGGTCAGATCCTGATGTTTGAAACAAGAGGCATGGAAAGCAAAATAAAGCATTAGCCTCGCTACATGCTGCTAGCCAAGATTTGGCGCTGAACCAGGTCCTGGAAAAAGTACGAGTGTACCGTCTCCCTCTGTCGCTGGACTGCTGACTAATGGTAATATTTGGCTGATCAGGTCCAAGCTCTTTAACCTCAACCTTCTCCTGGTATGATCTTCTCTCAAACGGTATTGTTTTGAGTGATCTAACTGAATTATTCTTTTTTTCATTCTCCATTTTGCGTCTCTTTACGTTCGTCTCAAACTCCCACAGCTTGACCTGTCAATCACTGTAAACGGACGTCACAGACAGTGACAGTACAGGTCGCGGGCGATCCCGCCCCCTCAGGGCGCACTTCTCCTGCGCCCCCAAATCGTCTTATCTCTTGCATTGAAGAGGAGCTACTGCGCATGTACAACTTTTAACGAGAGTCCATAGACGGCTCAGGGCGCAATCTTTTGCGCCCTGAGGCGGAAATACGTCCTCAGTCCGACACAGACAACGCTGATGAGCTTAATCAATCCAACTCAGCATAAACTATAAAGTATTTCTTCCACATCTGAAATAAAACACACATACATTTCGAAATATTTTAATGTTATTATTTTTTTTAACGTTTTATTCAAGGTAACATGGCAAGTTGTGAGTGGTGGGGCGGCGCCCTAGCGCCCTCTATTGGCCGGCCGCCACTGAGTTCCATATATTAGCAGATCCATGTATAAGCAGTTCCGTATATAAGCAGATCCATATATAAGCAGATCCATATATAAGCAGGTCCAGATATAAGCAGAACCAATATATGCAGTTCCATGCACTGTATAAGCGGTTCCAGGTATAAGCAGTACCATATAATCAGTTCCAGGTATGAGCAGTCCCAATATGAGCAGTTCCATAAAAGCAGTTCCATAATACATAAGCAGTTCCGTAATACATAAGCAGTTCCGTAATACATAAGCAGTTCCATAATACCTAAGCAGTTCCACAATACGTAAGCAGTTCCATAATACGTAAGCAGTTCCAGATATAAGCAGTTCCGTGAGGGATTAAACTGAGAGCTCGCAGTCCAATTTGAGGGATTAAACGGAGCTTGCAGTCAGAGTGAAGGATTTAAACGGAGCTTGGTTAAAGAGAGCCTGCAGACCAATGCGAGGGCTTTAAACTGATGCTTGCCCACCAATGCACGGGGCCAACTGAGCCTGCATAACAAGCGCGGGGCCAACTGAGCCTGCAGGACAATGCGAGGGGAATAAACCGTCCGCAGATCTCATACTTACCCGCAACGCCAGAAGACAAGGGACAACACGACGGGACCACACCGTATGGCACGAGGAGGCAGGGATGCGCACGGCTCCCACCGCACCGGGCCAGACCGGCCGTATGCAGCAGCAGGCCGCGACGAGACGAGCAGCGGCGAACCCGCAGAAAGAGCCCGCAAAGGAGGAGAGCGGCAAAGACCCACGGACCACAGCACGAGACCCGCAGCAGGTGCAGCGACGTGGAGGAGGAGCAGACGACACGCAGCAGGACAGAGGACAGCAGGGACACGCACGAAGTAAGTGAGAGTAGAACAAAGCGATTCCTCCAGAACGACTCTTTGCAAGGCTTCGCTCTTTGCTGCAGGCTTCAAGAGGCCGAGAATGGGAGTTCCTCCGCTTTTAAGCAGCTTGCCTGGCTGGACCGGTGATTGGAAGGGGGCGTTTGCCGTGCGATAGGCTGGGGATGAGAACCGGCCTGGAGGGGTTACCTTTGGCTGACGTCTACCAAATTGAACTTACGCTGGCTGCATCTTTCTTCACACTGATAGTAACTTTCTTCACTCTGACAGTAACTTTCTTCACACTGACAGTAACTTTCTTCACTCTGACAGTAACACTGACAGTAACTTTCTTCACACTGACAGTAACTTTCTTCACACTGACAGTAACTTTCTTCACTCTGACAGTAACTTTCTTCACACTGACAGTAACTTTCTTCACACTGACAGTAACTTTCTTCACTCTGACAGTAACTTTCTTCACTCTGACTGTAACTTTCTTCACACTGACAGTAATGGCAGAATCTGCTACACAAGTCTCGGGATGTTCTGACCCTCTGTGTGCAAAACACACAGAATCCTTAAACAAGCACCAGAATATACGTGAGTTTTCTTACCTGGTGATGCCGAGTGCTCCACAGACATCCCATTCCTTCACGGATCTCTTCTCTTCACACTGCGTTTGTAAAAGCAGCTTCGAAATGCGGCCTTTGTTTACATTTCAGCCTCAGAACACTGCGGTGGAGGCACATTTGTTTACATTTAGCGCTACCATGTCAAAGACGTATGGAGAGATCCAGTCATTTATCAAACTAAAGGATTATTTCCTTGGCCTCGGTTCAAATGACCGGGAGGTGGGGACCACTGTCAAAGACGCAATAATGTCCTTCGCAGCACTCATAGTACCAAGGGACTGCATATGATCTCAATGGGAGTAAAAACTACACAGTGTACCTTTAAGAACAATCTTTTTGAACTTTTAACTCCTTTTTGGTTTGATTCTCAGAGGATTCTTGCATCCGAACGTGTTCTCAGACGACAGGTCCCACAGTGCACCAGTGAGTATGGTTTTAGTATCACCTGAAATTCAAGTTTCATTATACAAGTTTGTCGTCATAATAGAATGACTTTGCAATTTCTCAATTGTTGCTGTTAGTACAAATGAGTTGAGCTTTAGACCTGCTTTAGACTTGGTTTAGTCCTGCTTTAGACCTGCTTTAGACTGGCTTTAGTCCTGCTTTAGACCTGCTTTAGTCCTGCTTTAGACTGGCTTTAGTCCTGCTTTAGTCCTGCTTTAGACTGGCTTTAGTCCTGCTTTAGTCCTGCTTTAGACCTGCTTTAGTCCTGCTTTAGACTGGCTTTAGTCCTGTTTTAGACCTGTTTTAGTTCTGCTTTAGACTGGCTTTAGACCTGTGTAAGACCTGTTTTAGTCCTGCTGTAGTCCTGTGTTAGACCTGCTTTAGGCCTCCTTTAAACCTGCTTTAGACATGCTTTAGTCCTATTTTAGTCCTGCTTTAGACCTGCTTTAGACCTGCTTTAGTCCTGCTTTAGACCTGCTTTAGTACTGCTTTAGACCTGCTTTAGTCCTGCTCTAGACCCGCTTCAGTCCTGCTTTAGACCTGCTTTAGTCCTGATTTAGACCTACTTTTGTTATTTATGTACAATAATAGCAAGTTTTAACACAAAACACGTCCAGTCTATGTGTAGCTGTGAAACAAACTAGATGTCACCTTGTGTATCGTTGAATGTTCTGAGACGAGACTCTGTGACCACAGTGTGATAAGAATCCAGGCTGGTCACTCTCACTTCTGCCTTGTGGCTGAAATTCCCACGGCTGTTTGTAAAAGTCCAAATCACAGAGACATATCTGAAGATAATGAAAATAACACTTAAGCTATCGCTGTAGTATGACAAGCATGTGAGCAGACAGAACACTCCTGTGAGCTGTAAGGAAGCAGACCGGATTTATGTTTTGTTTTCCTTAAGGTTCACTGCTATTACCATGGAGAGGTTGAAGGTCACGTCAACTCTATGGTGGCTGTCAGTACATGCCATGGACTCAGGTATTCTACTTCTACTACTAATACTGCTACTACTAATACATACTACATGCATGTATAATAATAATGAAAGTGCATGTTTTATCCACTCTACTGCAATATTCATACACAGTGGTGATAAACTACTCCTGTTGCCACAGCTGCCCTGGGGCACACTGAAGAATGAAAGCAACAAACGGCTGCGATTGATTACATTGTATACTCTTGTTTTGAAGGGGCATCGTTGCCGTCGAGGACCAGACGTTCGGGCTGGAGCCGGTTCCAGGATCCGACTCCAGCGTTCTGTATCTTTTGAGGGACGTCGACTCGGAGCTGACATCATGTGGAGTTTTGGGAGAAACCCACCAAGAAAGTCCAAACGGGACCGGACACACGGTGACATCACTGCTGCGGGTGAGAGGGTTAAAGCTCAGGGACCTGGCTTTCACAACAGCAAAAACACTTCACATAATTATTTTTTCACTCAATACACAGTGATGTGTATGGAGTGTGTATGTCTCTGGTCTCTCTCTCCCTCTGGTCTCTCTCTGGTCTCTCTCTGGTCTCTCTCTCTGGTCTCTCTCTGATTCCTCTCTTTCTGGTGTCTCTCTTGTGTCTCTCTCTCTGGTCTCTTGCTGTTCTCTTTCTTTCTGGTCTCTCTCTCTATGTGGTCTCTCTTTCTGGTTTCTCTCTGGTCTCTCTCTTTTGCCTCTCTCTGGTCTCTCTCTTTATGTGGTCTCTCTTTCTGGACTCTCTGGTCCCTCTCTGGTTTCTGTCTCTGGTCTTTCTCGCTGGTCTCTCAAAAAATGGGATGGGAGACCAGGTGCAGTTGTTGTGTGCTTAGGCAAGACACTTCACATTAGAATGAGTCTGGTGTGTGTGTGAGTGGTTGGTGGGGGTGGGAGGGGCTGATGGCACAGACTGGTTGCCTCGCTTCTGTCAGTGTGCCCCAGGGCAGTTGTGGCTACAATTGTACTTTATCACCACCGTGTTTGGAGAGAATGAATTTGAGGGTCCACAAGGAGTTGTATAAAACCTATTCCTTATTCTCATTATTTTGAATTAACAAAGAGGTAGATACATTTTTGCTTCAACAACCATTTTTATTGTGAATTTCTACAGAAGAAGCGTAATTTGCCGACCACCAGTTTCGTGGAGCTGGCTGTGATCGTGGATAATCAAAGGGTGACTTCTTTCTTTCGAGTGAATTTTGAGAAAATTTTAAATTAAAAGTTTGTTTCACTCATACGTGTTCTGCTGCAGTACAATTTCAAGAAGAAAAATGAGACGGCTGTGCGGGAGGAGATGGTGGAGACGGTGAATCTAGTCGACGGGGTGAGAGTTTGTCATAAGCTAATGCTACAATGCTAACCTGGCCCAATATGCAGCCCAACAGAGGAATGCTGATGGTGACTTCCTCTGACTTCAATGTAAAAGTAAACTCCTCTAGCTCACTAACTGCTTTAGGCTTAAAAAATCTTTAATTTATCGCTCTCTTTGATTCTGGTGTTTGTATATTGATAATGTCTTTGTAAATGCAGATATAAAGCTCCAAAGAGTGACCAATCAGGAGCCTTCTCTCCCTGAATTTTTGTGGCTATAGCAAAAGATTGGCTCTTTAGTTGCTATCCCCAAATTTGGCTCCAGATTCCTGCAAATGTAGCCTATTTGAGTTGGCTAGCTCAGAAGTAGTAGTAGTAGTAGCAGTAGTAAAAGCAGCGGTGTTTGCATTGGGGCAGTCACATGACCTCTCGTCCTCAGTACTACAGGAGCCTGAACATCCGTGTGAGGCTCGTTCACCTGGAGGTGTTCACCGACTCCAACCCCTTCAGTGTGGAGGGCTCTGCAGGGGAAGTGCTCGAGCGATTCGTCAAATGGAGAAAACTGAACTTGATGCCTCGAGCAAGGAACGACGTGGCACAGCTGGTCATGTGAGTGCGGGAGAGACCAGAGAGAGACCAGAGAGAGAGACCAGAGAGAGACCCGAGAAGGACCAGAGAGAGATCACAGAGAGAGACCAAAGAGAAAGACCAGAGAGAGATCACAGAGAGAGACCAGAGAGAGATCAGAGAAAAAGACCAGCGAGAGAGACCAGAGAGAGAGATCAGAGAAAAAGACCAGAGAGAGAGACCAGAGAGAGACCAACGACCATTATTTTCTCATAGTGGTGACAATATTGAAAAACATGTATGTTTCTCTCTCTATTTATCATGTTTTATTATTATTATGATTTATTTATGGATAAGTGTTGTGTCCTCGTCCAGCGGTCGTCCTGGTCCTTATGGGAACGTGTTGGGGATGGCTTTTGTCGGGACCGTGTGCTCCGTGGCCACATCCGGAGGCATCAATGTGGTGGGTTTCAATCTGACACAAACTTATTATTAGTACTATTATTATTATTATTATTATTATTGTTGTAGACCGATAGAGCTCTCTCTCTCTCTTTCTGATCTCTCCAGTGTCCCTCTCCTTGTCTCTCTCAGGTCTCTCTCTGCTCTCTGTTCTCTCAGATCTCTTTCTCTGGTCTCTTGCTCTAGCCTCTCTGGTCTCTGTCTCTTTGGTCTCTCTGATTTCTATTTGTTTCTCTCTCTGATCTCTCCAGTCTCTCTCTCTCTCTCTCTGGTCTCTCGCTGGTCTCTTTCTGGTCTCTCTCTGGTTTCTCTCTCTCTCTGGTCTCTCTCTGGTCTCTCTCTACAGTCTCTCTCTGGTCTCTCTCTCTCATTCTGTCTGGTTCAAATGTGTTTTAACTTGTGACCGCAGCCAACACCTGGTCCCTCCCTGTCTTCTTTGTGACGCTGGAACCTGAGCTCTTTGTTGTATAATTTATGGGTAAACACAAGTCATACCAGTTAGACTCAGTCTATCATCAGCAACAGCAAATGGAAACATGATTGACAAGTTTATTGTGATCATGTGTGGAATGTTTGGTTTAAGATCAAGCTACAGAGAGAGACTGGGGGAGAGAGAGACCAAAGGGGGAGTGACCAAAGAGAGGCAAGAGAGTAAGAGACCAGAGAGAGTGAGAGACCAGAGAGAGTGAGAGTCCAGAGAATGCGAGAAAGACCAGAAAGGGATCTTCTTTCCCATAGTTCCAGTCAGAGACACTAAGAGATTCTTATCAGCTCCGTGTGTGTGTGTGTGTTCAGAGCTGCCCCTGAGGTGGGCTCTCTCTCTGTTCTCTCTCTGCTCTCTCTGGTGTCTCTCTGGTTTGTGTGTCTCTCTGGTCTGGTCTGTGTTTAGATTTAGAGCTGACCCAGAGGTGGTCTCTCTCTCTCTCTGCAGCTCACAGACACCGCCACTCTGCCGTACTTCTCCAGCATTGTCGCACACGAGATCGGACACAATCTCGGCATGAACCACGACGACACGCGCTGCAGCTGCGAGGGAGGATGCATCATGGGAGCTGGAGGGTACCTACACAAAGACATAAGTACAAGTTTCTCTGGTATGCACACCAGCTTTATGTGCACACAAAAGTAGGCAGATAAAACTTTGGTCTCTCTCTGGTCTCTCGGGTTTTTCTCTCTGGTCTCTTGAAACTTTTTCTCGAGTCTCTCTCAAGTATATTTCTGGTCTCTCTCTCTGGTCTCTCTCCGGTCTTTCGAGTCTCTCTCTCTGGTCTTTCTCTGGTCTCTCAAATCTCACTCTCGGGTCTCTCGAGTCTCTCTCTCTGATCTCTCTTTCTCTGGTCTTTTTCTACTCATAGAATCAAACTGTTTTAGAGCCAGGGACTAGGGACATGGGTTATACCACATAGTTCCATTGTTTTTAAAGCTACGTACCCCAGCTTTAACTCGATCTTTGACCTGTTTTAAAGGCAGAGCGTGTCCTTCAGCTCGTGCAGCGGAGACGACTTTGAGAAGCTGATTCTCCGCGGACAAGGGGAGTGTCTAAGGAACGTCCCGTCGCACTCTGACGTGGTGGGAGTGTCCCGCTGTGGAAACGGACTCCTGGAGGACGGAGAGCAGTGCGACTGTGGGACCCCCGAGGTGAAGGGGTCTCTCTCTCTCTGGTTTTTCTCTGCTCTCTTTTTCTGGTCTCTCTCTCCTGTCCCTCTTTGCTCACTCTCTGGTCACTCTCTGTCTCTCTCTGTTTTCTTATGAATTTCTGTGTTTTTAGGAGTGCAAAGACAAATGTTGCGACGCAGCGACCTGTAAGTTCACCAGAGGCTCGGTGTGCGCCGCGGGGAGGTGCTGCCACAACTGTCAGGTCTGTATGAGCCACAGACAAATACAAATGAAGTTAGCTAACAGACTAGCTCCATGAAGCCCTAAAGGAAAGTGCCATGGATCCAGTGCTTAATTGGATCCGGAACTTCTACACATGTGTGTGTATTAAATTCATAAATTCTGTCAAAAGTATTGCGTGTGAGCTAGAGCACTGACCCGTTCTTAATAATTAGACATTTATTTAAACACGTAGGTGGGTTAAATACTTGTTCTTTGGCATAGCCTTCTCGATCATGGTTGGTAAAAATAAATAAAATGGCCTATAATTCATTAGGTCTATATTACACGTGAAGCACAAATAAATGTAAATTTAAAAGAACAACAAACAACAATTGCAGCCACAAAATTGCAACTGTGCAAATGTCAACAACACAACTACATTCAACACAATCTGCTACAACTACGTGGATGTAAAATGTCTTTTGTCTGTTGCCACTGGCGATGATGCTCCATTTTTGCAAGTGCAATGGCTCATCGGGGATCAAGCAAGCCCCGGCGATCCAAGATGGCGCCCTATTCAAATGAATGGTTGTGCTCAGTGGCGCTTTGTGACGGCATGGGGGCTGAAAGATTAGCGGAACTCGCCTGTATTTGGGCATCGTCTGGTCCTCCCGGTTCTGCGCAGTGGATGGTCTCCCATAATGCGTTGCGCCAAACACGCGTGTGTGGGTCTCACACCGGGTCTCACGCACGTGCACAGAGGGGCTCGGCCGCGCTCTGACCAATCAGAGCAGTTCATCAGAGCGGGAGTTAGAGCGGGAGCCAGACGAGCAGAATTTGTGGCACTAAAGTGTGGATTCAAACAAAACCGAAGGATTTAAGAAGAAAAAAAGTTAAGGATGACAAGGGACATTAAAATCCCCACAAAATCCGACCTTTACGAAAGCTGCAGGTTCTCTGTCAGCTGAGGTCGAGCTGTTTTAATATGCATTGAGTTCTATGGGGAACATTTCTGGGTAGCCCACGTGAATTTAGTCTGGTTCAGTCTGCAGTACCGCGAGAATCCCCCGAGCACATGAGTTATTCAGCTACAAGCTAGTAATACCCTATCCAGTTATTATAATAGATCCATGGGATCAAGTTGACGTGAACCATGAGTGAGGCGTGTATCCCCATACATCACTATGGTCAGAGCAACTGCAGGCAGACCTTGCCAGACCAATTCATCTGCTGCACTCTGGGAATTCCCACTTTACAAATAAAGTTCTGCATGGATCTATTGTAATATCTGTATAAGGTGTTTCTAAATTATGGCTGAAGGACCAATGAGCTCGGGGGCTACAGCCTCAGTCCTGTGCATGGGCTCTCCAAAAATGTTCCCCATAAAACTCAATGTAAACTAAAACAGCTCGACCTCAGCTGACAGAGAACCTACAGATTTCATAAAGGATGATTCTGTGTGAATTTTAGTGTTGCTTATCATCGTGACTCTTTTCTTCTTGTTAAATCTTCTTTGTTGTACACATTAATGCAACAAACTCTGCTGGTTTTCTTCCCACCCAAGCTGTGCTCTGATTGGTCAGGATGCTGCCGTGCTACTCTGTCCACTGCGCAGAACCAGAAGGACCAGATGATGCCCAAATATGAGCGAGTTCTGCTAATCTTACGCTACTGAGCATAAGCCATTGATTTAAATAGGCCGCCATCTTGGATCGCCAGGGCTTGGGAAGTGCTCATGTGAAAGTAAACTAGTATATTGTGATGTTGTCTTTGTGAGTCTTTGAGAGATCAGTCTCTCTGATCTATCTCTCTTAACTTAGATTTTGCTTGTATAAAGTTAGGTAGAAATGTGAGTCGAGGTGTGTTTTTGCCTCATTGTCCTCTCTTCCAGCTCAAAGTGGCCGGGACGCCCTGCCGGCGCTCAGAGGACAGCTGTGACCTCCCAGAGTTCTGCAACGGGACCTTTGCCTTTTGTCCTGACGATTTCTACATCATGGACGGACTGCAGTGTGAGGAGCCAGGAGGGGCCTACTGCTACGAGGGCCGCTGCCAGACCTACGACTACCAGTGCAGACAGCTGTTCATCCCAGGTACCAGCAGCAAGAGAGAGAGATAGACCTGAGAGAGAGAGCCAGAAGAGAGAGCCAGGAGAGAGAGAGAGTAGAGAGAGACCAAAATAGTCCAAATAGCGTGAGTCCTTTCATGTCCTGTTTTTCAGATCCAGCTATAAAAGCAGCCGATATTTGCTTTTCTGCTGCAAACATTCGAGGAAACCAGTTCGGAAACTGTGGCGAACCGAGCCCTGGGAACTTCATCAAGTGTCCAGTGGCGTAAGTCCCTCACACTGGTCCCAACCAGAGACTGTATACAGATGGACAATGCTAACACAGACTGTATACAGATGGACAATGCTAACACAGACTGTATACAGATGGACAACGCTAACATAGACTGTATACAGATGGACAATGCTAACACAGACTGTATACAGATGGACAACGCTAACACAGACTGTATACAGATGGACAATGCTAACATAGACTGTATACAGATGGACAACGCTAACACAGACTGTATACAGATGGACAATGCTAACACAGACTGTATACAGATGGACAACGCTAACACAGACTGTATACAGATGGACAATGCTAACATAGACTGTATACAGATGGACAATGCTAACATAGACTGTATACAGATGGGCAACGCTAACATAGACTGTATACAGATGGACAATGCTAACACAGACTGTGTACAGATGGACAATGCTAACATAGACTGTAGAGGACCAGAGAGGAAGACCAGAGAGAGACACCAGGGAGAGAGATACCAGAGAGAGAGACCTGAGAAAGATACTAGACTGAGACACTAGAGAGAGATAAGAATGAAAGACCAGAGAGAGAGCGAGAGATCAGACAAAGTTATTGTATTGTGTTGCAGAGACGTCATGTGTGGGAAGGTGCAGTGTACAAACGTGAACAACCCTCCGCCAGGGGCCAGCATCAGCATCCAGGTGATCAACGGCACCAGGTGCGTCAACGTACACTTTGACCTGGGGCCCGATGTCCTGGACCCTGGCTACAGCAACCCAGGCAGCCCCTGTGCTCCAGGCATGGTGAGGGACCAGAGAGGGACTAGAGAGAGACCAGAGTAATTCACTTCCTGATCATAAATCTCCAAATGTTTCAGACTTGTGTGAATTTCAAGTGTGTGGACGCTTCGGTTCTTCTGCCCGAACTCAGCTGCAACGCCAAAGACACCTGCAACAGTCGCGGGGTAACAACACATTCACAAATATCTATCTTTACTAGGGGTGGGAACCTAAGGGTACCTCACGATACGATACACGATACAAAGCTCACGATAACGATAATATCACGATAACGATTTTATCACGATATGACGATTATTGATATATTGGTCAGAAATATACAATATGCCAATTTATGGCATAAATAAAATAAAATAAACTCTTTATTTCATGATAAATAGAATGGAGATGCGTAATGTAGCCATATAATAAGTATTGATACCAATAAAAAATAAAAAAAGTAAAAAAAAAAAACATGTTTTTTTATTTATTTTTTTCAAAATTGATATTGATACTTGGCAAATGCATATCGATAATCGAATCGCGGGAGAAAGTATCACACCCCTAATCTGTACACATTCAGTAAATGATACGTTCTTGTAATCTATAATAAGGACGGACTTAAGCAAAATATGTATATGTGTTTTTTCTTTCTATTGTTTCTATTTCTTAAACATGTGATCATTTCTTGGCTTGTTCTAAAATAACCAGAGAGAGACCAGAGAGAGACCAGAGAGAGACCAGAGAGAGACCAGAGAGAGACCAGAGAGAGACCAGAGAGAGACCAGAGAGAGACCAGAGAGAGACCAGAGAGAGACCAGAGAGGGAAACCAGAGAAAGGGACCAGAGTGAGAGAGATCAGAGGCTGTATATCCAGGCATGTGTGTATGTGTGTCTGTCTGTCATGTCTGTATGTGTCTGTATGTGTCTGTGTGTGTGTGTGTGTGTGTGTGTGTCGCTCTGTGTATATCTCTGTGTGTTTGTCATGTGTGTGTGTCTGTGTGTGCAGGTGTGTAACGACCAGGGCCACTGTCACTGTAATGTGGGCTGGGCTCCTCCAGACTGCAGGTCCGCAGGTCGTGGGGGCAGCGTGGACAGTGGACCGGCTTCTATAGGTCTGTGCCCTCTCCCACATTTAAGTCTATGAACTTTAATAACTAAGTCTTTTGAACTATTGACGTCTCAGGTTTTCCAAAAGAAAACCTATGAAAGGGACTCGACCCTAAAACAGACTGCTCTCAACTGTAGCTGCTTCCCTTTCTCCTTTACAAGAAGCTGTTTTTAGCTTGTATACCCTCATATAGGTCTCCCGCCATTGTTCCCCCCTCAGTCCTCTAACCACCACACCTACATACTGTACATCAGAGGTGTGGACTCGAGTCATGTGACTTGGACTCGAGTCAGACTCGAGTCATGATTTTGATGACTTTAGACTCGACTTGACCAAATGTAAAAAGACTTGCAACTCGACTTGGACTTTAACATCAATGACTCTGACTTTCACTTGGACTTGCGCCAATTGACTTGTAAAGACTTGCGTAACCCGGGCCATTTTTACCTTTCTCCGCATCTCTCTTTCTATCTATGCCGTCTCTGAAGAAACAAAGCCTCGCGGTAGTTGTAGCGCTCGCGCGAGAGTTCGAACGTGAGTTCCAGGCAGTTCGCGCAGCAACACTTCCCTAAACAAGCGCACTGCATTCACCGGTGGGTGTGTTGTCTAGGGGAGCTGGAAATAAGCGAGCTGCAGGTATTTATCGCGACCTAACGTCATATTTTGTTTTACAAACCGTAATTGATATGCTTTCACTACAGGCGCCTCATACAATTGACTCGACGCAGTTGTCACACTGTGTGCCGTGTTTTAAAGAGGAACTGGTGAGTCAAACTAGCGCTAGCCTGCGCTGCTCTGTTGGCTATTTCTTATATTTTTCTGTGTGGGCGCCGAGGCCTATTATTATGAGTATGTTTTTGCTGTGCTCATCCTGCTAAAGTTTGCATACATTAGATAGTTGTTTTGATTATGTGCACTAAGCTAGATTAATATTTGCACTATTGTTTATGGTTCATTGATATGAGAATCAGTGCTTTGACTGATTGAATTAATTTATATGAGACATTTTATTATGTAATGATATATTGGTAATTATGAGATATTACTAATGCTGGCCCAGTTCATACAGGCCAGGTTCCTTCCCCTCCATTGGTCCCTTCAGTCCTTTGGAACAATAACCACTACGGACATTAAACTGATTATATAGATACAGGTCCTAGCCCAATACTCATATTCATATATGCTGCACTTGCTACTTCCCATTAAAAACCCCAAAGATAAAAAGTATGTTGACACGGACTGCTCTGTGTTTATGTGTGGTCTGTGCATGTGTAACTGAGCCTGCATCTGGCACAACATCCAATTAGATCACGTAGATAGTTTTGATTTACCAGCAGCCAACGACATGGAACAAACTGTTAGTCCATGGGTCAGAGACCAACGAGAATGCACCAGCAAAATGATTCCTAACATTATTTTGTTTGCCTACAAAAGTACGTGGAGACCAACAAGAAACAAATCGCGGTCAAAAAGACTCGAGAGGACTCGAAAGTCAAACCGTAGGACTTGGGACTGACTTGAGATTTGTTGGCCTTTGACTTGGACTCGACTCGGGACTTGCCTGTCTTGACTCGTGACTTGACTCGGGACTTGAGGGCAATGAATTGAGACTGACTTGTGACTTGCTAAACAATGACTTTGTCCCACCTCTGCTGTACATACATAGAGACACACAGAGACACACACACACATTTATCTGTAAATAGGTAAATACTCAGCAAATGTGCAATACTGCAACTTCAGAATGTCCCTATATCTACTTATTACCCTGCCCTATATGTACAGTATATACAGTATCTTTCCACTATACACAGATATAGATATTTTGAAAGATTGATATTGAAGCATTTACAGATAAGAAACATAGCAGCTACTTATTTTGTATATTTTGCGTGCTCCCTGTGTGCTCTTACTACTATCCTGTATGTGCGCTGCAACACTGACATTTCCCCACTGTTGGACATATAAAGGATCTCTTATATTATCTTACACACACACACACACACACACACACAGAAAGGTCACACACACAGCAAGAGACACACAGGGCCATACAGAGTGTGTTGGTCTCCCTCTTGGCAGCTGTATGTGTGCTCCAGATCACTCCCTCAGAGACGGACTGCTGATCTTCTTCCTGCTGGTGCTTCCCCTGGTGGCGGCGCTGGTTGTGCTGTTTCTCTACCTGTTCAGACGAGACGCTCTGCAGCCCTGCATCAAGAGACGACACAAGTAAACACTTAGCAGAACGGCTAACCACCAAGAGTTCACTTAGCAGTACAGCTAACCACGGGGAGTTCACATAACAGCACAAGCCCCCAACAATTTTAGCTCAATTAGAAGCAGGGCAAATCACAAGGATTAAAAATACTGCTAACCACAATGCAAGTACACTGATGCTGATGTACTGTTCACTGATGCTAATATACACTGATGCTGATGTACTGTTCACTGATGCTAATATACACTGATGCTAATGTACTGTTCACTGATGCTAATGAACACTGATGCTAAGGTACACTGATGCTAAGGTACACTGATGCTAATGAACACTGATGCTAAGGTATTGTTCACTGATGCTAAGGTATTGTACACTGATGCTAAGGTATTGTTCACTGATGCTAAGGTATTGTACACTGATGCTAAGGTATTGTACACTGATGCTAATGTACACTGATGCTAAGGTATTGTACACTGATGCTAATGTACACTGATGCTAAGGTATTGTACACTGATGCTAATGTACACTGATGCTAAGGTATTGTACACTGATGCTAATGTACACTGATGCTAAGGTATTGTACACTGATGCTAATGTACACTGATGCTAATGTACACTGATGCTAATGTACACTGATGCTAATGTACACTGATGCTAATGTACACTGATGCTAATGTACACTGATGCTAATGTACACTGATGCTAATGTACACTGATGCTAATGTACACTGATGCTAATGTACACTAATGCTAATGTACACTGATGCTAATGTACACTGATGCTAATGTACCCTGATGCTAATGTACACTGATGCTAATGTACCCTGATGCTAATGTACACTGATGCTAATGTACCCTGATGCTAATGTACACTGATGCTAATGTACCCTGATGCTAATGTACACTGATGCTAATGTACCCTGATGCTAATGTACACTGATGCTAATGTACACTGATGCTAATGTACACTAATGCTAATGTACACTGATGCTAATGTACACTGATGCTAATGTACACTGATGCTAATGTACACTGATGCTAATGTACACTGATGCTAATGTACACTGATGCTAATGTACCCTGATGCTAATGTACACTGATGCTAATGTACCCTGATGCTAATGTACACTGATGCTAATGTACCCTGATGCTAATGTATTGTACACTGATGCTAAGGTACACTGATCTGTGTACCTTAGCATCAGTGTACAATACCTTAGCATCAGTGTACAATACCTTAGCATCAGTGTACAATAAATTACACTGATGCTAATGTAATATAATATGATGTAAACTTGAGTGAATCTGAGCTCTTTCTTCCAGGTCTCCCACCCCCACAGACTCCGCTCCGTCCCAGAGGAGGGGGCCTGTTCCTGCTGCACAGACTCAGAGCACAGAGGCCCCCACAGAGAGGGTAACACTGCTGCACCTGATACATATTTATTTAGTATAAAGTTTATACAATATCTTTCTTAAATATGGTTCTTTTCCCGCCGCAGCCCGGACTGGCCCCTGACACCGGAGTTCCCGGGTAACTTTTAAACGTTTCATTTTGTGGCGTTCCACAAACTAACTCCAGGTTTTTCTCACAGTTGGAATTATGGAGAGCTGGATTATTGGAGGACCCAGGACCAGTTCCAGGACCAGTCCCAGACCCAGGTCCATCCTCAGACCCAGGACCAGTCCCAAATCCAGCCCAGGCCTCTCCCCAGGCAGGGCCCAGGAGTCCCCCGGCCCATTCCCCCGAGGCCTCTTCAAATGGACCTATGACATCGTCGCATATGTTGTCACTCAGAAGCACAGCTTAGAGTTTGTTCATCGATTATTTGAAAAAAAAAAGAGTAATTTTATTTTTTACATATAAAAGATTGTGCTTCTTTACTTTTACTTAGAGCTGTTATTTCACCTAAAAGAAATCTCTGGTGTCTCGCTGGTCTCTCGCTGGTCTTTCTTTGGTCTCTCTCTGGTTTCTCATTGGTCTCTCTCAGGTCTCTCTCTGGTCTCTCTTTGGTCTCTCATTGGTCTCTCTCTCTGGTCTCTCTTTATGGGGTGCTGATTGTAAAAATTCTGTTAAAATTTTTTAGCTGAACATTTTTCTACATTTAGCTCACTTTCCTCACATTTAGCACATTTTCCTCACATTTAAGACATATCTATATCTAAATATTATATCTATATCTAAATGTTAAATGTTATATCTAAATATTATATCTATATCTAAATGTTATATCTATATCTAAATGTTAAATCTAAATGTTAAATCTAAATGTTAAATCTAAATGTTATATCTATATCTAAATGTTATATCTATATCTAAATATTATATCTATATCTAAATGTTAAATGTTATATCTAAATATTATATCTATATCTAAATGTTATATCTATATCTAAATGTTAAATCTAAATGTTAAATCTAAATGTTAAATCTAAATGTGTCGCCAAGTGTAAAGCTAAATATATAGAAACCACGCCCACTGCAGTGGCTTCAAATCCAGTGGGCCCGCCTTCCGTGCCGTGTGGTGAGAACCCTACATTACACAGGAATCTCACGGGACTCCACGTGGCTTAGTTTACAGTGAATACACTCTGGCTCCAGCAAATAAGCAAGAATCTTCACAAAAATGCTAATTTTGTGCCGTGGCCAAGGACGATGGCGCCGGAGACCCAACATGCCTTGAGCCGTGACGTCGGTCCACGTGTATTCCTATGTTCAAAACACGCGGCACCGCCCCCACTCACCACACGGCACGGAAGGCGGGCCCACTGGATTTGAAGCCACTGCAGTGGGCGTGGTTTCTATATATTTAGCTTTACACTTGGCGACACATTTAGATTTAACATTTAGATTTAACATTTAGATTTAACATTTAGATATAGATATAATATTTTAGATATAATATAACATTTAACATTTAGATATAGATATAATATTTAGATATAGATATAACATTTAGATATAGATATAACATTTAGATATAGATATAACATTTAGATATAGATTAACATTGATAACATTTAGATTTAACATTTAAATTTAACATTTAGATTTAACATTTAGATATAGATATAACATTTAGATATAGATATAATATTTAGATATAACATTTAACATTTAGATATAGATATAATATTTAGATATAGATATGTCTTAAATGTGAGGAAAATGTGCTAAATGTGAGGAAAGTGAGCTAAATGTAGAAAAATGTTCAGCTAAAAAATTTTAACAGAATTTTTACAATCGGCACCCCATATCTCTTTGGTCTCTCATTGGTCTCTCTTTGGTCTCTCTTTGGTCTTTCTCTGGTCTCTCTTTGGTCTCTCATTGGTCTCTCATTGGTCTCTCTTTGGTCTTTCTCTGGTCTCTCTTTGGTCTCTCATTGGTCTCTCATTGGTCTCTCTTTGGTCTTTCTCTGGTCTAGAACGGGAGCCAAACAAGCAGAGTTTGTTGCACTAAAGTCTGGATTTATAGAAAACCGAAGGATTTAACAAGAAGAAAGGTGCAGGACGACAATGGACACTAAAATCCCCACAGAGTCACGTTAATCTGAAACAAGAAAGAGCAGAAATTTTGTGTTTTTAATAACAACTGTTTGTTTTGTGGAGTGTTTTTGAATGAAGTGTAAATTAAAGTGAGTTTTACAGTCTTTGGCTTTGTACTTGTCACATTTGCAGCTGAACCAATCTACTCCACTACTACTATCTGAGCTCTGTTCTAATCTGCTCTGAATATAGAGTAGAATACATTAAAGTAGAGATACTTTAATGCACAGGTGTCAAAGTCAAGGCCCGTGAATGAATTTTACATGGCCCGTTGCCTGCCATTGACGCACTATTACGTCAATTGCATTTTCCGCTATTTTCATGTTCCCAGATGTCTATTATATGTAATATGTTTGGGGATAAGCTTGAGAGCATATTGAATCGAGCCAGCAGGTGGCAGCAGCGCTCTCTGGATGGTTTGAAAACAGCTAGATGCACTTGTTGTGCCTCTTTTTCTCAGCTTTTTGGTGATTTCAGTAAAACTTCCCTCTACTCAACTGGGAATTACAAGCTAGAAACAAAATTATTTTTTCTGATGAAAGTAGACAGTCTGTTCTTTCAGAATCTGGTTTCGGATTTCAGATAGTCATAGTACACAATATTCTGTGGGTCTTGAAAAATCTATAAAAATCATCAGAAACTGCTGGCAATATGGGAGTACCTGTTCTGAAATAGGCTGGCAGGCAATGAGTTAATAAACATTGAACCAGTCCAGCCCTCGGCTCGTAGCAAATTTGTTTTTTTGGCCCTCTGATGTATTTGACTTTGACATGCCTGCTTTAATGTATTCTACTCTACTTTATTCTACATCACATACATCTGACTTTTTCTGACGCTTCTCTACATCAGTCCTCTGGTCTGCTCCGTCCCATTGCTCCATAGACTTCACAGAGCACAGATACAGTGCCTTGCGAAAGTATTCGGCCCCCTTGAACCTTTCGCCACATTTCAGGCTTCAAACATAAATATATAACATTTTAAGTTTTTGTCATGAATCAACAACAAGTGGGACACAATCGTGAAGTGGAACAAAATGTATTGGATATATTAAACTTTTTTAACAAATAAAAAAAAGTGGGGCGTGTAATATTATTCGGCCCCTTTACTTTCAGTGCAGCAAACTCACTCCAGAAGTTCAGTGAGGATCTTTGAATGATCCAATGTTGTCCTAAATGACTGATGATGATAAATAGAATGCACCTGTGTGTAATCAAGTCTCCGTATAAATGCACCTGCTCTTTGATAGTCTCAGGGTTCTGTTTAAAGCGCAGAGAGAACCATGAAGACAAAGGAACACACCAGGCAGGTCCGAGATACTGTTGTGGAGAAGTTTAAAGCCGGATTTGGATACAAAAAGATTTCCCAAGCTTTAAACATCTCAAGGAGCACTGTGCAAGCAATTATATTGAAATGGAAGGAGTATCAGACCACTGCAAATCTACCAAGACCCGGCCGTCCCTCCAAACTTTCATCTAAAACAAGGAGAAGACTGATCAGAGATGCAGCCAAGAGGCCCATGATCACTCTGGATGAACTGCAGATAACTACAGCTGAGGTGGGAGAGTCTGTCCATAGGACAACAATCAGTCGTGCACTGCACAAATCTGGCCTTTATGGAAGAGTGGCAAGAAGAAAGCCATTTCTCAAAGATATCCATAAAAAGTCTTGTTTAAAGTTTGCCACAAGCCACCTGGGAGACACACCAAACATGTGGAAGAAGGTGCTCTGGTCAGATGAAACCAAAATCAAACTTTTTGGCCACAATGCAAAACGATATGTTTGGCGTAAAAGCAACACAGCTCATCACCCTGAACACACCATCCCCACTGTCAAACATGGTGGTGGCAGCATCATGGTTTGGGCCTGCTTTTCTTCAGCAGGGACAGGGAAGATGGCTAAAATTGATGGGAAGATGGATGGAGCCAAATACAGGACCATTCTGGAAGAAAACCTGTTGGAGTGTGCAAAAGACCTGAGACTGGGACGGAGATTTATCTTCCAACAGGACAATGATCCGAAACATAAAGCCAAATCTACAATGGAATGGTTCACAAATAGACGTATCCAGGTGTTAGAATGGCCAAGTCAAAGTCCAGACCTGAATCCAATCGATAATCTGTGGAAAGAGCTGAAGACTGCTGTTCACAAACGCTCTCCATCCAACCTCACTGAGCTCGAGCTGTTTTGCAAGGAAGAATGGGCAAGAATTCCAGTCTCTCGATGTGCAAAACTGATAGACATATGCCAAGCGACTTGCAGCTGTAATTGCAACAAAAGGTGGCGCTACAAAGTATTAGCGCAAGGGGCCGAATAATATTGCACGCCCCACTTTTCAGTTTTTTATTTGTTAATTAAAAAAGTTTAAATTGTCCAATAAATTTTGTTCCACTTCACGATTGTGTCCCACTTGTTGTTGATTGACAAAAAAAATATTTTTTATACTGTATCTTTATGTTTGAAGCCTGAAATGTGGCGAAAGGTTCAAGGGGGCCGAATACTTTCGCAAGGCACTGTAATACGCCTACTGGTTCCTTATCCCTGTCGTACTAGTATTTGCATTTGGGAAGTAGTCAAATAAGGTCATAGGAATAGTATGGGAGTTACCCCGGCTCTGGTCTTGGCCTGGTTCTGATCGTGTATGGTCTGGTGTCAAGATGTGTGACACCAGAGATAACCCTTGAATGGTTTCCTGTCATCCAGTTTTGTTGTTGGAAGCACTTTACAATTAGCCAGAACGAGAGAAATGTTAATGCATCAGCAGGAATTTATTGCAGATCACATACAAAGTTACGTGGCCATGGGGCTAATGCAGAGTTAAACCAAGTAGTCTTCCTCCGTCTTAGCTGCTAGTACAAAGTGTGCATTAACAGGTATAGGTGCTGGCCCCTGGGACGGGCCTTCCCCGAATCTTTAACAGTACCTGTGCTTCTGTTCTTTGCTGCTAAGGGTGGGCAGCTTCCCACGCCGAGTCATTTCTGCTTTACTATTGTCCCCGTTCTACAAAGTAGCAACACCGTGTCCTTGGAAGATGTTGTATCAGCTGTTAATTTCCCATGAAGGGAATAATGTTCACCGAATATCTCTAAATGTATCAAAATAGAGAATCAATCTTGTGTTACTGTAAGCATGTGTGTGCCTGACACTGTCAGAATGAGAGTTGTGTATTTGTATGTACTGTATGTGTGTGGCTATGACAAACATAGACTGTATATAGATGGTTAATGCTAACGCTAGCTCAATGAAGCCCAATAGGACAGTAGCACACAAAATAAATAGTAATGTTTCTTAACTAGCTGTAAATGCTACAAGTCTTAAAAAAAAGTAGTGCAAAGTTATTGTGTTTACTGGATGTGCATGATTTTGATTTAGTGCATCTTATTTTGTTTCTGTTCATGATTTAGTGTTTGACTTGTGTGTGTGTCATTTTTGAAATACAATATTACATTTTACAAATCAATTTCTGTTCTGCTTGGTACCAAATCTGCATAGACTGGTTTATTGGGCACAACTCCCACAAATTGCACTTTGCTACGATTAGAATAAAGACAGAGTATTTACTAATTATCTATTTAATTAAGGACATTATGGTGTATTTCTGCACAGCCCAATAGCATAAGTAAAAGGACAACATAGTTTAGTTAGAAGTCTTAATGCATTTATTTGCTAAGTCAAGGGTTTAGAGAAGTGGTTACAACATGTATTTAAGTATTATGGAAAGGGACAAGGCTACAAAAACAACTTGGCTTTCTCCAAACATATACATAGCCCTAAATCACAACACAGATCAGAAAATCAAACACACTACATGAAATGATAGAAAAACATTGGTATTGGTCCATAGGGGCCGATGATGATTATGGAAAGGGACTGGCCCAGGCTTTCACTAAAGGTCCGTTCTCGTAGTTTACAAGCAGACAGGCAACAACATAAAGCTGATTAATATTTCCAGTTGAAGACAAGGGGAGCACTGTCCTGAACAATTGTGTTCCTTCACCCTTCTGATGACACGCTCCACGTGACCTCTAAGCCTGGAAATGGACTGAGTCTTCCTTACTGCGGCTCCAGACAGCTGTTTCTGTTTCTTCAGGAAGGCGGGTATGTGGACTTTGCAGGGGACCAGGTCTTCCACAAGGAAACCCTTGTCCACCATAATAGCCATTGAGGGCTTCAGCAGAGCTACAAGGCCTGACTGCTTGAGAATTTCCCGGTCACTGACACAGCCTTCATAAAGTGGAGGGATGAATGTGATTGTGCCATGAGGAGCCATTCCAATCAGTCCCTTATAAGTGCAGTGCGATTTGTAGCTGGAGTACAGCTCACTTTGCAGCAAGAGGGAGTCAGGTGTTTGACAGCACAGCTTTGTGCAGTCCAAGATGACTTGTGTGTCACTGTACTCTGAGAAAACCTCTGGCATATAATGTTGTACGGCCTCCTCATCCAGCCAAATACCAATAGCTCCCAACACGTCTTGATATAAAAAATTGGCCCAAGTGGTGATGATGCGGCTCACAGTGGACTGGTGAATAAAAAAGTTGACAAGATGGCGCCGTGCCAGGGCGCCGCTGCAAGAGCTCCGTTGTGCACCGTGATTTTTATGCTGTTTTTATCTTTTCACAAAACACTTGCCACTGTGGTATACGATCGACAGACTCTTCTGGACATACGGGACTTGGCTTGTGAGCCAGTGTTGCCTGCTCTGAGGTGTGATGGCTTTGACGAGTGCCCAGCTCGAGGAGAGCGGCGTGCGGACCGCGACAGAGACGGGAAACAGGGCGATGAGGCCGGGCGCCTCCCCCGTGTTCACCACCGTGCGGAGCCGGGTGTCTCTCGCCGACGGAGGAAGCGCAGACACCGGGGAAAGCGTGGCGGGCTTCTCGTGCGGAGTCGCGCCCCCAGGGTCCCACTGCCACCTATTTACCTGGCGAACGTTCAGTCTCTCCCGAACAAGTCGGATGATCTCCTCAGCCGAATCCAGTACCAGCGCGAGGCTCGGGACTGCGCAGTGTACTGCCTCAGCGAGACGTGGCTGCATCCGAATATCCCGGACTCAGCTGTTCAGCCGCCGGGATTCACCATTTTCCGCTCGGACAGAGAGAAGGAGAGCACGGGGAAATCGAAAGGCGGAGGTGTGTGTCTTTTAATTAACCAGCGCTGGTGCATGGACAGTTGTATTGTAAACAAAACATGCTCTGCTAACCTGGAGTGTCTGGTTTTGAGATGCCGCCCGTTCTATCCCCGAGAATTCTCAGTGATTTTCTTATGTGCTGTATATATTCATCCTCGGGCTGACTGTACAGCTGCACTAAATGACTTAAGTGACATTTTGCATAAACATGAAGCTGCTCACCCCAATGCTGTGATTATAGTTGGTGGTGATTTTAATAAATGTAACTTAAAGTCTGTATTACCGAACTTTTATCAGCATGTGAGTCAGCCTACCAGGGGAGCTCACATCCTGGATCACTGCTATAGTAACGTGAAGGCAGCTTACAGGTCCAGTCTCAGACCTGCTTTTGGGAAGTCTGACCACTCCGCTGTTCTCCTTCTTCCTTCTTATACACAGAGGAACAAACAGCACAAACCTACTTCCCGCACTGTGCAGTGCTGGTCTGAGGAGGCTAACATGAAGCTGCAGGGCTGCTTTGATGCCACAGACTGGTCTGTTTTTAACTCTGAGAATGTTGATGAATTCTGTGAGGCTGTGACAGGATACATACAATTTTGCATTGACTGTTGTGTCCCCTATAAAGTTATTAAAGAACACTCCGGCCAAAAACCTTGGATGAACACTGACGTCAAATTGAGAATTAATGAGCGGACACTGGCGTTTCAATCCGGTGATGAGGGTGCTTACAAGCTGTCCTGCTACGCTGTGGAACGCTCTATAAAAGCTGCTAAGCGTTCCTATGGGGACAGGTTAGAGGGCTTCTTTGGCGAAGAGGACCCTCGACGCATGTGGAAGGGGATCAGTCATATCACGTCCTGGAAACCAAGTGCAGGGAAAATTGCTGCTGGCCAAACTCTGCCAAACGAGCTCAACGACTTTTACTGCCGCTTTGACATCTTTAACTTGTCACTCAGGAGCTGTACGGTGCCGGTGAGCTTTAAAAGGTCCACCATTATTCCAGTTCCTAAGAAGTCTCCAGTGACATGTCTCAATGACTACCGCCCTGTGGCTCTCACGTCTGTTCTTATGAAAACTTTTGAGCGGCTTGTGCTGGACTTCATTAAGAGCCAGATCCCTGTGAGTGTTGACCCGCTCCAGTTTGCTTACAGACAGAACAGGAGTGTGGAGGATGCCATCTCCTTTGCTCTGAACTCTGTCTACAGTCACTTGGACACGAGTAAATCTGTCGCGAGAATGCTTTTCATTGATTATCTGCTTTTAATTGTCTTGTCCCAAGCATATTGGTTGAAAAACTTATGTCCCTTGGTCTGAATGTTGCCATGTGTAAATGGATTTTTAGCTTTTTAACTGACAGATCTCAGAGAGTAAAAATCAATGACTGTCTTTCTGATGTTGTTTCTGTGAGCACTGGTTCTCCTCAGGGATGTATTTTGAGTCCTTTGCTTTTTACTTTGTACACTCACGATTGTGTGTCCTCCTCTGACTCAAACTTGATCATCAAATATGCTGAAGACACCACCATCATCGGTCTCATCAGTAACAATGATGAATCCTCTTATAGAGCAGAGATCGAACATGTTTTTCAGTGGAGTAAAGTAAACAATCTCCAGCTGAACACTGCAAAAACATGTGAACTTGTCTTTGACTTCAGTCGTTGCAGTTCTCACACTCCTGTAGTTATTGACAACTCCCAGGTGCAGATCGTAGAGGAGTGCAAGTTCCTGGGTTCTGTCTAACGACCTGAAATGGGACAAAAATACTAACCGGGTTGTTAAGAAAGCACGTCAGCGGCTCTTCTTTTTGCGGAAACTTAGAGAATTCACCACTAACTCTAAGATTCTGCTTAACTTTTATCGCTGCACCACTGAGAGTTTACTTGTTGGTTCTGTGTCTGTGTGGTTTGGAAACATCACAGATAAAGAAAAGAGAGCTTTAAACAAGGTGCTCCGCTCTGCAAAGAGGACCGTGGGCTGTGAGCTTCCTGTTCTGGAGGTTCTTTATAAATCCAGACTTTTAAACAGAGCTCTTAAAATCATCAATGACTCTTCTGGCCACCCTGGGAAAGCAATGTTCCAGCTTCTTCCCTCTGGCAGAAGATATCGGTCGCTGAGATGCAAGACATCTCGCTATGCTAACAGCTTCTTTCCACAAGCTGTTAGGTGTAATCGGTAAGGCTACTCTCCCCTTTTTGAGCTCTGTGGTCTGCTTAGCATGTTGACTTAGCTTCTGTCGTTGCTAGCCAACGGGTGTAGCTCTCTGGCTGCGCCTCTCCCTCTTGGAAGAGCTGCACTTCAGCTTAAAGTGGTAAGCAATGTCTGGTTGCGGTGTAGGAGCACCACATTTCACAGTAATGAGCCTCCCCCCATTCCTTCAGATGCTGCTGTTTTGCCCTTATGTTGCTTGCTACTGAAAGTTTAATTTTGGTCCGCTATTGCTCGTTTCGTGCCTGTCTCGTCTGCCGGAGGGAGGACAGCCGTCTGGGGTCAGCGGCGTCCTCACTGTCGTCAGCCACGTCTTGGTGCCCTACGGCACGCATGTGGCCGTAACTCGTCGGGTGTTTTTCCCCTTGTTGCCTGCCAGTGACTACCCTGGAACACGGACTTTATGGAAGAGTATTTCAATGCTCAGTGACGTTGCTCTGTGACGCTTCACGCTTAATTCCTTTTCACAGGACATGAAGGACAATTTGAACTGTGTATAAGTCGGACGTTTACACCATACGCCAATGTGAATTGTAAATATTGTTTTTGTGTCGTAGGAGCTGTTATCCAGTCTGGGGCGGTGGAGGTGTGCGTCACAGGGGTGATCACCCGTTTGGTTTGCAGTGCACTTTCTTATTATTTGCTGTGTGTGTGTCTGTGCTTTTTATTTGGTGACTCCCAGCCCAGCCCCATTCAGTCCACGGTGAACATCCCAGCTCCTATACACTCCCGGTGTGCGTGTGTGTGTGCTCCTGTGTGTGTGTGTGTGCGTGCTCGAGTGTGTGTGTGCGTGTGTGTAGTCGTGGGTGTGCGTGTGTGTGCTGTAAATTTTATAGTAGCCATTTTTTTTAAAAGAATATATATGAAATAAAAATTGTTCTTGAGCAGCCCAGTGTAAATAAACATTGTTAGATTGACTAAACCGTCTCTGCCTGACCCTGTGTGCTTTCAAAATTCTTCGGGTGTAACTCCTGAAGTGGCGTTGCTGGTTTGTTTTGTCAGGAGTATTCCATATTATTTAATGAGAAATAATCAAGTTACATATAACCCCCTGGCTGTCACATTTGGCGTCCGCTGGCAGGATTTACTGTTGTGAGGTGGAGACTTGTTTGGTTGATTTTTACTGCAATTTTACTGTTCAAGTAACCATATATATATTTTTGTTTGTGGGTTTCATCGGAGGGGCAAAACAGCAGCAATCACTGACCAATTCGTTCCAAAAGATCTTCTTTGCAGCCATGGAGGAGGAGCTACAACAGCTAAAAGAACTGATTGCTCAATTACAAGCTGATAATACAAGGTTGCGTGCAGAGCGAGAACCTGCCGCAGCCCGCTCCATTGCTGGGACCTCTGCAGAGACAGCCACTCCTGCGCCACCTATCGCCCCAATCACTGAAAGGTTAGTTTTTGTACCAAGGGACCGTAAATGTCCTATGTTCAGGGGCAGAACGGGATCAATGTGGGCGAGTGGGTGGAGGAGGCGCAGGCCTGCATGAGGGCTCGACATCTGTCACCTGCGGAACAGGCATTCTTTTTGGTTGACCACTTGGAGGGAGCAGAGATAGGACGAGATGAGCGAGGAGACCCCTCAAAATAATTTCTATTCTTGAGGAGCTTTATGGATGCACTGAATCGTACTTCGCAATGCAGGAGACTTTCTTCTTTAGGAGACAGCAAGACGGGGAGACCTTGTTGAGTTCTCCCTGGCCTTGCTCAGTCTCATGGAGCGAGTAAAGCAGCAGGCACCTGGGGAGATTCCTAATGCCGAAGCCCTTTTGCGCGACCAATTCATAGAACATGTTCTAAATGCCTCTTTGCGTCGAGATTTAAAACGGTTTGCGCGTCAGCATCCGCGGGCCACTATGCTTGAGGTCAGGGGGGAGGCAATGAGGTGGGAGCTGGAAGGGTTGCCGGCTAGTGTGCGGGGTCGGAGTAACTCTGTGCCTTCTGCCCTTGGGATTCAATACTCAATGCGTAGTGACCCACGGGTGGAGAGCCCTCCCACACGGGCAGAATTAGGCGAGATGAAGGAGCTGCTGAAAAAGCAGCAGGAACAACTAACCCTTCTCACCCAAAGTATTACTCTCTTGCAAACATCAGTGCCGCAGCGCAGCCGTTCACCCCGACGAGGTCCCATCATTTCTCAACGGTGCCAGCAGCCTGGTCACTACGCTAGAGACTGCGATGGCCCTCGAGTTTCCCGCCATCCACCTGCATCTGTGTCAACACACCCTAGTCAGATGTCGGGAAACTAATGCCCACCGCGCTCCAGAGCCACAGCACGGGGGGGCTACCTTTTGGCTCCTCAAATACCTCCAAGGGACTATCAAATGTCCCTAACTTGATTGCGTCTTGTCCCCACGTTGATGCGCACATGGCGGGTGTTACGGTAAAATGCTTAGTGGATACAGGGTCGATGGTTTCCACGATCTCAAAGAGCTTTTTCCACCAACACTGTGAACCGTGGGGCGAAGAACAGCTGAAGGCTTGTCATTGGCTGCAGCTGAGAGCCGCCAACGGGTTAACTATCCCATACATTGGTTATCTGGAGTTGACTATTGAGCTCTGCGGGAAAGTACTTCCCCAGTGTGGCGTTCTGGTCGTTAAAGACCCTCCCCGCAGTGTTTCGTCTCAGGTCCCCGGTGTCCTGGGGATGAATGTCCTCCATAGATGCTATCAAGAATTGTTTGGGCAATATGGGGTTGCTATGTTTGATACACCTCCTGTAACAGCATCTCCGGCTCCGTTGGTGGACGCCCTTCAGCAGTGCCATGCCGCCGAGGCAAAACACCTAAGAGCAGAACCAGGCAAGGTCAGGGTGCGGGGCAAATGGGCAGTCCGTATTCCCGCAGGAACGATTAGGGTCGTCCCAGCAACTTGTTCAGAGCAGTATTCCGGTACCACCGTTCTTTTTGAACCCTTAGGCCTGCCAGCAGGATTGATGGCCTCTCCTGCAATGGTTCAGGTGGTCCGAGGAACTGCATATGTTCCTATTGTCAATGTTGGGGATAATGATGTGCTTCTTTATCCCCGTACGTTGGTGGGCACCTTGGATGATGTGAATGTGGTTAGTCTCCCAGCAGGTGTGACTGATGTGACCTCTGTCTCTGCTACGGTTTCGTCACAGGCCGCTGTACCCGCCGACCTAGATCCAATTGCAGCCATAGACTTGTCTGCCCTGTCCTCTGTGGAGCAGGAACAGGTGCAGTTCTCGTTGAGGGAGCATCGGTCTGTTTTTGCTGCCCACGATCAGGATCTGGGTTGTACCAACCTGATCGCGCACGACATCCCTCTGCTCAATGACGTTCCGGTTCGGCAACGATACCGTCGTATCCCCCCATCTGAATATGAATTGGTAAAGGAGCACATTAACCAGCTCCTGGAGGCACAGATCATCAGGGAGAGCACAAGACCTTATGCCTCCCCAATTGTATTAGTCCGCAAGAAAGATGGCAAGTTGCGTCTCTGCGATGATTATCGTCAGCTCAATGCTAAAACCCGTAAGGATGCGTTTCCCCTCCCGCGGATTGAAGAGTCCCTCGACTCTTTGAGTGGGGCTCGCTGGTTTTCAACCATGGACCTGGCCAGTGGTTATAATCAGGTACCTGTGACAGAGGCAGACCAACCCAAAACCGCATTTTGCACGCCATTCGGGCTCTTTGAGTGGAACCGCATGCCGTTTGGGCTGTGCAATGCGCCCAGCACCTTCCAAAGATTAATGCAGAGAATATTTGGTGACCAACAGGGGCAGTCATTGCTCCTCTACCTAGATGACATTGTTGTGTTTTGTCTCTAGTGTGGAGCAGCATTTGGGGCGGCTGGACAAGGTGTTGGGTCGGCTGCACAATGACGGGCTTAAAGTCAAACTGGCTAAGTGCAGTTTTTTCCAGCGCCAGGTCAGTTACTTGGGGCACGTAATCTCCGCTGAGGGCGTGTCCCCAGACCTGGGAAAATTGACGCTGTTGTCAGTTGGCCAACCCCCACCAATGTCTCTGAGCTTCGCTCATTTTTGGGGTTTGCTAGTTATTATCGACGGTTCGTGGATGGGTTCGCCAAAATGGCTGCCCCGTTGCACCGTCGAGTAGCTGAGCATTCTGGGAAGCACAAAAAGAAACCTCAGGTATGTGCAGAGTTCTGGGATGATGAGTGCCAAATAAGTTTTGATGCATTGAAGGCCAGGCTTACCAGTGCCCCGGTGCTTGCATATGCAGACTTCTCACTGCCCTTTGTATTGGAGGTAGACACCAGTCATGTGGGTCTGGGCGCGGTACTCTCACAAGAGCAGGGTGGCAAGTTGAGACCTGTTGCCTATGCCAGTCGTGGACTAAGACCCCCCGAGCGCAATATGTCCAATTACAGTTCAATGAAACTTGAACTATTGGCGCTCAAGTGGGCCATGACTGACAAGTTTAGGGAGTACCTGTTGGGTCAGAAGTGCGTTGTCTTCACTGACAACAACCCCTTGAGTTATTTGGCGACTGCCAAACTCGGGGCAGTTGAGCAGCGCTGGGTATCCCAGTTGGCCTGTTTTGATTTTGACCTAAAATACCGGTCAGGGAAGGCTAATAGGAATGCTGACGCGTTGTCCCGTCAACCATGGCCAATTTCCCAGGAAGGGGCCTTTGCAGCTCCAGGCACCCCACTATCCTTAGTCCTGCAGGAAGCTGCTCAAGAGACTACGGTTGAGGTAACGCAGTCAGTGATGACTGTCTTCCCTGACCTGCCTCCTGCTGACCTCCAAACGTTGCAGCGGACTGACCCTGTCATACAGGAAATCTGGACGTTTTGGCAACAAGGTCGGAAGCCCAACCGGGAGGAGCGTCAAGCGCTATCTCCACCGGCGCTTGTCCTGCTTGGCCAGTGGGATCGCCTGGTCGAGCTGGGCAAATTGCTGTATCGGCAGGCGTTTCGATCAGATGGTGGAGGGGTTATGCATCAAGTCCTACTGCCCAGGGCTTTGGTTAAGGATGTCCTTACCCAGGTTCACCAGGAACATGGGCACCAAGGAGTTGAAAGGACTTTGGCCTTGCTACGCACTCGTTGCTATTGGCCGAGGTTATGCAGTGGTGTCAGGCCTGCGAGCGGTGTCAGTTCAGTAAGCATAACAACCCAACTGCACCTGCATTCCTAGGCCACTTGCTGGCATCAAAGCCTAATGAAATTCTCGCGGTTGACTTCTCCTTGCTTGAGCCTACTCCCTCCGGTCAAGAGAACGTCCTGGTGATGACTGACGTTTTCAGCAAATACACTCTGGCTATTCCAACTCGCAATCAGCTGGCCTCCACAGTGGCTCAGGTTCTCGTTTCGGAGTGGTTTGCAAAGTTTGGCGTCCCTGCGCGCATCCATTCCGACCAGGGACGTAACTTTGAGAGTGCGCTGATTCAGCAGCTCTGTAGCTTATATGGAATCGTGAAGTCACGCACAACTCCCTATCACCCTGCCGGTAATGGTCAGTGTGAGCGGTTCAACAGAACGCTTCACAATTTGCTTCGTGTTTTGCCTCCATCCCGAAAGAGGGACTGGGGTTCCTGCTTGCCGCAGGTGCTCTATGCGTATAACACCACACCTCATCAGTCGACTGGTGAGTCGCCTTTTTATTTGATGTTTGGACAAGAGCCTCGATTGCCAATTGACTTTTTGCTGGGACAAGTACCAGACCCGGTGGCGGGAAGTGTCCATGAGTGGGTGCGAGAGCATCGGGCTCGGCTACAGGTGGCCTTTGATGGGGCACAGGAAAGATTGCGGGTGGCTGCAGCGCGTAGAAAAGCTAACTACGACCAGCATGTGCGAGAGGCACCTCTTAGGAAGGGTCAGCTCGTGCTACTGCGGAATCTTGGGGAAAAGGGCCGCCATAAGATAACCGACCTGTGGTGTCCGGCGACTTATGTGATCGTTGAAGCTCCACCGGATGATTGCGCAGTGTACACCGTGGCTCCAGTGGACCAACAGGCAAAGGTCAAGAGGGTGCATAGGTCTTTGCTGAAGGCCTTGATCAGTACTGAATCAACTGAGTCAGTTCCTGTCTCGAGCCCTCCTACAGCACCAACCATGCCACCCCGTGAGGAGGAACCTCTGATGGAGGGTGATTTATTTCTGAGACAGCCCTATTCCCCAGCCACTGCCTCCCCATCGGGTTGGCCGGCGGCGGTTCCCCAGCCCTCCTCTCTAAGACCTTCTCGTCCTGTGCTGGGACCATGCGAGCCCCCATCAGTAGTTCCTCCCAGTTCTGCGCATTTGCCATCAATTGTGTCCACTACAGTTTTCGGTCCAGACGAGCCACAGTTACGTAGATACGCCCGGTCGACAGCTGGCCAGCACCTAAATCCACATAACCTCCCAAGATCAGCTGGACCGAGACAGTCTTTAAGAACACCATAGGTTTCTTGCCTGGAGCAGTTGAGTCATCGACGGGCCGCCGATGAAAAACGGGGGGGACGGATGTGGCAGTATGCCCAGGAGGCGGGCTATCTATCGAGGGCCGGGGTTCTCATTGGTCCCTAGCGCTGGCCGGCGACCCATAAAACACTCTCGCGAGAGTTCGGTGAGTGAACGCTGGCGCGCTTTGGCAGCCGCTGCTCACAGAACAAACACGGGCTAAAACATTGTTTACGCAATATTGGATGTCGTGGTTACGTTGTGTTTTAAGGATTGTTTACCTGCTTTCGATATCAACCACAGTTTGCTGTTGTCATAAGCATTTTGGACATATTCATACCTGGGACCCCTGGCTGTCGTATTCCCCTCCTGGGAAACGATGTGTGTCTGCCATATAACGCGCTGGCTTGTTGTCATCTGGCTCATCGTGTCCCTGGTCCATCTGCAGGCCAATGCTCTCCTCCAGTACTCCGCTGCTGAACTTTTAAAACTTCGGCACCACGTCCCCGCTCCTCTTCAGCCACCGGAGCGCGGACATGACATCCCCCCGGGCATCGCCTTCCAGCCCCGGCGGCGGTACGTTCACCGTGGATCACGCCGTAAGCTCCAATACAAGGACTCCCATTCAATAAAGTCCCTCTGGTCCACCACTCGCCGCTGCTCCCGCACCGCTGGTCGGGACGCTGACAGTGTCCTGGTCAGCGTGGCCCGATCGGCTCAGCCCGCGGCAGCCAAGAACAGCTCCACCACCGTCAGCTTCGGTCTCCTCAACGTGCGCTCCCTCAACACCAAGGGCCATCTGGTCCGGGATGTCCTCGTCGACCGTAAGCTGGACTTCTTGTGTTTGACCGAAACCTGGCAGCAGCCAAATGACTTTGCCGCGTTGAACGACTCCACTCCACCGGGGTTTGTTTACATCTGCCAGCCCCGCAGCTGTGGCCGCCGGGGCGGAGGTCTCGCGATGCTTCACCGCGAGACTTGGAAAGTCACACCTGTGCCTGCTGCCCCTGTCTTCTCCTCCTTCGAGTACTCTGCCTCACTGCTGCCTGGACCTTCTCCTACTGTTGTTGCCACCATCTACCGCCCGCCAAAACTTAATAAGGACTTTTTAAATGACTTTTCTCACCTTCTAACACACTTCTCATCTATCTCTCATAACGCAGTCATACTTGGGGACTTCAACATTCACATGGACAATAATAGCAACCCTCTCACCAAAGACTTCTCCTCCTGTTTAGATAGTTTTGGTTTACAACAACACATTCATTTCCCCACCCACACTAAAGGTCACATTTTGGATTTAATCTGCTGCTCTGGTCTCACTCCCACTGACTGTAAACCTCACACACTCCCATACACAGACCATAAGCTCATCACCTTCAATATCAACCTCACCCTCTCCAAGACCATCCTTCCCCGAACCATTTCTTTCCGTAAAATTCAGGACATAAACACTGCCACCTTCGCCTCAGATATCAATAACCTCCCCACTACTGATCCCAATGACTCCCCCGATGACCTGGTCTCCCACTACAACACTTCTCTCCATAACCTCCTGAACAATCATGCTCCTCTCAAAACCCGACCCGTCTCTTTCACGCTCTCAGCACCCTGGTTCACCCCTGCCCTCCGTCAGCTCAAATCCCAAGGACGTCAACTTGAACGGCTCTTCAATAAAACTGGACTCACCATTCACAAACAAATGTACAATAACCACATCATGCTATACAAGGACCATCTCTCTGCTGCCAAATCCACCTACTACTCCGGTTTAATCCACTCCAATCATCAAAACTCCAAAACTCTCTTCTCTCTTCTCACCAATATAACCAAACCCCCTGACTCCCTCCCTCACCATATGCAATCCACTGACTTCTGTAACTCACTCATGTCCTTCTTTACCTCCAAGATCTCTGACATTCACCAACACCTGACCCCGCATGGAGCTGCAGCCTCTGGAGTGGACCCCCCAGCCCCCTACTCATCCCTCATAGCCACATTCTCCAGCTTCATCTTGCCCTCCGTCCAAGCCATCTCCGACTTTATCATTAAATCCAAACCTTCTACCTCTCAGCTCGACCCTCTCCCTACCGTTCTGGTCAAATCCTGCCTCCCCTCAGCTGCCCCCCTCATCACTAATATCATTCATTCATCTCTCACTTCTGGTACTGTCCCTCTCTTATTCAAAACCGCCTCAGTCTCACCCATTCTCAAAAAACCTGGCCTGGATCCAACCAACTTCAACAACCTCCGTCCCATCTCAAACCTTCCCTTCATCTCCAAAATACTTGAAAAATCTGTCGCTGCTCAACTCCACAACCACCTCACCACCAACAACATCTACGAACAATTTCAGTCTGGTTTCCGTCCCCTCCACAGCACCGAAACAGCTCTTCTAAAAATCACTAACGATCTCCTCATAGCCTCTGACTCCGGTTTACTCTCCATCCTCATCCTTCTGGACCTCACTGCAGCTTTTGACACCATTTCTCACTCCACCCTCCTGAACAGACTCTCCTCCATCGGCATCACCCACACCCCCCTCGCCTGGTTCACCTCCTATCTTTCTGGTCGCTCACAGTTCATTCATCTCAAATCCCACAAATCCCGCACTTTTCCTGTCTCTGCTGGTGTGCCCCAGGGCTCTGTCCTGGGGCCCCTCCTCTTCATCATCTATATTCTCCCACTCGGTCACATCCTCCGCCGTCACAACATTCACTTCCACTGCTACGCGGATGACACCCAGCTCTACCTCTCCACTAAACCATCTTCCTCTCTCCCTCCATCCTCCCTCACCCTCTGTCTACAAGAAATTCATTCCTGGTTCTCTTCCAACTTTCTCAAACTCAATAGCTCAAAAACTGAAGTCCTTCTCATAGGCACCCCCTCCACTCTCTCCAAATCTACCAGCTTCTCAATCTCCATCCATAACACATCTGTCCTCCCCTCCCCTCAAGTCAAGAGCCTGGGTGTCATCCTCGACAGTTCACTCTCCTTCCAATCCCACATCAATAACATCACTCGGTCTGCCTACTTCCACCTGCGCAATATCTCTCGTCTCCGCCCCTCTCTCACCCCCCACACCACCGCCATCCTCGTCCACAGCCTCGTCACCTCAAGGATTGACTACTGCAACTCACTTCTCTTCGGCCTCCCCAACAAATCCCTCCAGAAACTGCAGCTCCTCCAAAACTCTGCAGCTCGTATCATCACCCGGACCCCCACAGCTCACCACATCACCCCCGTACTACAACAACTCCACTGGCTTCCTGTCAAACAGCGCATCAATTTCAAAATACTCCTCACCACCTTCAAAGCACTTCACAACCTGGCCCCTCCGTACTTATCTGACCTCCTCCACCCTCACATTCCTGCCCGCACACTCCGCTCCTCCTCCACCCTCACACTCTCCGTCCCCCCAGCCAGACTCATCACTGTGGGACACAGAGCCTTCAGCCACTCTGCCCCCCAGCTCTGGAACTCTCTCCCCCCTGACCTCCGTACCATTGACTCTCTTCCACTCTTCAAATCCCGACTCAAAACCCATCTGTTCAGACTGTCCTACCCCACCTAACACACACACGCGCGCACACACACACACACACACACACACACCTAACACACACGCACACACACACCCTCCTAACTCACACACACACACACACCATCCCATATTGCACCTGACTACTGTTTTATTCTGTTTATCCTGTTTTTAAATGTTTTTATTATGCCTGTACAGTGTCCTTGGGTGTTTTGAAAGGCGCTTTTAAATAAAATGTATTATTATTATTTAAAAGTGTCTTGCCTTTGTTGCCTCCCCCTTTGACCTCACGTAGCCGCTCGCAACGCTGCACGTCATTTCCGTGTTCCTCTGCCTTACGGCCGGTAAGCATGGCGCCGCTCCTCAATGTATTTCAAATGTAGCCTTTAGTTGCTAATGGGGGACTGTATTCTAGCACGGACAGTGGCGCAGGTACACGCGGACCCACGTCTCCCCTTACGCTGTAATCGGTAAGGCTACTCTCCCCTTTTTGAGCTCTGTGGTCTGCTTAGCATGTTGACTTAGCTTCTGTCGTTGCTAGGCAACGGGTGTAGCTCTCTGGCTGCGCCTCTCCCTCTTGGAAGAGCTGCACTTCAGAATCAGAATCAGAATCAGAATCATTTTTATTGCCACGTGAGTAACAAAGTTATCACTTGGAAATTGTTTTGGCAGAGAGCGTGCCACTTCGCCATTTGCGGCGCTGTGTGCAGCAAGAAACAGCAGAGAGCAATAACATACAGTTCACAGACAATTGGATAGACACATTGTGCTTTTTATAAACCACGGATTTTTTTCTCGGGAAGAGCACCTCTTCGGCCGGCCCAATGTAGCTGTCAGAGGGGGGCGGGATCAGGGAGGGGGTGAGTAGGAAAACAATAAGGAATGGAGGGGAGGGAGGGAGCAAGATGGATAGGTAGAGGGAGGCGGGGGTGGGGGATCCTTGCTGAAGACTGAAAGTTGTCTGTGGCAAAGCTCCAGGAAAAAAGACAAAAACAGGAGATAGCAAGCCGTTCAGAAGCAGGAGCGGACTAAGACACGTCTTTGCTCGACGGAGGAGGAAGGAGGAATCAGCTTAAAGTGGTAAGCAATGTCTGGTTGCGGTGTAGGAGCACCACATTTCACAGTAATGAGCCTCCCCCCATTCCTTCAGATGCTGCTGTTTTGCCCTTATGTTGCTTGCTACTGAAAGTTTAATTTTGGTCCGCTATTGCTCGTTTCGTGCCTGTCTCGTCTGCCGGAGGGAGGACAGCCGTCTGGGGTCAGCGGCGTCCTCACTGTCGTCAGCCACGTCTTGGTGCCCTACGGCACGCATGTGGCCGTAACTCGTCGGGTGTTTTTCCCCTTGTTGCCTGCCAGTGACTACCCTGGAACACGGACTTTATGGAAGAGTATTTCAATGCTCAGTGACGTTGCTCTGTGACGCTTCACGCTTAATTCCTTTTCACAGGACATGAAGGACAATTTGAACTGTGTATAAGTCGGACGTTTACACCATACGCCAATGTGAATTGTAAATATTGTTTTTGTGTCGTAGGAGCTGTTATCCAGTCTGGGGCGGTGGAGGTGTGCGTCACAGGGGTGATCACCCGTTTGGTTTGCAGTGCACTTTCTTATTATTTGCTGTGTGTGTGTCTGTGCTTTTTATTTGGTGACTCCCAGCCCAGCCCCATTCAGTCCACGGTGAACATCCCAGCTCCTATACACTCCCGGTGTGCGTGTGTGTGTGCTCCTGTGTGTGTGTGTGCGTGCTCGAGTGTGTGTGTGCGTGTGTGTGTGCTCCTGTGTGTGTGTGTGTGTGTGTGTGTGTGTGCGTGCTCTTGAGTGTGTGTGTGCGTGTGTGTAGTCGTGGGTGTGCGTGTGTGTGCTGTAAATTTTATAGTAGCCATTTTTTTTAAAAGAATATATATGAAATAAAAATTGTTCTTGAGCAGCCCAGTGTAAATAAACATTGTTAGATTGACTAAACCGTCTCTGCCTCTCAGTAAAATCGACCCTGTGTGCTTTCAAAATTCTTCGGGTGTAACTCCTGAAGTGGCGTTGCTGGTTTGTTTTGTCAGGAGTATTCCATATTATTTAATGAGAAATAATCAAGTTACATATAACCCCCTGGCTGTCACAGGTGCCTAAACAGAGCACTTTAATTCCTGCTTTTACCCCTTGTGTCGTTTTGTTGATCGGTGCCACAGTGTCAGCTGTTTTTTTTATTCTTTTATATTCAGTGTATGTGTATTTTATATTACATTGTATCGTGCTCTTTATTCTGTCGGTGCACACAGAGTACCTTTCTCTGCAAATGTATTCCAATGTAGTTTTTATACTGCACATGGCTAATAAAATGAATCTGAATCTGAATCTGAAAATATATTAGCCAGATCCTTCTGCACCAGATCCAAAGCTAGATAATTCATAAAAAGAAAAAACTCATCAATGGGTTGAAGTGAGGTTGGAAAAGCATGGCAAACATCTTGTCCAGACGTTTCTGCCTGACTGCTGGTCACGCGCACCATGTAAAGCAAGGCTGGTTCTATCTGGCTCCAGAAAGACATCAGGTGGGCATAACTTGAAAACCTGAGCAAGGGGCACAAGATCCTCAGTTAGTAACATCTCATTTATATGGAAAAAAGGCCATAAACCAGTAGAACTGCAGCTGTCAAATATTTTAGTAATTGAGAATTCATCCATCCATCCATCCATTTTCTACCCTTTAATCCATTTCTGGGTCAGGGGGGTGGCAATCAGAGATGCCACCCAAGTCTCATAGCACCAGCCCCTCACTGACCTTCTGCAGGTGGTGAGTCCACAGGAGGACTAATTGAGAATTCAATCAAATAAATCATATCTTTGCTTAAATAAAACTTCATCATAAATATACAATATCAAATGACAACATATTTCTTGCACTATATACAGTATTTTACCATACATTCACCATACAGTATTCTATACTTGCTGTTTTACAATGCTAATAATTATTACATTTTGGATTATTCAAAGCTTTCTAGCTTACCTCGTGTACAACCTGATGTCTTCATCGGAGCCAGCAAAGCGTTGCAGACCGAACCTGCAACTGATGGTCATTTCTTCGACCCTTCTCTGGAGCGCCTCTACTTGAGCCTGGGACTCCGCTGCTTTGCTAAGGGCTAAATCCAGAGCAGCTGGTTCAGAAGTGGTGGAGCAGTAGTCGTGGTCAGAGCAGGCCATCCCCAACTCTGGATCCTCTTCAGGGTCTAAACGGGGAGGATTTGGCCGCTCCGTTCGCTCCCAAACACCCGGTCGTGGAGCAGGGAGGCTATACCCGTTCCAGTCAAAAAGCAGCGGGACAGCACCTTTCCTCAACATACGACGTCCTTGTGGGGTGGTGGGCTGGATCATATCTTCAGCCTCAAAGTGGCGAGAACAGACCCGTGTGTTTGACGTAACCTTAAACTGGTCCCTTCTTATTTTCACGATCCACTTTTTTCGCAGTAAAGCATCTCCAGGGAATGTGAAAAAACTTAAAGCAGAGTTAAATCTGGCCGAATTTGAGCATCGTGGAACACAGCAGTGATAACCAGACGTACTGTCCTGTCTCCGTTGAAAAGTAAACTTTCGACGTCATCTCACACTAAAAACACGATACAACAAAAATAGTCTCTGTAATCAGTAGTAGTAGACCGGGTATGACGCGGCGCCGGAAGTGACATCTCATCTGATCTGGTCTACACTATGATCCCCGATGGTTTGATGGTGGAATTTTGCTCCTGGTATATTATTTTCGTCAAAAGTGACAAGTGGTATTTGATTCATTTCGGCAGCGTTTGTCCGAAACATATGGGCGGGAGTTGACCATAGACTGTATATATTAACGGACAGAGTCACGCCTATCTCCGCCGTTCTAACTAATGGGCCAAAAAATTTGCTCTACTGGAGCAATCCAAAATGGCCGCTAGTGGTCCCGCCCACAAGCAAATTGTGAAAAAACGCATCTGCGCATGCGTCAGCCGGCGCAGCTCCATTCATTTGAACGAGAGACTTTAAAAATTCACAGCAAGTAAACTAGAGTGGACCAAAAAAAATCACTCCCCTCAGCATTGACACACATGTGGAACGGAGCTTTGGGCCAAGAGCCAACTTTTGGTCCATCCTGTAAAGACGTTTTCAAGAGGTCTGCCAATGCTATATGTTAGCATCGGCTAATTCTACTTCTGGGTCCACCCCCAACGGCCCGGGGTGGTATTGCAAGTATGTCAGCGCACGTCATTTTGGCCACTTTTGAGCTGGGACCCGCCCCCACTGGAGTTGACAGGCGGCGGGGGCGTGTCATAGTGACGTCATTTAGATAGTTCGCTATTGGTCCGCAGCGCGTATCAGATTTGATATATTTCCTTGGTAAAAAAGAAATAATGACGACTGGGAGCATTCTCCCAGTGAATTCTATTATCCGGACGAGTTCGAAAAGCCAAAGGAAGTAATAACAGCAAAAAACGCCGAAAACACAACTCCTAACAGTCAAGAAGAGATTGACAACTTTGTTACAGACCAGAAAGGTAAAGACACGATTAGGAAAACCAAGTCGGACATGAACATACGTCACAAATATCTAAAAATCATTGGTAAAGACACAGAAGAGATTGAGAACTTACAGCGGGCGACCTCAATCATCTGTTAAGCAAGTTCTTCATGTCACGATTTGTCAGTTTGGTTGCATGTGTTTTAGCTTGTTGAAACCGATCAATGTTTGCATAAATTAAAAATAGTCATATAATAAAACATTTATTAACCTTGCGCTCGTTTAATAAGCCGTTAATGTCGTCCACCCCGAGTGTTACGAATTACTTCAACTTGGATGTACTCTGATATCAAGGCCCAGTTGAAGAAGAAAGAGAAAGAAACAGGCCTTTAAATCAGGAGACAGAGAGGCACTGAAGGAGGAACACTGGAGACTGAGGCAGAACGTGAATAACGTGAAGGAAGATACAAGAGGAAGATGGAGGAGCAGCTGATTGTTCTGCGTGGACCAACTGTGTAAAGGTAAAGGTGCACTTTATTAGTGGAGTGATGAGTCTCAGGCAGAGGCCGGTACCACAGACCTGGAAGACCTGCTGTGTGGTACCAGTGCCCAAGACACTGACATCCCACCTCCTGAAGACACTGGAGAGACTGGTCCTGATGAAAACACTGGAGAGACTGGTCCTGATGAAGATGCTGGAGAGACTGGTCCTGATGAAGACGCTGGAGAGACTGGTCCTGATGAAGACGCTGGAGAGACTGGTCCTGATGAAGACGCTGGAGAGACTGGTCCTGATGAAGACGCTGGAGAGACTGGTCCTGATGAAGACGCTGGAGAGACTGGTCCTGATGAAGACGCTGGAGAGACTGGTCCTGATGAAGACCCTGGAGAGACTGGGACACCTCCAAACCACTCTGAGCTCAGCAATGAACCCGCTGCAGTTTGATGCCAAGAGCGATGACTTCTGTTTTTTCTAGATTGAGGAACAGATAATATCCACAAGTTGAGCATGGGCATTTCCCCAGAGTCTCTGTTAGACTGGTTCAGTCGCTTTCTTTAAAACGACAGGAATGAATGTTGTTCCACACAAGGCTTGCTGTGAGCGTTCGGCCCATGAAGGAGGAGCTCTAAAGCTGCAGCTACCTCTCATTCTGCTAAGATCTCAGGAGGACGTCACAGAGACATGGCCCACAGAGGACTTCAGCTGGACTCTGTGTCCTGTCTGCAGTGTGTGGCCTCCTACTGTGAGCCCCACCTACAGCCTCATCATGTCTCTGCAGTGTTTCAAAGACACCAGCTGGTGGCGCCATCGCACACTCTGCAGGAAAACATTTGCTCTGAGCACAACGAGCTGAAGAAGATGTTCTGTCGCACTGAGCAGCAGATCATCTGCCACCTCTGCTGTGAGAACCAACACAAGAGACATGAGACTGTGTCCTCAGCCTCAGAGAGGGCCCAGAGGGAGACACAGCTGGGGGCCCAGAGACACCTGCTCCTCCAGAACCTCCAGCACAAAGACACAGAGAGGACCTCCCTCCAACAGCAGGAGCAGGACATCAGGGACTCTGCCCACACAGCACTGCAGCTCTGCAGGGACAGTTTCAGAGACATCATCCTTCTCCTGGAGACACGAGCCAAAGAAGTGGAGCAACAGATCCAGTCTGAGGAGGAGAAGGAACTGAGCCGAGTCCGAGAGATCCAAGACCAAGTGAAGCTGGAGCTGAGTGAGCTGAAGCAGAGCCTCTGTGACCTGGACACACTGTCCCTCACCAAAGACCACACCACCTTTCTACAGCTCCACACTGCACTGACCTCACACTCACTGGGGCCATTCTCAGTCGGGGGCCACACAGAAGGGCCGGTCCCAGTCAGGGGCTACACAGAGGCCAGGAGCCCCTTTGAGGAGGTGACCAGAGCTGTGTCAGAGCTCATGAAGAGACTGCAGCTCACTGTGGAGGAGGGACACAGGAACATCTCTCTGGCTTCAAGTTGAGTTCAGCTTTTAACAACAGAACAGAGAAGCAGAGAAGAGTATGGGTTAGGGTTAGGGCTGACGCCACGACCTCTGAGAGACGCAGCAGACAAAAAGTCACGAAAGAAAAAGTCCAAGAAAAAGAGTCCTCGAGGAAACAAGGCCCCGATCCACACACCAGAACCCAGGAGCAGAGAGGAGTTCTTACAATATTCTATGGACTTCACTCTGGACATAAACACAGTGAACATGTGGCTGTCTCTGTCTGATGGAAACAGAAGAGTGAAACAAGTGTGTAAAGATCAGAAGTATCCAGATCATCCAGACAGATTCAATGAGTGGTGTCCTCAGGTTCTGAGCATAGAGAGTGTGATGTGTCGCTGTTACTGGGAGGTGAAGTGGAGCGGGGAACAAGCTTGTATTGCAGTTTCATACAGAGATATTCAGAGGAAAGGACCCTCTGGTGAATGTGGATTTGGATTCAATGATAAATCCTGGGCCTTAGTCTGTAACAAAACCAGTCCTTCAGAGTCGGAGTTTTCCTGGACCACAGTGCAGGGGTTTTGTCCTTTTACAACGTGTCCAAAATGAGGCTGATCCACAGAGAACAGACTACTTTCACTCGGCCGCTTCACGCTGGGGTTGAGCTTTATTTTAAAGCCACTGCACATTTTTCTAAAGAGAAATCTCTACCTCCACTTTACCCAAAACTACAGAAACTATAAAAAAAACAAGACTTTACACCCCTGTGTGTTTTGGATGAATTTCACCGTTTACTTATGTTCAAATGTTAATTTGCATGTCATGTAACTGCACAAGTTTAAATTAATTTAAAACACCTCTGGTTCTACTGTTGTTTAATGTATTTGATGAACACTGGTTTCAATGGTGAATGCAAACTTAGAAATTTGCAATATTTTCGTATTTATTTATTTTTAAACCAGAAAACTGTCAAATTTTGTTAAGAATTAGGTTATCCTTTTAATGAATTTTGTTTACCTTGTGTTTTAGCCATGTTTCATGTGAACTATAGGCCTCTCATATGGTTTTGTGTAAGCTTGCATGTTAATCAATTTTTCCCTTGACCTGGCCTTTGTTTGCCGTTGAGGCCTTTGGTTTACTATTTACAAGTAAATAAGAGGGTTACTTCACATGCACAGGAGGGTCTTGTACCGTGGTTCCTTCCTTCCTTGGTCCTCCTGTATGTACATTGTGGTAAATAAATCTAAGGTAACCAAAGTGAGACTGGCATAATGTAAAAAGGAATATTAGCCTTGTTAGCATGTTTTATGATATCAAGTAGAGTTAGCTAACTTGCCCAACACTAATCAGCTTGAATCTCACAAATAAGGCTAAAAGGTTAAAAGAGTTGCACATTATTATGTACAAAACGGATGAAAATATGTTTATACCTTGTTCAGATGACAGTGAAACCTCCTACAGTTTCCAGCCGTGACTGCTGTCCTCTCCTGTGAGATTCCATTCTCCTACGTCATCGCCGCCATTTTGGCGCCCTCTAGCGTTTGTTAAAAGGTGCCACTTCAAAGCCGTTTTTTTAACATAATTCATCTGAACATGTCAAAATGAACACCCGAAATATTATAAACACATATTGTAGTTATGTATTCTGGATAGCAGCATATTAAATTCTAGTACTACTTTAAGTCAAATACAAGAATCATTGGCAGCTAGTTAGCAACTTATTATTTTGTGTGCTGGATGTAGGCTCTTACTGTGTCCTGTTTGAGCGCTGCAACACCAACATTTCCCCACTGTCTGACAAATAGTGTTCTCTAATCAATTTCTATTCTAATATATGATTGGCTATTATTTTTCCATTTGACAATGGCCGTGAAGATGTAGAGACCGTTTATGGAACTAACACATAATTCAACCTTTTCACTAGAACTCCCAGAGCAGTCAATTTGACAGCTTTTCATTTTGGAACTGTTATTACTCAGCTTAGGTACCTTTTTGGTCTTCCTAACGCCTGATTAAAAGTTAACAAAGGTCCCAAAACCAGGGGGAAAACGAAAAAATTCCATTGGTTTGAATGAAAGCAGTCAAAATGACGGCTCTCGAAGTTCTAGTAGTTTCAGAATGGGCGTCCTGTTACTTAAAAATCAGGAGCAGGTTTAGCCTTTGGTTCGAGATAACAAGGAATATATATGAATAAATGAATTGTACCTTTTTTTAATTCACATGAAACCATTTTGTTTTTATTTTAATGTTTATCAAATGTATCGCCCCGTTGTTTTTATTGACATTCAAAAACGTAACCATAGTAACGAAAGTAACCAAACACAGCGGAAGAACCGTTCCTCCTCTATTCTGGCTGCATCTAATGTAACGCATATGTGCCTCCTTTACCCTTTTTATTCACTCACAATTTAAGTTTTATTCATCAAGCAGCCCTAAGTTGTACTATGCAACCATGTTTAACCCTTTACACACTTCCAAACATTAATATTTCAACATATTAAACGAAAACGAAAAGTAAAGGATAACGAAAGGGGTATAAAAATCAGATTTTGGATGTAGCCCGTTCGTTTTTTTTGTTTTTTTCCCCTCAACATTTCTACCGCCAATTACAATCAAAATACACAAAGCCATTAATTTTCGCAAATAAACTTGTTATAAAATACAATACATGATGTTTGAGGCGATTTTTATATATATGTAAAATAATACATGGTTAAGAATACGCGTTTGTTAGCAAAGCCATGACTGCGCTTGCTTTAGCAAAGTTGCAGATTGTGTTGGGCGAATTGTTGTCCTATCCTCTTCTATGGTGCTTGTTATGTTGTCAGCGCGCTGTCCTGTGGCTCCATGGCCTCGGTCCGGGACGTGTGCCTTACGGTCCTGTGTGGTTTACCGGCCGTGGGGAAGTCCACACTTTGCCGACGGCTGCGTGGGTCCTTGGCCGGGCAGGAGTGGAGCTTTGTGACCGCTAGTTACGATGAGCTGATCCCGAAGGAGGCGTTTGTAATTCGGGCTCTGGAGGAGGATGAGGACCAGGTTGGTTAGGGTTTCACACACATTAGCAGCAAGATGCAAGAACTAGTCCCTATTATCAACCAGTTTCTATTTTCTCAGAGGAATCAGCCAGGCATCTTAATTAAAGCTGGGGTACCTAACTTATATCTGTCATAAAATACACGCAGTTTATTGAGTTAAGTCAAATGTGAACAAATCAGACCACGTAATTTATCTGGTCCCTCTCTGGTCTCTTCTCTCTTCCTGGTCTGTCTCTCTCTCCACTCACACAAAGGAACGAGATAGAGGATGAGAACAGAGAGAATTAGACCATTAGAGTACACACAACGCATAAGGTCTTCCCTCCCTGCTGCTGTCAGACTGTACAACAAGAACTGCTCACCCAGTACTGCAGTGTCAGAATGTGCAACACTATGTCCACTTGTCACTTCTATTAAATCTATTTATCCTCAGTTCCAAATTAGAATCCCTCATTACTATGTTTTTGACTGATGTATAACAACTAAACATTTACCGGTGTCCCACCAAGAAAAGCCATCAGTACAAATGTAACACTTTATTATTTGTCTGATTATCTGTATTATTGTGACTAACAGCTGTGTTGTTCAGCACACAGAGTGGAAGCAGCACCGTCAGTCTGTGTTAAACAGCATCGAGAGGTTTGTGGACGGCTCCTGCAGCGATGCTTCAGTCTGTGACTCGACAAATAAAATCTTGTGGGAGAGAAGTGTCCGGAACCTTCTGGAACAGGCCTCGCTCAGAGCTGCTCCAGTCGTGTTCCTTTTGGACGATAACTTCTACTATCGCAGCATGAGATACGAGGTCTACCAACTGGCACGGAAACGTGAGTGATTAGAGAGAGAGCAGAGAGAGAGAGTAAAGATAGAGAGCAGAGAGAGAGAGCAAAGATGGAGAGCAGAGAGAGGTGTTTGAACTGGACACTCCTGGATTAGAATGTGCAACATGGGACCACATGTGTCCACTGCTGACATCTACAGTAAACTTAAACAAAGCAGTTTGAACCAAAGACCAGTCGAGGCCGACCCTGTTGTTGCATGTTTTCAGATTCGTTGGGCTTCTGTCAGATCTTCCTGACCTGCGACCCAGAGACGTGTCGCCGTAGAAACCAGCAGAGGGCAGAGCCTGTCGCCGCCGCAGTGATGGAGGTGATGGAGCAGCGTCTGCAGCCTCCAGGGCCTCAGAGACACGAGTGGGAGAGGACCAGCCTCATGCTGCAGACCGACCAGGACCTCAGCGAAGCACACATGTGAGACCTGAGGCAGTGTTTGGATCTATTAATGCATGCTGAGACTACAGACTGATTGGATAAAAGAACAGAGACCATGATTTCACTAGAATGAAAAATATTTAGACAAAGATCAATAATATAATTAATGGCAATTAAAATGAAATTTCATTCCTTGTCTTCCCATATATTCTCTACTGAAGATATTCTTTCTCATTAAAAGTGAAAGATGTCTGAGTGAATGTAAATGTTGTGATGCTTTTTTGAAGACAGAGCGTGGTGGATCTGATCTCGTTTGCTCTGAAGAACAAACCGAGTCCTGTTGAAGACGACACTGAGCAAAAGGTAGGTGACGACTGAAGGAGACCAGAGAGAGAGACCAACTAAACTAAGGCCTTTATCTGCAGCAGGCTGATAGAGAAGCATGTGCCAACAGTGTGGTGCACCAGGCCGACCAGACCTGTCGAAAACTCATCTCTGAAGCCATGAAGACCGCCAGAGGTTTGTGTTGAGCTGTCGAGAAACACCGTAGGTCCAGGACTGAGGCTGTAGGTCCAGGTTATTTATTACACATAAAAAGTGAGGAAGTCCAGCTTTAATGGATTAATTTAATTGGTCTTTGTAGCTGCATCAATGAGTGGAGACATCCATTATGCTCCTTGGTTATAAATAAGTGATATATACAATAATGAAGTCAAACATTGTAAATGATTTCGTTCCCTCTCTGCTCTGGACTCAGGTCAGAAAGTCACGCCCTCGTCCCTCAGGTCTCTGGCCTCAGAGCTGAGTGGACTGAAGTCTGAGTTCCTCCAGGGTCTTAAAGCTCGTCTGCTGCTGGACTCCGCTCTCTGCACAGACGCTGCAGAGGCTGCGTTTGAGCGACAGAAGGAGGAGGTTCTGAGGAGGGTTTTAGAGACGCCACGGTGAGAGAGACCAGGATGATCTAGAACTTGGAAATACTATTGCCTCAAGTGAGAGACCAGAGAGGGGAGAGACCAGAGTGAGCCACAAAGTTTTCTTCTGACTTTAAATATAAGTAATTGTCTGTTATACAGACTTTTTCACCAACAGACATTCAGGGGAAGTTTAGAGAAATACTTTTGCATAAAGTCAGTCATTTGGAAACATTCACATTTTACAGGTTCAAATTATGTACAAATGATGTATACAGTTAAATGTTAAAGCTTGGGTGTGTAACTTCCAAACCACAACTTTGTGACTGTAATAAAATCCATCTATAGTTCATCTAACTCTACACATTATTGATCCCTGCTGAAATTCAAGTTTATCAGACAGAAAAGTGAAAAGACCAGAGAGGGAGAGACCAGAGAGAGAGAGACCAGAGAGAGAGAGACCAGAGAGAGAGAGACCAGAGAGAGAGAGACCAGAGAGAGAGAGACCAGAGAGAGAGAGACCAGAGAGAGCCACAGAAGTTTCCTTCTGACTTTAAATAAAGGTAACTTGAGGCGGTTACATGATGTTGTTGCAGTAAAAACACACAGTGCATGAAAAACACACGGTAAAAAAGCACAATCGCACACACAACAATTGCCCAGAAATATAACGGACAGAATCCTGCAGACTCTAGGTCTACACGCTCTCTTCTTTGTGCGTCCCGCGAGCGAAGTGGCAGGCAAAGTCGTACTTGTCCCTGCACAGGTGGCCGCACACGTTGCACTGGAACGGCAGCTCGTAGCCGTGGCAACCCATGTGGATGGTGTACAGGATGTTGTCTGTGAACTGGATCTGGCAGTGGATGCAGCTCTGCGCCCCCTGCTGGTCCAGGGCGGGCGAGATGGGAGAGGCGGGGCGACTGAGGCCCGGAGTGGGGCTGCAGTCCGAGGTCTGGCCGCTGCTGCTGCACTTGGCGTGGCTCCGGATCTCCTGGATAAGGATGGGCTTCTCGTCACGCAGGGTCTCGCTGGAGTCGGGTGCTGACAGCGGATCCATCGGACCGTGAACGCTCGCTCCACTGTCCGCCGCGCCGCCGTCTCTTAAGAGTCTGAGTCTGAGCTCCGGGGCGAAGCTCGACACCAGCCTGCGCCCGAACCTAGAGGTGGAAAACCCGTTCTGTTCAGTGTCAATATATTTTTCACATACATCAAACTGGAGAAAAGTATCGCGATAATAGTTAAATAATGATCTGTTTCACTTTAGAGTTTTCTGAGTTTCCTGTTTCCATCTGAGGTTTATGTGACTATAATTTCTGCTTGTTTTCCTCTATATTTGTAATGTCTGAATAATATGAGGGACATAAATTGCACACACAGAATATCGCAATATGTTATGAATCACAATAATATTGATGAGTGGCCCAAATATTGCTACAATATAATATAATACTATGGAATGGTCCCATTCCCACCGTACCCCAGTGCCCCCTGCCTCTTCAGCTGCAGCAGGCGCGCAGGCAGCAGCTTGTGGCGGCGGCGGCGGTGATGCGACAGGTTGCTGCGGTCACTGCACCGATATGAGCACTGGTCGCACTTGTACGGCTTCTCCCCCGTGTGTGCGCGCATGTGCGCCTCCAGGTGGCGCTCATACGCGGAGGCGAAGGGGCAGAGCTGGCAGCGGTGCGGCTTCTCTCCTGCAGACACCAGCAACAAACACAGTGACAAAAGTTTCCTCTACTTATTAGCTTGTTTTATTCATGTACTTGTGCACACTGGGGACTGGATGTGACATGTATTCTAATGTGGTTTTACTGCAAACGGAAAATAAACTGAATCAGAACAAAGTCAGGTTCCCCAGCTTTAAGATCTATTTTTCAAACAAATTGTTTTCAACATTGGTCTTTGATGTTATAGAGGCAGAATTTATCAGAGAGGAGACCCCTTCTGTCTAAAAGCTCCTGTGTCAGTCCTGTAGCAGTTGCACATAAATTAGTTTTGGTCGTTCTCAGGTGAAATGACTCTTTCCAATCACAGGTCTGTGTTTGCAGCGCCCTCTGGTAGCAGCTGCAGCATACATTATTATTTCAGTTTAAAACCAGAAATGATAAAGAAACGAGTGCCATTATAATGTTTGAAGCCACAGGTAATGTGTGTACATTAAAGGGTATGAGAGGGTATTAGAGAGTATAGTGAGAGAGTATGATGAGAGGGTAAGAGAGAGTATTGTAAAGCCTGAGGCACCTGTGTGGATGCGGATGTGCTCGATGAGGCGGGCCATGCCCTTGTTGCTGTAGCTGCAGTAGTTACACTGATATTTCCCGTCGCTGCTTCGCTCCAGTCCTTCCACCTCCGCAGCCTCCCCCAGAGACAGGCCCAAGTCGGGGGGAGAGGGCTCCACGGGACTCTGGGTCTCTGCACACACAGCTCTGAGGTTTTAACACATCACCCGTCTGTCAGTGCCACTGTCAGGACTACAGCGGGAAAGGTTGTGATGTTGTTAGGACCTGTGCTGCTATTTATCGAGACGAGAATATGTCAAAATAACCAGAAAGAGACTAGAGACCCTCAGAGCTAGTTACTTTTTACTTAAATATACTTATACTAGTAATACTAATATACTAGTGTCCTACAGAAGTGAACATACAAATATATTTATTGGCACTAGAGAATACAGGTTTATATTTTGTATTTTCTTTTTTATGTGCTGCTCAAACAATTTGTCCCTGATGGGATAAATAAAGTAGTCTGAATCTGAATATATATCTGCTACAAACTAAATTTAGCTTATGATGCTATTGCGTGAGGTTGATAGAGCTTTTGGTTTGAACATAAATTTAACTTATGTTCCACATCTTTGTCTCTGACTATTGTCCACGTAGTGTCTGCTTTTGCTTCAGCCTCAGCCGTCTAATACCAGAAAGGAACAACACTTGTGATAGCAGATGTGTTTTCCTGCTGATCTCACAGTGCACTATTTCATTTCATTTCAAATGCTGGGACGCCTTACGTTACTGCACTTTATATTACATTACTGGTGTAACATGTTATTCCCAACACTGCATTTCACCCATCCTTCACTCAGGCCTCTGTCTGGAGCAGTGGTCGCCATAGTAACAGATGTTGATTCTCTTGGCCAGGATCGGAGCTATTGTACAGCTATTGTTTATAGTGGTAGGGGAAACTGGAGCATACGGAGGACACCTACTCAGACACAGATCATGCAAACTCTGTTACTTCACTCTACCTTGTAAATGAGAGGGGTAATGCTGTTCCACACACGTCTCCTTTTCTCCGCACACAGACCCAGAGATCATATTCACATGCTGCGTCTGCTGGCTCAGATACTCCTGGAACTCCTTCACAAAATCCACCGGTTCTGTCTTTATTCCCTCCATTTCACACCATTCAGATCACCCAGCGCCTGCAGCACAAGGACATTACATTAGAACTCGTGTTTGCAACGTTGTCCATTCACAACAACGTACATTTCATTCATAATCCTGTAATTCATAACATTAGCCGCTAGCATCACTTAGCATTAGCTACAAGCATCGGGGAAAAAACAGCTCGAATTCAATCATAAATATATCAAATTGCACATACCTCTATACAGCAATGTTGTATCTCACCATTTAGCTCCAAATATATTTAATGTCATGGATAAAAGACTGGATAAAATATAAAAAATGGGGGAAATGTGACTTAGGAATGAGGCTCTGAGTGTGATCCGATGTTACGTTCAAACCGCGTCAGGAATTCCTCACGCAGTAGAAAGTAAACGTCTAATTTTGTGTACTTTTTGTTGCTAAAAATGTAATTAACCAGGCTGTAGATATAATAGAATTTGTTCAAGCTGTTCACTTGTACTTATTTCTTTTCATCTGTCTATTTCTTACGATTATATTACGTTTTTGTCAGCGAGTGCAGAATTATCTTAAAGACTTGAACGCGGCAATCACATGTAAACAGTTTTGTAACTTGCACCATGGCGGCTCCTCTGGTTCGGATTTTGTCAAGGGTAAAAACTAATATCTCTCATATTGCTTTTAATCAATTTTAATTCGTATATTTGAGCGTTTATGTCTGTGTTTTATTGTCATATGCACGCGCGAATTCGAGGTAACCTTGGCTTGAAATGCTACGTGTTGCTAATGCTAAGCCAGCTGTCAAATACATACAATAGACTTTCTTTCTACGATGCTTCTGTCATTACTTCGAGCCCGTATTATTGTCCTGTAAAGTAATCCGACCACAACATTCGATCTCACATCTTGTTATCTTTTGTTTACGAAGAGTCATGTTTTATTTTTATTTATTCATTTATTTGACAGGGACAATGTAGTCATACATAGTTACATTATGAAAATGCAGCTGATGCGACACATACAGAGTGTATAGCTAATGCTAATTTTCAACTCCTGTCCCTGGTTGAGCACTGGGTCACTATTTGACTCTCTGGGATGAGAGCTGAGTGAGGGTGGTCCTCTCTTTTCACTTTCCTTTCTTTCTGTTCTCTCTCTCTAGTTTTCTCTCTGATGTCTCCCTCTGGTGTCTCTCACTCTCCCTGGGGTCTCTCTGTTTCTCTCTCTTGTGTATCTCTCTGGTTGCTCTCTGGTCGCTCTCTCTGATTTCTGGACTCTTTGGGCTGAGAGCTGATTGAGGGGGGTCCACTATTTTTGCTTTCCTGTCTGAAAAAGCTGGTCTAAAGATGTGACAGAGACCAGTAAAACATTCATGTGAAAAAACTGTGTTAGTCTCTCTTATTGGGGTCTCTCTCTGGTTTCTCTCTTGCTTCGGTCTCTCTCTCTTGTGTCTCTCTCTGGTTCCTCTCTGAGGTTTCTCTCTCTCTGGTTTCTCTCTCTCTTGTGTGTGTCTCTCTCTCTCTCGCTCTCTCTCTGGTCGTTCTAAACTAGTGATAGAAACAAACTGTTTTAGTAACATAAACTTTTATTATATTATTCTATTTCTTTTGGTCTGAAAGTTACACAGATGATCAACTTCTTTCCCATTGTCTTGTGTCAGTCCTGCAGTCAGCGGTGTCCTGTCAGAGCCCTGCAGAGCGGAGGATGGAGACTCAGATCCACCAGCTCCGCTCCAGACCTGTACTCTGACCAAAGTCCTGTGGTCTCCTTCCCTCCTCTGCAGACGTACTCCGAGGAGGAGGCCATGATGAGGGACGCAGGTGGGCTCCAAACAGCACCAAATAAATACTGTATTATTAAACTGATGCAGGACAAGTTTGGGGGGAGAGGGATTTGTTGCCTTTTGAAAACCAGAGGACAAAACAATTTTGTTTGGCTTTATATTACACTGTAGAGAGACCATAGAGAGACCTAAAGAGAGAGAGAGAAAGAGTGACCAAAGAGATAGACTAGAGAGAGACCATATATAGAGAGAGAGAGATAGACCAGAGGGAGAGACCAAAGAGATTGACCAAAGAGATTGACCAGAGGGAGAGACCAGAGGGAGAGACCAGAGGGAGAGACCAGAGGGAGAGACCAGAGGGAGAGACCAGAGGGAGAGACCAGAGGGAGAGACCAGAGGGAGAGACCAGCGGGAGAGACCAGCGGGAGAGACCAGCGGGAGAGACCAGCGGGAGAGACCAGCGGGAGAGACCAGCGGGAGAGACCAGAGGGAGAGACCAGCGGGAGAGACCAGCGGGAGAGACCGGCGGGAGAGACCAGAGGGAGCGAGTGTTGGAGTATACACACAAGCACACTGTACAACTAAATCAGAGGAACATTGAGACCATGTGTAATAATAACCATATTGTCTCCTCACTCGGTGAAAGAGGCCTACCATGTGACCTTCTGACCATCTGACCGTCTGTCTGTGTTCCTCCCGTCAGTGAAAAAGTACGCTCAGGAACGCATTGCTCCGTTTGTGTCCAAGATGGATGAAGCGTCGCACATGGACGACGAGGTCATCCAGTCGCTGTTCGAACAAGGAGTACGTTCTCTCTGCTCACATGGTTTCTCTCTGCTCACATGGTTTCAGATCAATGGATTTATATTGTAGTACACACTGGGCCACAGAGAGGGTCACTGTTTATGGATAATTCAGTAGATAGATCGGCCTCTCTCTGGTCTCTCTGGTCTGTCTGCTCGCTCTCTCTCTCTCTCTCTCTCTGGTCTCTCTTTCTGGTCTGTCTCTGCGGTCTCACTTTTCTCACGTTTGTCTCTCTCTGGTGTCTCTCTCTCTACAGTCTTTCTTTCTCTATTCAAAATAGGGGGTCTCTTGCTTTTCACTCTCTCTCTTTCTCTTTCTGATCTATCTTTTTCTGGTCTCTCTTTTTGGTCTCTCTCTCTCTGGTCTCCGGACTCTTTGGGCTGAGTGAGAAAAGTCCTGTCTTTTCCAAACTAGTGATAGAAGCAACTGTTTTAGAACCAGGAATAGTGACAAAGTTCTATGTTTTGTGGATTTAAAGTGACGTACCCCAGCTTTAATCTCTCTCTGTTGCAGTTGATGGGCGTTGAGATCGACCCGGACTACGGCGGCACCGGCTCCACTTTCTTCTCGTCCATCCTGGTCATCGAGGAGCTGGCGAAGGTCGACCCATCAGTGGCCGTTCTGTGTGACATCCAGAACACGCTCATCAACACACTGCTGTCCAAACTGGGGACCGCGCACCAGAAGAGCACCTACCTCAGCCGCCTCTCCACCGACATGGTGAGCCTCAACAGAAGCTGTTCTCAGCTTCTGGTCTCTCTCTCTATGGTCTCTCGATGGTCTATCTCTCTGGTCTCTCTCTGGTCTCGCTCTGATCTCTCCTCTTTGTCCTCTCAGGTTGGTAGTTTCTGTCTGTCTGAGGCAGAGTCCGGCAGCAACGCCTTCGCCCTGAAAACCAGAGCAGAGAAACACGGAGACTTTTACACTATCAACGGCTCCAAGATGTGGATCAGCAACGCGGAGCACGCAGGGGTCTTCCTGGTCATGGCCAACGTGGACCCTTCTGCTGTGAGTCTGACGGGAACCAGAGAGAGAGACCAGAGAGCGAGACCAGAGAGCGAGACCAGAGAGAGAGACCAGAGAGAGAGACCAGAGAGAGGGACCAGAGAGAGGGACCAGAGAGAGAGACCAGAGAGAGAGACCAGAGAGAGGGACCAGAGAGAGGGACCAGAGAGAGAGACCAGAGAGAGAGACCAGAGAGAGAGACCAGAGAGAGAGACCAGAGAGAGGGACCAGAGAGAGGGACCAGAGAGAGGGACCAGAGAGAGGGACCAGAGAGAGGGACCAGAGAGAGGGACCAGAGAGAGGGACCAGAGAGAGACCAGAGAGAGAGACAAGAGAGAGAGACCAGAGAGGAATAGAGTCTAAGGGTAGGTCCTGGTTTCCTGCAGGGATGCTTTTGCCTTAACAGACTGTTGTGGTGAATAGGGAGCAGCGTCTGCAATCAGAGCTCTGGATTCACCTCTGGCAATGAAAATGTGGTAATGACACACAAGACGTCTGGGTCTCTGCTCACACTGCTGCCTCTGTGAACTCCATGCCCCATCAGTGAGAGTGAGAGTGAGAGGGATCCTCAGAGGGTGATGTTGCATGTGCGTGTGTGCGTGTGTTTCAGGGCTACAGAGGCATCACCTGCTTCATCGTGGACAGAGACACAGACGGACTGGAGATCGGCAAAAAGGAAAACAAACTGGGACTTCGAGCCTCCTCCACGTGTCCACTCAACTTCGACAACGTCAAGGTAAATATGAAAACCTGCAACGACGGGTTTAGATCGTCTCTGTCTCTCTCTGTCTTTGTCTCTCTTTCTCTCTCTGTATGCCTCTCTCTCTCTCCATCTCTCTCTCTCCCTCTCGCTAACCCTAACCTGTTGACTGTTGGAAGGCTAAGAGCTGGTTCGTTGTGCTGTCTGACTGTGCAGGTGCCTGAGAAGAACATTCTGGGTCAGATCGGTCACGGATACAAATACGCCATCGGGATGTTGAATGAGGGCCGCATCGGGATCGCAGCACAGGTCAGTCCTCTGCACAGGTCTCTCTCTTTCTCTGTTTCTCTCTGGTCTCTCTGGTCTCTCTCTGGTCTCTCTCTGGTCTCTCTCTGGTCTCTCTCTGGTCTCTCTCTGGTCTCTCTCTGGTCTCTCTCTGGTCTCTCTCTGGTCTCTCTGGTCTCTCTGTTTCTCTCTGGTCTCTCTGGTCTCTGTTTCTCTCTTTCTCTCTGGTCTCTCTCTGCTCTCTCTCTCTCTGGTCTCGCTCTGTTCTCTCTCTGGTCTCTCTGTTTCTCTCTCTCTCTGGTCTCTCTGGTCTCTCTCTGCTCTCTCTCTCTCTGGTCTCGCTCTGTTCTCTCTGGTCTCTCTGGTCTCTCTCTGGTCTCTCTCTCTGTGTCCCTGATCTCTCTGCTTTCTCTCTCTGGTCTCTCTCTGTTCTCTCTCTGGTCTCTCTCTCTGTGTCCCTGATCTCTCTGCTTTCTCTCTCTGGTCTCTCTGTGTGTGAGGGTTTTACCGCTGTCACTGAGACGATATACCTTTGTTGTGTCTTAGTTTTAGAACACATCACCCCTGTCATGAACATGGGACCAGTGTAATATATATTGTGTTTTTTCTAGGGCTGTCAAACGATTAAATTTTTTTAGTTGATTAATCGTATAGTAATGGTGAGTTAACTCACGATTAATCGCATGTTTAACATTCTATTTCAAATCCACTCCAATTGAAGTTAAATGAGATTATCAAATATAATTACCAGTGTTGGGTAAGTTACTTTGAAAAAGTAATTAGTTATAGTTACTAGTTACTTCTTCCAAAAAGTAATTGACTTACTAACTGAGTTACTCCACTATAAAAGTAACTAGTTAGCAGTAAAAGTAACTATTGCGTTACTTTTTCGTTTGTCATGGTACCGAGCTTTAGCTGGCTATAATTTAGGATAACTTCTAAGTAGATTAATTGTTGCAACAACCCCACCCTATTTTAGTATATGTTAGTTTAGGGAACTGTCCTGCAGGCAAACGGGTATAAGACAGGCCAAGGTGCCATTTAATTAAATTGCATTTATTTTTATCCATTGATCAAACAAACAGATAACAAAACTTACCATTGAAAGAGACTATTTTAAAATAATTAGTTCCCAAAGACACACACGAGCAACACTCACGCCTGACAGTCAAGAACCAGGGGAAATACAGTGCGCAGAGCGCTGAGTATGTGAACGGAGCAATCGCTTGCTGCTGTTATAATAATAGCTAGATCCATGCTTGCAGCCCGTGCAAAGCTCGCACTCACTCACAGCCGCTAACAACAACCAGAGCGGCCACGGAGGAGGCCATCTCACACGCAGCATTCTGAGTGATATTCTTATGTATAAATGGGCGGGTCATTCGGACATGCGTTAATGCGTCAAAAAAATAATAACGCGTTAATAAAAAATGTAATTAATGTGAGTTAACGCGATAATTTTGACAGCCCTATCCATCCATCCATCCATCCATTTTCTTCCGCTTTATCCGTTGCCGGGTCGCAGGGGCAGCAGTCTAAGCAGAGACGCCCAGACTTCCCTATCCACACACACCTCCTCCAGCTCGTCCGGGGGGACCCCAAGGCGTTCCCAGGCCAGCTGAGAGACATAGTCCCTCCAGCGTGTCCTGGGTCTTCCGCGGGGCCTCCTCCCGGTGGGGCGTGCCCGGAACACCTCCCCAGGGAGGCGTCCAGGAAGCATCCGGAACAGATGCCCGAGCCACCTCAACTGGTTCCTCTCGACGTGGAGAAGCAGCGGTTCTACTCCGAGCTCCTCCCGTGTGACTGAGCTCCTCACCCTATCTCTAAGGGAGCGCCCAGCCACTCTGCAGAGGAAGCTCATTTCGACCGCTTGTATCCGCGATCTCGTTCTTTCGGTCATTACCCAAAGCTCATGACCATAGGTGAGGGAGGGAACGAAGATTGACCGGTAAATCGAGAGCTTTGCCTTTCGGCTCAGCTCCCTCTTCACCACAACGGTCCGATACAGCGACCGCCATAACTGCGCACGCTGCACCGATCCGCCTGTCAATCTCACGCTCCATTCTTCCCTCACTCGTGAACAAGACCCCGAGATACTTGAACTCCTCCACTTGAGGAAGGACCTCTCCACCCACCTGCAGAGGGCAAGGCACCTTTTTCCGGTCGAGCACCATGGCCTCGGATTTGGAGGTGCTGATTCTCATCCCAGCCGCTTCACACTCGGCTGCAAACCGTCCCAGTGCATGCTGCAGGTCCTGGTTCGTTGGAGCCAACAGGACAACATCGTCCGCAAACAGCAGAGATGAAATCCTGTGGTCTCCGAACCGGACCCCCTCCGACCCCTGGCTGCGCCTAGATATTCTGTCCATAAATACAGTGAACAGAACCGGTGACAAAGGGCAGCCCTGTCGGAGGCCAACATTCACCGGGAACAGGTCTGACTTACTGCCGGCAATGCGAACACAGCTCTGGCTCCGGTCATACAGGGACCGGATGGCCCTCAGCAGAGGACCTCCGACCCCGTACTCCCGGAGAACCCCCCAAAGGACACCCCGGGGAACACAGTCGAACGCCTTCTCCAAATCCACAAAGCACATGTGGACAGGTTGGGCGAACTCCCATGAACCCTCGAGTATCCGATGGAGAGTATAGAGCTGGTCCAGTGTTCCGCGACCGGGACGAAAACCACACTGCTCCTCCTGGATCCGAGATTCGACCATTGGCCGTAACCTCCTCTCCAGTACCTTGGAGTAGACCTTACCGGGGAGGCTGAGGAGTGTGATCCCACGATAATTGGAACACACCCTCCGGTCCCCCTTCTTGTAGAGAGGGACCACCACCCCGGTCTGCCACTCCATTGGCACTGCCCCGGATTGCCACGCGATGTTGCAGAGACGTGTCAGCCAAGACAGTCCTACAACATCCAGAGACTTTAGATAATCAGGGCGGATCTCATCCACACCCGGAGCCTTGCCACCATGGAGGCTACCAACCACCTTGGTGACCTCAGCCAGGGAGATGGATGTACCCGCCCCAACATCCTCAGCCTCTGTAACAGAGGACGTGACGGGGGGATTGAGGAGAACCTCAAAGTATTCCTTCCACCGCCCGACAATATCCCCAGTCGAGGTCAGCAGCTCTCCACCCGCACCGTACATGGTGTTGGCAAAGAACTGCTTCCCCCTCCTGAGGCGCCGGATGGTTTGCCAGAATCTCTTCGAGGCCGACCGATAGTCATGCTCCATGGACTCTCCGAACTCCTCCCAGTCCCGGGTTTTTGCCTCTGCAACAGCCCGGGCCGCGGCACGCTTGGCCTGCCGGTACTGGACAGCTGCCTCAGGAGTCCCCCGAACCATCATGGCTCGATAGGACTCCTTCTTCAGCCTGACAGCATCCCTTACTGCCGGTGTCCACCACCGGGTTCGGGGGTTGCCGCCGGGACCAGCACCAGAGACCTTGCGACCACAGCTACGAGCCGCCGCATCGGCGATTGAGGCAGAGAACATGGTCCACTCGGACTCCATGTCCCCCTCCTCCGCCGGGACCTGGGAGAAGCTCTCCCGGAGGTGTGAGTTGAAAGTCCGTTTGACAGGGGGCTCAGCGAGACGTTCCCAGCAGACCCTCACTATACGCTTGGGTCTGCCAGGTCTGACCGGCTTCTTCCCCTGCCAGCGGATCCAACTCACGACCAGGTGATGATCGGTTGACAGCTCTGCCCCTCTCTTTACCCGAGTGTCCGAGACACGCGGTCGAAGGTCAGATGATACGACAACAAAGTCGATCATCGACCTCCGGCCTAGGGTGTCCTGGTGCCACGTGCACTGGTGGACACCCTTGTGCTCGAACATGGTGTTCGTGATGGACAAACCGCGACTGGCACAGAAGTCCAACAACTGAGCACCGCTCGGGTTCAGATCAGGGGGGCCGCTCTTCCCGATCACCCCTCTCCAAGTGTCACTGGCGTTTCCCACATGGGCGTTGAAGTCCCCCAGGAGAATAACGGAGTCCCCGGGCGGTGCACCGTCCAGTACCCCTCCCAAGGACTCCAAGAAGGCCGGGTACTCTACACTGCTGTTAGGCCCGTAGGCCGTCACAACAATGAGAGACTTGTCCCCCACCCGGAGGCGGAGGGACGCGACCCTCTCATTCACCGGGAAGAACTCCAACGTGTTGGCAGCCCTAGTTTTTTCATATTGAACCGTACATTTCTGGATGTTTCCCTCATATTTCTGTCTTTCTCATGTTCCTGGGGATTTCTCTCGTTCCTGGTCAGATGCTGGGCCTGGCTCAGGGCTGCTTCGACAACACCATCCCGTACACGCGGCAGAGGGTCCAGTTTGGGAAACGAATTTTTGACTTTCAGGTGAGAAACCAGAGACACACAAACACACACACACACACACACACATACACTTCATCCTTTTTCAAACCAAATCAGGACTTTTCGGGAAAGGATAAATGTGCGATTAAATGTGATTAATTGTGATTATATATTTAAATATTTTGACAACACTAATATGTTGTGCTTGTGCGTGTGTGTGTGTGTGTGTGTGTAGGGCATGCAGCACCAGATCGCACACGTAGCCACTCAGATCGAAGCGGCTCGACTTCTCACCTACAACGCTGCTCGACTCAAAGAAGCAGGACGTCCTTTCATCAAAGAGGCCTGTATGGCAAAGTACTTCACTGCTGAGGTGAGACCAGAACGATACCACAGAGAGAGACCAGAGAGAGACTAATGCCATTATGTGTATGTCCTGCAGGTGGCGACGCTAACCACCTCCAAGTGCATCGAGTGGATGGGAGGCGTGGGCTTCACCAAAGACTATCCCATCGAGAAGTACTACAGAGACTGCAAAATAGGTAAACAACAAGAGAGAGACCAGAGAGAGACCAGAGAGAGACCAGAGAGAGACCAGAGAGAGACCAGAGAGAGACCAGAGAGAGACCAGAGAGAGACCAGAGAGAGACCAGAGAGAGACCAGAGAGCAAGCCCCGGCGATCCAAGATGGCGCCCTATTCAAATGAATGGTTGTGCTCAGTGGCGCTTTGTGACGGCATGGGGGCTGAAAGATTAGCGGAAGTCGCCTGAAACTCGCAAAGAACTTTGGGAAACTCGCCTGTATTTGGGCATCGTCTGGTCCTCCCGGTTCTGCGCAGTGGATGATCTCCCATAATGCGTTGCGTCAAACACGCGTGTGTGGGTCTCACACCGGGTCTCACGCACGTGCACAGAGGGGCTCGGCCGCGCTCTGACCAATCAGAGCAGTTCATCAGAGCGGGAGTTAGAGCGAGAGCCAGACGAGTAGAGTTTGTGGCACTAAAGTGTGGATTTAAACAAAACCGAAGGATTTAAGAAGAAAAAAAGTTCAGGATGACAAGGGACACTAAAATCCCCACAAAATCCGACCTTTATTAAAGCTGTAGGTTCTCTGTCAGCTGAGGTTGAGCTGTTTTAATATGCATTGAGTTCTATGGGGAAAATTTCTGGGTAGCCCACGTGAATTTAGTCTGGTTCAGTCTGCAGTACCGCGAGAATCCCCTGAGCACATGAGTTATTCAGCTACAAGCTAGTTATACCCTATCCAGTTATTATAATAGATCCATGCCAGAGAGCGACCAGAAAGAGAGAGTAGAAAGAGACCAGAGAGACAGACAATAGGGAGTCCAGAGAGAGAGACCAGAGAGTGAGAGACCAGAGAGTGCGAGACCTCAGAGTGCGAGACCTCAGAGTGCGAGACCTCAGAGTGCCATATATTTCTCCTTTTTTTTCACAGGAACTATTTACGAAGGCACCACCAACATCCAGCTCTCCACGATGGCCAAGTTTATCGACAAAGAGTTCGACCAATGAGACGAGAGACGGTGACGGATCATCCACTCACACTGCTGCTGTTTTAGAGACTGATCATGACTGTACTTTAGAACGAGAGAGACCCTGGGATTTAGACGCAAACTGTTTTCTCTCTGGTCTCTCTCTGGTCTCTCTGTGGTCTCTTTCTTTTTTTGATCCTTTTATTTTGACATATTCCTGGGTTCCCCGTGGTTGAAAGCTGACACAGGTGCAAACAACACTCCAGCCTTCCCCTCTGTCGGTGGAGGCAGCAGCAGCTCATAGTGTGTCAAGTTTGGTTACTGAATAATAGCACTTTTCTGTTTCGTCTTTGATCAATTTTATTGCATTTTCAACTTTCAACTTTTCTTTTACATTATCAAAAACAAATATATCATTAAAGTCTGTATCTACGCCTGGACTAAATCCCAATACTGCCGTTTTTCGGTCTCTATGGTCTCTCTCTGGTCTCTCTGGTCTCTTTCTGGTCTCTCTCTGGTTTCTCTCTGGTCTCTCTCTGGTCTCTTTCCCTGGTATTTATTTTCCCCAAATCCACTTCCCTGTTTGTCGCCTGTATATTTTGAGATCCTTCCTTTTGTCCTGTATTTCAGTGCCTTGTTGAATCTAATGTATTTAGTTTTTTCCCCTCACATCTATTATGTCTACTGTTTTGTTTTATGATTAATATGTATTTGTTTTTTAGAGACATGTGAATAAAAAAAAGCAATTAAACACTTGATGTGGGTCTCTTCAGCCTCTGTCGTGTCCGAGTGTGTCCACCAGGGGGCAGCACGCGCCTGGAGGATTCTATGATCATTTACTGTTTCAGATTTACTAGTTTTATTATCAGCCATTTCAAACTGTTTATTCCTGTTGCACAGACACACACACACATACACAGAGAGAGACACACACTCAGAGGGAGACACACATAGATATCCACAGAGGGATTGAGACACATACAGCGACATACACAAACGCAGAGAGACACGGGCACACGCAGTCACACACACATACACGTAACACGACCCTCACACATACACAGAGAGACACACACACTCTCTGTCTTAGTTTGTGTCCTGTTTTAAAGTTTTTATTTCGTACATTGTTTGTGTTACCAGAGCCGGGCAATAAGTAGACATGCAAAAACTGGCATGAATATTTACAGTATTTATTTTATTACGAGGAAGGAGAAGTGACCCAAAATATAAAAGTTAAACGCCTTTACAAAGCTCTGAATATTAATGAGCTAGGCTGAATAACAGAAATGAAAATACACTCAAAAGGACAGCAGGCAGCAAATATTAAAACCACTGTAAAACAGAAAAACACAAAACCCTTAATATCTTAAACAAAACTTTAATCATTTAAAAACCTGTTAAAAACTTGCTACCTGTGCGTTGCAACCCCCACACACACAGCTCCACACAGATCTTTATTTGCCCAATGGCAAACAGCAAGGCCTCCCTACCACAGAACAAAACAATTAATTTCATCACCATAATACTGCATAAACTATTTTAAAAGCTCACCGTAACTTTGGCCAAACACGCACACACACATGGCCATGGGCCCAGCAAACACTCTGGCCGCCCACGGAAACTGGCACCTGTCTGGCACGTAGCCAACTTCCTATTTTAAGGCTGACACCAGTGACGCCCACTGGTGACACCCGTTACATTTGATTGTATAGTTTCGTGTTTGAGGTTGTGGTGCTGGCTCTTGCTGTGGCCTGTGTCCTTCTGTCCAGTCCCTGCACTTTTCTCACTTCAGCTTGAACCGAGTCAAGAGCCTCTTCACCAAACTGCCTCCAATTAAACCGAACCACAGAAGAACCTGAATTCTTACCACTGTTAAAACTATTTTCAGACTTTCAAAGTGAAAACGGGGCTAAACCATAGACTCTATATACAACTATAGATATGACATCAGAACCCCAGCTCTGCCCTCTGGTCTCTCTCTGGTCTCTCTCTGGTCTCTCTCTGGTCTCTCTCGCTCTCTCCCTCTCTCTCCCCTTCCCATCTTTCTCTCCTCTTTCTCCTTGTACAACGTCCAAACTCCACGCTGCGTCCTCGCTCCATCCTTCTCACGCCTCCTCAGAGAAACATCACTTTTTCTCCGTTTCACTTTTCGCGCGGTGCTTTGCACGGTAAAGCTTGGGAGATCCAGGACTTTTGGGACCAGTAATATTCCACAAACATCTGTTTTTGTGTTTTTGACACAGACTTTTTATGGAGAGCTCGCACTTGTGCAGAGATCCAGCGGACACGCGCCAGCCTCACTGTGCGTAAGTGACGTCCGTTCAACAGGTCAGAAACCACACTATTATTCACGCACTGTTTTAAACCTTTTTTCTGCTCTCTCTGATTACTCTCCTCTCTTTGGTCACTGGAGTCTCTCTCTGGTGTCTCTCTGGTCTCTCTCTGGTGTCTGTCTGAATACAGGTTGTTTTTAATTTGTGTTTTTGTTTATTTCTAATTTCTTTATTGAAATAAAAATTAAGATTTTAATGTTTATCGTTTGAGTTGTGTTATACTGTGTTGTGTATAAGGATAATGATAATAATAATGATAATAATAATAAAATGCTTTCAATACTCGCATTTTTCTTCTTTTCTCCTCACTTGGATAGATTTGTTCAGTCGTGGATCTTCAGCCTCAGTCCCGCTCCCTACGGCTCCTGTGTTTGTTATTATTGCATTTCCTTTGTTTCTCTGATTCTCTGAGACGACTGAATTAAGCCAAGTTTATGAATATATTTTGTTTTAAAACAGCAGGTACTTGAGCTTTAAGTATAAAATCTACTTTATTTCTTTGTTAAATCCTGGATTTTTCTTTCACTTTCAGCCGCAATGGCCGACTGTGACCCACAGAAGAGCCACACCGAGACCAAACACCCGTTCTCCATCCACTGCCTGCTGGGCCTGGACCAGGTGAAGGATCAGGACCAGGACCAGAGGAGGACTTCTCACACCCAGCAGAGCGCACTGTGGTCCTGCCTCAGTCTGAGAGAGCTGCCCACTCTCAGGTGGTTCCCCTACGAGAGCGTCAGGAGCAGAGGTGAGCCCACTAAAGCTGGGCGACCTAACTTTTAAGCCAATAGAAAAAACATGCATGTTTCCGATTCCGGGGCGATAGTGGCTCAGTTGGGCCTAAAGGTCGTGGGTTCGAGCCCACCACAAGACCTACTTCACGACTCCCACTGATGTCTGCTGTCGTTTGTCCTTGGGCAAGATACTTAACCCCACTTTGCCTGAAGCTCCCGCTGGAAGATCAAGGCTCCCAGGGACTCACCACCTGCAGGAGGACCAGTGAGGGGCTGGTGCTGTGTGAATGTGCAGCTCTGACTGCCTCCCCCCGACCCAGAAATGGATTAAGGGGAAGAAAATGGGTGGATGAGTTTCCGGTTCCTGCATCTAAAACAGCTGCTTTCACTAGTTTGTTTGTTTTTTTGTGTTTTTGTCACTGTCACATCTTTAGATCAACCTTTAAAGACAGATCAGTGACAAAGAAAGAGACCAGAAAGAGACCAGAGACTGACCAGAGACCAGAGTGTGACCAGAAAGAGACCAGAGACAGCCCAGAGTGTGACCAGAGAGAGACCAGAGAGAGACAAGAAAAAGACAAGAAAGAGACCAGAGTGTGAGATGAGACATGCTTTCTCTCCAGTCCCTCTTTGTTCTCTCTCTGGTCTGACTGGTTTCCCACTGGTCTCTCTCCGGTCTTTCTCCATGTAGTCTCTGGTCCAAAGAACACGCCTACCTTTCCTACTGTTGTCCTGGATACAACAGGTTAATAAACTAACACCAAATTCTTTATTCCTCTCAGCTCTCAACACAGACTTCTCCCCCGCCTTCGATTCGCCGCCTCAGGACTCCCCCAAACTCCCTCAAGACCACGACAGCGACAGCGACTCGGGCGACCTGAAGAACGACCCTGATCCTGAACCTGACCCAGACCCAGACACAGTCCCGGACCCAGACCCAGACCCCACAGCGCTCGGCCGCAGGAAGAAGACCCGCACGGTGTTCTCGCGGGGGCAGGTCTTCACGCTGGAGTCGACGTTTGACGTGAAGCGCTACCTCAGCAGCTCCGAGCGCGCCGCTTTAGCCGCGACGCTGCGTCTGAGCGAGACCCAGGTCAAGATCTGGTTCCAGAACCGAAGGAACAAGTGGAAGAGGCAGCTGTCGGCCGAGCTGGAGGCTGCCAGCCTCAGCCAGAGGGTGAGGGTCCCCATCCTGTACCACGAGGGAGACAGTGCCCCCCACAGGCCCAACACGGGAGCAGCGTTTGGGCCACACGGGTTCTACTCCCACCTGCTGAGGCCGCTGTAACATACAGGACCTGGAAACTAGACTCTGAATACTGAGACCAAGACCGAGGATACAGCTTCTACTGAATGTGTGGGCTTGGACTTGGTCTTGGTCTCAATTAAAAACTACAAGTTGATTTAGCGGCTGTAGTCTGTCCTTTATGTCCTCTACAGCGGCACGGTGGCTGAGTGGATAGCACTCTTGCCTCTCAGCAAGAAGGTCCTGGGTTCGAATCCCGGTCGGACCAGGGCCTTTCTGAGTGGAGTTTGCATGTTCTCCCCGTGTCTGCGTAGGTTTCCTCCGGGTACTCCGGTTTCCCCTACCCCTAAAAATATGTACAATAGGTCTGGCATGCGCCTCCTGTTCGGTGACCCCGCTCCCATCTCTGTCTGGAGTGAGAGGACCAATGCCCAAAAAATAATAATAACAATTGTAAACCGCTTTGTGACCCTTGTCTGTGAAAGGCGGTATATAAATAAACATTACTTACTTACTTACTTACTACATCTGCTCTCTGACCCCTCCCCTTTAATGAACCTCCCCTTTAATGACCGTAAAACAACATTAAGATAAACTTGATCAAACAGTGATGTTCAGATCTTTTATTTCATTATTATTTATTTATTTATTTTATTTGATCTGTTGAATATGATTTTTTTATACATTATTTGTATTTAATTTAAAACAACATTCATTCATTCATTCAACATAAAACAACATATATTTGTAATTTATTGTATTACATTTCATATATTTTTCATTTCATTTATTGTTATCTTTATTCACATTTTTTGTTTTCAAATTTGATTAAATTTTAATGAGATGTTTTGGATCTTATTTGATGATGATAAACCTGTTGCCGTTTTCACTGATGTTTACATTTGTATAAAATCGTTCTAAATGTTGATTATTTAAGGCACAAACTAAAGCCAAATTTCTGCTGCTACTTTTTCTGTTGTTCTGTTTCTTTGTCACTTGATTTAAAAACAATGATTACTGTGTTTATCTTTACATTCCTATTTAAATTAAATGAATGATACGGAACTTTCCGTATCATATAATAATACAACAGAATAATACAACTCTTTCATAAAAATACATTTCAGTCAGGCAACGCTAACCACCTCCAAGTGCATCGAGTGGATGGGAGGCGTGGGCTTCACCAAAGACTATCCCATCGAGACCGCGGTGAAGTTAGTTTGAAGTTGGATATCCGACAGACATTCGCCGCAACATTTAAGTGCACCCGTACAACACACAGTACGGTAAACACGCGGAGACATGTACGCTGGTCTAATATTTACATATAAAAAATCATTAAAAATACTTACAACATTTTAACTGATATTATGTTTATTGCTGTGCAATTGTGTAACTGAGCCATGCATCATGGCACAACATAGTTTTGTGATTACCCATCACCCACCACATGGAACAAACTGTATAGTACCATGGTTTCAGTAGACCAACGATGAATGCACCAGCAAAATGAATCCTAACATTATTTTTTTGGAGCCTACAAAAGTACGTAGGAAGACCAACAAAACCAAAGTCGCGGTCACAAAGACTCGAAGGACTCGAAAATTCAAACCCGTGAGGACTTTGGGACGAAGAGCTTCTGAGATTAGTTAGAGCCTTTTGAATTCTGAGACTTCGACTCGGGACTTAGGCTGTCTTGACTATCCAAATCGACTATGTTGTAGCAATGCACTTAAAAAAAAGGGGAAAGAAGAGGGGGGGTCTCACACATGCATCTAGACCACACATAAAATCATAGCAGTCCGTGTACAACATACATGATATTATCTTTGGGATTTTTAACTGGGAATGTAGCAAGTGTGCAGCATATATAGAATATAGAGTATTGTGGGCTAGCCCTTTAACTATATTAATCAGGTTGTACATGAGTCCGTAGGTTGTATGTTCCAAAGGAATGAATGGGACCATGGAAGTGGGAAGGACCCGTGCCTGTATGAACTGGGACGCAGCATTCGTAAATCTCTCCACAACATTACCAATATTCTCATTACTATAATAAAAGTCTCATCTAAAATTAAGTTCACTCATTTATTCCCAAGTTAGTAAGGATTAGCAGAGACAGAGACGGATCAGAGGTGTGCCATTACCTCTGGGATATGATTTATTATCATACAGTTTCTCTTCAAGTTTCCACTGTTTTACTCTGGATTCTAATCTCATTCAGACAGAATAAAGAGGAGCAGAATACACAAACAGATTATATATTTCATTGATCACGACAGCACATCGAAAGTGACAATAACGTGTATCCACAGAAGAGACAGACAAATCATAGTCAATATCCAATGGAGTCCTTGTAGGAGTCCTTGATACCAGTCCTTGCACGAAGGCCAATCATTATAGCTATCTAATAAAACACCCTCCGCCCTTTGATCACGTAGATAATCACAGTCTTTCACTCCATTTGACATCATCCATAACGTATGGAAAAAGAAGAAAAAAAAAAAAAAAATCCTAAAAAAAAAAAACTCATAAAAATTATTAAAAACTAAAGAAATTGTGAACATAAAACTCATAATTCATCATATCAATATCAGTGATTTTTAACCTCAATCCTGGGACACATAAACAAACAATAATAAAGAATAAACAAACAAAAAAACAAATCAAAGAATACAAACAAACAAAAATCAAAAAACAAACAAACTATTGCCACACAAGCAACACAGCAATCAGTCAAACACATGACAAAAACGGAGCGAGAGTCTCAATTTGAGAAGCGAATTTTAACTTTTCTTACTCTACTATCATTTATTCTAATGATAATTGGTTATATACACTTACCACTATTTCACTGCTGTATTATTTTCACTTTTCAATCTTAACTGTGACTTATACTTTCACTATTCACTCTATATGGTTATAAAAGCTATTATCTAATTTATTCACACAAATATTTTTGTGATATTTGCAACAATTGTAGCCAATCAGGATTCTTAAACAACATTTTAATCTAATACATCTCTCTAGTGGTATTTATACTCTTCATTATCAAGTGGCATAATTATACAGTGTGATTTGCTCCATGTACTATTCTCATTACTGTCAGGAATAAAACAGTGAACAACCGTGTAAGGCAAATGTCAACATTAACGACTCTATAGTGTCCAATGAAATTTATGTACTTTTTATTACTAAAAGATATTATAAATTGTCAGCAGGTTGGGATGTGAAAGTACACTTCTAAATCACAATTAGTGATTTATCCTCATAGTAGCTCAATCTCGGTTTGGGGGTTGGGGCTCATTATATTCTACAATGTATTTGTGCGGAAACTTACTCACTATCTAAAATATCTACTCATTGTGAAATTTGTGGCGTACACCAATGCATCAAAATGCTTGTTACAATGCTTTTTGAATCTCTCTTGTTATATCCTAACTATCCTCATTGATCTAAGGCTACACTCATATACACTTTTGCATGACTAGCATTCACCATGTTTAACATCAAGTGAACATTAATGTCAAGAGTACAAATAACACTTGTACATCAAAAACCATTGTAATTAACTTTCTTCTACTTATTTAAGTAAATTCTTTTGCCATGGTCCCTTATATCCAATATATGTGAAACATTAGCAACTGCTACGAAATAATCATCAAATTTTGAAACGAATCCTATGAGTTGAGGCATTTATCATATCTCGTAATTTACGCTATTTTTTAACTCACCAGTGCTCGGCTGCAGGCTTGAGGCAAAGCCTATTCCTAGTTGTGACATCTGTCCCTTATTATCATATTGCACTAAACATAACTCTGATTCTAAAATTCTAGCTGCCTATCAAAAGGATAACATTGTTATGGGCACCTTTTAGACTCTTATGTGGAAATATGTTATAGAAACAAACAAAGGCAGAGGACAATTCAACTCTTTTAACTAACTAATCTAACAACGCTACAATAACCCATACTTTATCTAATGTTTAAAACCATTTTAACAGTTGCTCAGTCTCCCAGACTAAAAAAGTCAAAGTTCTGTCTGTCTAGTTGTCTGATAACATACCATGTATATGTCATTTGTCATAGAAGTTTGGTTTCTGAGGTGTAGCCAATAGCAACGCAATAGACGATTTTTCCATTGGCATGGTTCTTGTTCTGCAGAATGGCTGAGTCCAATAGATCATCAATTACAGAAGCTAGGGGACATACGGACAAAAACAAAAGAAAGAATCATGATAATCTCTCTCATTTACACTCAACAATGTTATGTATTTAAAAATATAAACGTACCACGCCGCCAGTTTTTATTCTCCGCTCTCAGGTCCTAGAGGTCCTCAGGCCTCAGGTTCCCCTGAGTTGTGAGTCGTCATCGTGTCCATCAGGATCCATGGGTCATAATTTCGGATGGGATGTATTAATCTGATGACATCAGGTAGGTCCAAGCCATGTTCTGTGTTCTGGTCTCCAGATGCACTGCAGATTCTCCAGATACAGGCTTTTCATTAAGCACATCACAGGTCATTTCGATGCACTTCTGGTCAAATGGGCAGTCTTTCTCAGTTTTCACTGTACACAGCTGGTTATGGCAAATAGTTGACGGCTCAATGGTTCAGGTCCTATGATTCTAGCTTTAAAGACAATTTCTATTCATGTGCTGTGCTAATGTCCCCAGTACAGAAAGCAAAGCTGCAAGTGATTCATTTACTTCGCGTATTGGGGTTTGGGTTTTTATCTCAAGAATGATAAATCAATGTCAATTAACTTACACACAGTACAAAATCGAAAATATCAAAGTGTCAGGACATGACGTCAATTAAGTCCATGACAAATAGAATTACAAGGACCTTTCTGCGTCCTCAAAAAATACTGATTCAACTAAAAGATTCAAGTGTTATATAGACAATTAAAAATATGTATTACATTTGATTATGTATGTAAAACTTTTAAAAATAGCTTTTTTCACATGTTCTGCTATGTTCTCTGTATCCTGATAGTTTTATGAGATGTAGAATGAGTGCTGTGTAGGTGTTGTGTTGAGTG